CGCTGGCGCAGCGCCAAAATTCATAGACGCTTTTCATAGACTGGGCTTTGGTTTCAGTGTACAATAGATGGGATAGATGGATGGTATAGAGCATTTGGTTTTGACTATGTGTGCTTCTACACTGAACATGATGTGCAATGGCATTTATTTTTTCTACAACTCTGGTCAAAATACATGTATATGCAGACGAGCAAAGCTAAATACCTCGATCTCTGAAAATTATTTCCCAACCTCCGCTCCCCAGGGAAGGTCCTTGGGGAAAGCAGGCAGATCTTTACTCTCAGGGTGGTCATCGTCGAAGTCCCACCTATTCGGCACATCCAATCCAGCCTCGAGATGGTGTCTCACTAAAAGCATGGACACACCATCGCGATACAGCCACGCATCCTCAGTGCGACGCTGCCACTGCTCAACAGCCTGGCGCATATCCTCCAAAACCGTGCTATACGCAGGATCCTTAGCCAGATTGCGCACTTCATGGGGATCGGCCTGGATGTCGTAAAGCTCCTCAGCGGGACGGAAAAAATAATCCTTCAGCGGCCTGGACCCAATCATCTTAGGATTATTTTCGGAGTTGCGAATATCCTCCCAAGTCAGGGATCCGTAGATATCAGCGGCAAAGGGGAAGTCGAGCCGCCAGGCGATGTTGCGGTGGTACTTGAATCGGCGGTTGCGCATGAAGCGCGTGGGCCAGTAGTTAGTGATTTCGTGGAAAGTATGCGAGCCGAAGACACAGCCCCAGTCTTCGAGCTTGGTTGACTCAGACACAATGGGAAGAATCGAGCGGCCAATTCGCGCTGGGTGTTGTGGGGTCGGGTACTGAGCCCAATCGAGGATTGTGGGGAGGATGTCGATGTAAGAGACCATGTTTGGGTTGATGACGCCTGCTGGTGAGCCGGGGCACTTCACTATCATCGGGAGACAGACACCCGCGTCGTAGAGGGTTGTCTTGGAGTTGATGAAGGGGGGTCCATTGTCGCTGAGGAAGATAACCAAGGTGTCATCTGCAAGTCCGGATTTCTTCAGTCCGTCAAGGACCATGCCGACACCTTGATCCAGGCGGGATATAGACTGGTAGTACTCCGAGAACTCGAACCGGACTCCCGGGAGGTTATTGACAAAGTGCTCAACCTCGACATCCGAGGGCGAATACTCGATCTTCTTTACTCGCGGATCATACTTGCCATCATTTCCAAAGCCCGAGCGGGTACGATCGCGATGGGGATCAATAAAGCCAATGGTCAAAAAGAAAGGCTTCTTCTCCGCACCGGAACGCTCAATAAAGGCAGTCGCTTGATCCGCGATATCTGCGACATCACGACTACCGCTCTCAGCGCACAGTTCCCAGGGGTACACGTTTGATGGCCCGACGTGGACCTTGCCAATCACACCGGTTGAATAGCCATGCTTGGAAAAGAGTGCCGGTGCCGTTTCGACATGATCATAAGTTGTAAAATGATGCCGGCCATTGGCAAGACCATACTGTCCGTTCTGATGCGTGTGCAGACCGGTGTAAATGACGGAGCGACTGGCGCTGCAAGAAGCCGTGCTGGTGAAGGCCTGATCAAATCTGGTTCCCTCCGAGGCCAGCTGGTCGAGATTGGGCGTTTGGATCTTGGCGTTTCCGTAGCAGCCTAGTTGTTTGCCCAGGTCATCGGCGATCATAAGAAGAACGTTTCTCTTGGCCATGGTGGCGGCTGCGTGAATTTCAGGTTGGTTGCAGGAGGAAGTGCTCTACTTTTTATAAGATCTGGTAGACCTGCATTGGCTGGGGTGCGTTGAACCAGGGATTTCCAGCTTTTTATGCGCCGCCGGATATCGCTAAAGTAGCGCGTCCTGTTCCCGGTTGTTCGTATGTAGAGCTTTGGGTCGTTTCCAACAATTCAACGAGTACGAAAACAAATCTTTCCGGAAATCCAATTGTAGATGCAATTTGACTGTCTGAAAAATATGTTGACACGCGCAGATAATTTCTTGAAACAAATAACATTATGAAATTAGCTCTAGTATGGCGTAAGCTCTCCTTTGTTGGCCAGTAGCACCAAGTCCAACCCCGCACTGGACGGCGGGGGTTGGAACGGATCTCGGTTAAAGAGGTCAAGTCGTATCAGCACTGCTTCAGTCATAGCATTCCAAAATCTTCAAGAGCATAGAAAAGTTAATCTTGCGATATAGGTGCCCTATGTCCAGACTGATCTGCGGGAATTTCTCGCATTCGGATAGATTTTATGCCTCATAGGACGATTACGGTCCGCCTAGACTTTCGGTTCGCAATACGCACAGTGCCTCCATACTCAAAGGCCTTTATCGGTGCTTAATTGACATAAAGTGTACAACCATTGCATCCTAACAGTAATTTCCATCCCAACTATGTATTACGTATTCAGAAAAAATTTACCTGGCAAATCACTTCATTATATCACTTATGCTTTTGATTCTTCGGCATAGTTCGCTGCAGCCTTGCCCTCACTTATATCCTCTTTGGCCTGTTCAATATCGGCAGCAAATTTGCTTGGTTCGATCCTGGCCTTGAACGCCCAGATGCTTTGTTTCTCAAATATCTCATCAACCTCTTCCAGAGATTTGCCGCATGTTTCCTGGAACAGAAGGAACACATGGATGGATGCTGCCAGACAGAAGGTGCCGAATACACAGTATATCTACATAATAGACTTAGTCAATTATTCAGATGCTGATGACTAGTACTCACCCTCCACTGGATATTCTGGAATGCTGGAGGAGTAAAGAACGTAAGGGCAAAGTTGCATGCCCAGTTGAAGAACGTGGCGAGGGATACCGCTTTGCTGCGAATGTATAATGGGATGATCTCCGGTGGATACGCCCTATCCCATGAACGTTAGAATTTCTTGAAATAAAAAGGGTCCCGACATCGTGTAACGCACCATCCCAAAGGTCTGCCGTACGTAACGTTAGCCAACCGCTCTTCAATTCAGGAAAGATAAACACTCACCCCCAAGTCGGCGCGTAGCAAGTAATGAAGAGATATGAACAGGCGATAATTGCCTTAGATGCGTTGCTATTGGTGACTTTCCATGTCACGGTTGGGGAGTCAGGAAGACCCCCTGGAACAGCATGACCATAGGAGGCCACGAGGCCCGCCTGTGTAAATTGAAAGACTGCCATAGCTAAAGCACCCCCTATAAAAAGCCAGCGTCGAGAAAGTCGGTCAATGAATAGCAGCGCAGGTAGAGTCATGACCACATTGATGACATATTGGATAGAAGCGGACAGCAGAGCGGTGTTTCCCGTGAGACCGCCCATCTGGAAAATATAAACGATGTAGTACATCATGGCGTTAGTTCCGGACATTTGAGACCAGATATGAGTAAAGATTCCGCAGTGGACGCGGATAATATTGCGCGAATTGAACAGTTCGAGCCAGGATGTGCTCTGGTATTGGCGTTCAAGTCTGCCAGTAAATCAGCACACTGTCATAAACATGCCCTAAGAACAAAGCTTACTCAATCTTCTCTCTGATTTCCTTGGTTTCCGCCACCACAATAGGATGAAGGGTATTTCCTTTGGCATGAAGTCTTGCCAATACTTCAATAGCTTCCTCCCACCGATCTTGCGATGCGAGCCAACGGGGTGAGCGCGGCATCATAGGCAAGATGCAAAGCAATATGATCGCGGGAATCATCTGCAGACCCCATGGTAGGCGGAAGGATCCATACCCGCTCATGAATGATGCCCCGTAGCTAATGAAGTACATGATCAGAATCTATTTCGATGTTAGCCCCGACCATTCGGTTCTGCTCGACCATCACATACACCCCATGTAATCATCCACTGCTGTAAAGATAAGAGGCGACCGCGCTGATGAGGAAGACTGATCTCTGCGATCAAAATCGGCCTAAAAAAGTTAGTATTATATATGCATACGATAACCTATCTCTTACCCTTGACTAGTGAGCATTCCAACAGCAAATCCATTGAAAATACGGGCCACGATCAACATGGGTACGTTCTGAACGGCACACATTAGGGTCGAGCCGATCAGCCAGACGATGCACGCAATGAACATTGAATCGCGACGACCAAAATGGTCGCTTGTCCACGACGATACCAACGATCCAAGCAATGAGCCACCTGCCATACTGGCGGTGATGCCGCCCTGCAGAACGGCATCGGGCTTATTGAAGTACTCCTTGTACTGGGGCGTGCCGATTATCGCGGACATGCTGGACACATCGAAGCCCTGAATTAGGCCGCCGATGGTCGCTAACCCGCTGATCAGGTAGACATTGCTGAGCCGGGGGAGTCCCATGGTGACGACGGGCACACAAGCTGCACCACAAAACACATTCACATTGCGCGTCTGGGGCCCCGGATTCATGTACTTTTTAAGTACGCAGGAGGTCCGCCCGGAGCTTGCAAGATCCTCACCTATGCGCCAATTGCAGCGCCATTTGGGGCCGACATCCGTATCCCGGTCGTCGCAAAGGATTCGCGCCGCCGAGAAGCGGGGCCCCGCTATTGTGGCAGAGATCTGACTAGACCAGTGAGCAGCCAGTGTGCAGCGGGGGAAATATCTCCTGGAAGTCCAAGCTCCCAACCAGCCATGCCCCAATTCCCGGATCTCGTGTCGATGGCTCCGACATCTCAACATTGTTGGAAATCCCCGTCGCAAGGCACGGCACCCCGCAATCGCGCGCGTATCGGGTGATAGATTCTCTATCATGCTTTCCGCTTGTGGGGATGATGAACTAGGGGATGCGCAGCTGTCGCGAAGCTCCAATATACCTTCAGGATCGCGAAGATCACGATCAGGTTTGACGCTCACATAGTTTCCCCCTTCTTGTTCCAGGATTTGATGTTTTAGACAGGATGTGCACTTTGCAGGGCTCGCAAGGTCAAGTGCGATGAGAAATGGCCCTCGTGTTTGAATTGCCTGCGCCTCAAATTAGACTGCCCAGGCCCACCTAGGTCTGGCAACACAGAGCCGCGTGTCCGTCCTGAACAGAGGCCCCCAAGGCAAGATGGGGCTTTCACACAGGCAGGCACACTCCGCCAGCGAGTGTCTAGATCATGCCAGTCATGCCGGTATGCAAAGGCTCGGTGCTGCGGAAGCCGGCCGAGTTGTACGCGATGCTCCAAAAAGGGGCTCAATTGCATATACAGACCCGAGGCAAATACTCGTCTAAATAAAAGGCAGTCTTCGACCCAGCAGGCCCAGCGGAACCAAAGCGATGTATCGCAAGCATCGCTGGAAGACGCCGCGAGTGCGATTTCTTGGTATGCCACACTCCTTATATTAAAGGTCCACGTTCTGGAGGTTGCCTTGTGCTTTCCCTAAACTCCATGCTTTGTTATGGTTTAAACTGACTTGTCCAGGATGCGTGCTCCAGAACTTCCCGGTAAAGATAAGATCATCACCCTTGTTGAAGAGTACTTCGCCCATGTACATCCTCTCCGATGCTTCGGTTTTGTGCACAAGCCTTCCTTCATGCAGCGCCTTGACGAAGATTTTGACACGTGTTGTAACAATGAATCACTTCTACATGTTATATGTGCCTTGGGTGCGAAGTATGTGTCCCTTCCCGGAAGTTTTACTGCTCGCTAACGTATCGTTAGATTCTTGGCCTTGGACTATTCTTCCCGTCAAGTTCTGGCACCCGAGGCTGTTCTAGAAGCAGGGAATCAATGGGCGAGAAAGGCAAAAGGACGAATATTTGCTGACTTGGATGACTTATCGCTCGAGAAGCTAATGGTACCGAATCTTCCGTTTCCACTCGATGTGGTCCTCATTTTAATTCATATTGCAGACTGCAATTCTCCTTTATGACCATGACTTGCGTATTGGAAGCTATGCGAGTGCATTTATGCTCAGTGGGATTACTTCCCGAATGTCTCAAGCATTGCAGCTGAATCTTGAACATTCTGCTGATGTGCTTTGTCTGAAAGCAGAGTCATCATCGTCAGCAGTGGTAAACGAGACGCGGCGGCGTCTTATGTGGAGCTGCTATGTGATGGATAGCTGGGTTGGCAGTGGTGTTAACCAACTCACTTTGCTGGAGGATCGAGATCTTAAGATCCAGCTCCCCTGTGACGGCCACAACTTCTCCTTGGGAATTCCTTGCATCACAGAACTTTTGGATGAGGGAAAGGTTTTGGGGTTTGTGCCCAGTAATCACATTCCACCACATCCAGCCCAGAATATGGGCATTGAGGCGTACTTCATTCGCCTTGTCAGCTTGCGGAAGAAAGTATTACGGTGAGTTAACCAACCCACGACAGGTTTCGTTGATATCTGATCATATAACAGCTACGTGAAGCATTTGGACATTGCAAGGCCCCCTTGGCTAGCAGGCTCCGAGTTCTTGTTACTGTCAGCCGAATTCGACAACTGGCGATATTCCCTTCCGCAGAGCCTACAGTGGCGCCCAGATGCCATTTACGCACGCAGAGAGTCATCGCAGCTCGGCGCACTGACGCTTCTTTGGTGCACATACTACCAAACACTGGTTGATCTATATCGCATTGGGATGCCTGCCATCTTTCGCCTTCGGAAGAACGTTGAGTTTCCGCCTGACCAGCAGGGCTTTCTCAAGCATTGCCGTAGTGTTTGTTATGAGAATGCCCGCGAAGTATCTAATGTCATATCAGAGGCCTTGCGACATGGTATCAAAGCTCTTGCTGATACTTGGTTGTGCATCATCGCCCACGACAGCACCAAGGTCATGCTTTATTATATGCAGCAGAATGAGATGGCCCAAGGAGACGTGGGCGATATCAAAGCACTCGTTCAGAGGAACCTTGATGGACTGATCCAAATGAGACCTATGGTGGCCACTGCCGAATATTGTGTATGTTTTATGCAATTGTGTCTCTTTTTGCAGGGCCACAGGTACTGATGAAACTCGCAGTGCCTCTCGATGGTCAAGATGATGATTGCAGCTGGTATACAGCCTCACATTTCACAAGGAGCGGCAAACAATGGGAGCACTTCCGAACCAGTTGACGAGATGTATGCACTGAACCCATTCTTCCAACTCAATTTATTAAGCTCGTATAGCAGGCCCTCCATACCAGGGTCCCCTGTCCAGGAGTCCCCTGAGAACGTTTTGAACCCGCTCGCAATTTATCGCATGGCACGAACTGCCTTACACGAGAGAGATTCCGGAATCTCAACATCCCTGTCACCCTCGACCCATAGTGAACTTTCAACAGCGGTCTTACAGCCAAGATCCCTTCCTCAGCGCGATTCGACAAATTTTGCCACGAGTGGTCATCCACAAAGCCACCAAGATCACTCTGGTCAGGGATTATTCCAGCAGACCCCCCTTCACATCAGTCAGTCGAGCAATTCCAGGGGTATTCTACCCAGCCAAGGGAAGAGGAACAATCTTTATCTCTTGGGAACAATTTATCTCAGTTTTCAGTCACGGGGTCAGGCGGCGCTTGGGATCCAGCAGACATGGCCGTTATGGATATGTTGAATGGAGGGATAACCCCATGGACAGCAGAATATCTAACAGATGGCCAGTCTAATGGTGTGGATCCTTTCCTGTTTCCCTTCTAGTATTGAGGACAGGGAATCTTTCGTCCGTGATATGTGTCGCTTCCAGGGGCATGCGCTGGTTGCAGCAGCAAACAATATCTCATCCACCGTGGTGGGAGGTTGACGGAAGGAAGAGGTGAAAGGAAAGAAAGAGGAAGCAACAGGTATGAAGGCTAGATGAGCAATACACACCAAATAAGAAAAGAATGCTGCCAGGTGTTCATGTCTTTCACCTTCACTCCATCTGGTTTTAACCTCTTGCTCTCCTCTCTCTCTCCCAATAGTGACCATGAAACTCTTCTAGGTCCAGTCCTGGAGAACTTGCCATGATTTGAGAATGAATTGCATTCACCAGATACTGGCTATTGATATCTGACTAGTACATGACATCAAACTCGTCAGCAAAGATTTCTGTCGGATACTCATCTTGTCCACGCGCTTGTTGCTCTCATTCTGCTGTTTTATCACCTCTGCCAGCAAGAACTCAGTTCGGTCTGCTTCTGACGATTCCATCGCGTATATGCACTCAACTAGATAGCGTGACTCGTCCAATGTACATTCAGTTCCAGACATAAACAGTGGTCATAACCATAGCATATGGTTTCTCGCAAAGCAATTTCCTACCTCTCTTCGTGGCAATCTGCTCCCATGCCAGCCTTGAAATCTCGGCGATAGAATGGTTCACCTCGTCAGAAGCCAGGTGATGAATAATCGCCTAAGCTTGTGAGGGGAGGTGGGGTAAGGGGATCTTATGTCGCGTAAGGTAGTTCTAGATGCAGATCTTGGGTCTGCCGGATCCGGCAGTGACTTCATCACCTCTGGCTCTTCCACTGCTCACCCTCTCTCGCTTGGACCACGGGTACGACCAATAAGCTCGGTTGTAAAGTAATCACTCCATCCTATAAGTCTTAGATTTCCTCCAAATACCCCTGCCACGGCAGAAACATGAACAGGTTGGGTAATTCTGCCTACAACGCGTTCTACCACAGATTTCCAGTTACACCTCAGATTCCTCGGGGATTATTTGTCTCATTTACATCTTCGGTATCTATCGTCAAAAAATTACATCGACCACCGTCGAGCCGACCTGTCGTTCAGCACTACTCATTCCGACAGCCACAGACACAAACACATTCTCTATTCAGTACATTCTCCAGAACAAGAATGAGCAGCCAGCGAGTTCCCGTCGAAGCGCAGCGCGTTGACATGCCTCTCACGCGCTCGGCGACTTTCCTTGTGGTATCAGTAACCAGCAAGCCGGACGCCATTCAAAGCGTACAGTCCACGCTCGCCGGCCTAGACAGTCTCGCCAAGAATGTTTCCATCCGCGATCTCGATGCCCAATTCGCATGCACAGTCGGAATTGGCAGTGAGATCTGGGACCAACTAACCAGACGCCCTCGGCCAGCGGAGCTACATCCCTTCCGCGAGTTCAAGGGGAAAACGCACACGGCAGTCGCGACACCCGGCGATCTACTATTCCACATCCGCTCTGAACGGCGAGACCTATGTTTTGAATTCGAGCGCCAGTTACTGGACCAGCTGGGCGACGCGGTGACCGTCGTCGACGAGACTGTGGGTTTCCGGTACTTCGATGTTCGCGATCTCCTCGGCTTCGTCGACGGCACAGCCAACCCCGTTGGGCCCGCTGTGCCATCCTCTGTGCTCGTGGCGGAGGAAGACACCTCCGCCCAAGGGGGGAGCTACATTGTCGTACAGAAATATACGCACGACCTGCCAGGGTGGAAGAACCTCTCTACGGAGCAGCAAGAGAAAATCATCGGCCGCACCAAGCTGGACAACATTGAACTTGACGATGCCGAGGCCGGACAGCAGCAGTCACACAAGACACTGAACACGATTGAAAATGAGAATGGCGGCGAGCATGCCATTTTGCGCGATAATATGCCTTTCGGATCGCCGGGCGAGGGCGAATTCGGTACCTACTTCATCGGGTATACGCGGCGTCTATGGGTGATTGAGAAGATGCTCGAGCAGATGTTCGTGGGGAATCCGCCCGGTTTGCATGATCGTATCCTGGACTTTTCGAAGCCGTTGACGGGGACAACGTTCTTTGCACCGTCGGCTACTTTTCTGGCGAGTCTAGAGTCAGACTAGGGCTGTGGTATTTAAGGATGAAAACGTTCATGTGTAAATATGAATATTTTCATGTCCACAGAATAATCCAGAACAAGCATAGTGTTGTTGGCCTCTTATAACTGATGTCCATTTTCGGGTTGAACTTCATGCCAGTGTGCTACGAGCCAGCCCGTCGACTTCCGCGGCGTGACTGGCGGTGCCCCTAGTTTTCAAAACAGCGCACTGGGCTGGACTGGTCCCAGCTAATGCCACATTCCTGGTTTCCATGGTGGGAATCTTGACGCTGACAAGGAAGTTTGTTTACCATACTCGACCCATGAGGCGAGGAATGTCGGACAATAAGTCCGGCCTTAAATAAACACAACAGTCCACTTGCCCGTGGTCCTCAATTACTCTTAATCCCCTTCACTCTGCACAGTCAAAACCACATAACACAACATATCACCATGAAGCTCTCCATCTTTCTCCCGCTGGCAACATTCCTCTCCCTCACATTCGCTGAGGACTACAGCCCATGCGTCGTGCGTGAACCCTTCCGAGCATATTAGCAGACCTGGATAAAAATGGCTAACGCCGAACCCTTTTATAGTCGAGATGTCTGGACGAAGGTGCAGCAGTCGCCGGCTGCATTTCAGTCATTGACTACAAGTGCACCTGCACGAGCCCGGCTTTCCGGGACACAGTGCAAGCCTGTCTGAAGTATGCGTGCACGGCAGAAGATGCAGTGGGTATGTAATTCCTTCTGATCATTTGAGAAATGCTCTTCCGTATGAGAATTCCTGCTAATTTGTTCTCTCTCTTTTCCAGAAGCGGGAAAACTGCATGAGGAACGGTGTGGGACTGCACCACCTTCCTAGGAGGGTTTTCGACTCTTAAGTTCTAAATTGTCGTGTGAAATATTGTATTCTCTTGCAGAAGTTGATTTAGATCGAATAATATCTAGTTTGGTGTAAAATATTCCTTCTTGCCTTGGGGGGTCATACGGTTTCAAGAAAGGTCATCGATATATATCCGATGCACAGGTTCCCCCATTATTTGTAGAAAAACAGCCAGAAGATCCAACAAAGACGAGTTGTATATCCACACCCTTCCATTGCAGCTAGGAATAAAAACAAGTCGGAATGGAGCAGTGCAGCAGAGCATGACCTGCAGATCCAAGTGGGCGGAGTTGCTGAAAATACTTCCGGCACATTATATACACTCCAAAGCGGTTGCTTTAGAGTAAACTATCAAGCAGTTTACTTTCGCTACGGATCGAGTGAACCATATACTTCCCCTCGTTGCATTGGCACGAACCTAACATCAAGCTACTTGGGGGACCGGAAAATGGAGGAAGACAATTTAAAAGAACATGATATTTTTCGCTCTTGAGTTCATATCTTGAATCCAACCATCATCCATCTAAGCCTGAGACAGGTTCTCGTAGGCCTCGGGGAAGCGGCGCATGTTCTCCTCAATCAGACCGTGGCCAGTCAGGAACTGGACGTAGGCACCATCCTGCTTGAGCTTGCCCTCCTGGCGGAGCTTGACGTACTCCTCGCGGCGGACGGGGGTGAAGCCCCACTTCTTGGAGACGATGATCTTTTGGCGGCCGGGGAACTTGTACATCGAGCGACGGAGGGCCTCGATGGCGGTGGCGCGGTGGGCGTCACGGGTGCGGACGGACAGGATGATCTGGCCGATGTTCACACGGGCGACGGTACCCTGGGGCTTACCGAAGGCACCACGCATACCAGTCTGCAGACGATCGGCACCGGCGCACGACAACATCTTGTTGATACGGACGACGTGGAAGGGGTGCACACGGACGCGGAGGTGGAAACCTTCCTTACCGGCGATCTTGACGAGGTACCTATTGCGTTTGTTAGAAAGGGATCGAAAGGCCCGACAGAGCGGGAAGTCACGTACTTGTTGGCGCAAATACGGGCAGCCTCGAGAGCCTCGGAGGACAGCTGCTCGTACTCGTTGGAGACCAGGTGGACGCAGTTGGGGAAGTCGTCAACGGAGGCCTTCTTGCGACCAAGATCGAAGATACGAATCTTAGGGTCGGGAACACCACGGTTGAACCGGGACTTGGGGTAGGGCTGGATTGGAGATTCAGTCAGTAACTGTTTCCATGCAAGGCCCTCAAAATTCTTCCAGATCGAGTCTCGCCCAAACGACAAAACCTCGCAGTCAGGATGCACCGACTCGTCAGTCATAAACGCTGCCGGTCGATGGCACACCCACAACCACTCTGTTTCGTCATCCGCACAAAACCATCTCCAGTCCATCTTTCAAGGATGCGAAGTATCGGAACGCACCTTGTTCTTGCAGTAGCGGTAGCATCTCGCGGGACGGCGGGCCATTTTGAGTGCGGGAAATAGGTCGAATGCACTTCCTGCGAACGGTGGGTTGAAGGGAGATAGGCTGGTCGAGGACGAAGAGGAGAAAAGAAAAGGAATCACGTAATCAGTGGATTGATAATCCGTTTCGCTTATGTCGCTCAATGCGGACTAGCGCGCCACTGTTCTGTATGGCCAATCAGAGTGGAGAGCTGCGGGAACAAAACCCTACGAGGAAAGCCCTAATCCCAGATTGGGCGAAGAGGTGACTTCTTATTATATAGGACCGTCGCTGAATAGATGACTCCGCTATACAATGTGGATTGCGTTCGTGAGTCAGTGAACGATGCGAATGCCCGAGTCATCTAAGAGCTGCGCCTTGTTGATTTACAAGCACGCTTACACAACCATCTACGCCGAGACCGAGGAACAAGTCAGACCAAGTAAATGGCTTTGGATTTTTGTCATCACTATCTCATATGCGCCGTGAATCCCTACCGGGTATCACCAACACATACTCCGATCCTCCATTCGTCCCCTAGCAACCCGCTTACACGGTACCAGTCAGGATGTCGGAGTCACCGGCATCCAGGATGGCCATGGTCGCGCAGCGGAAGAGCTTACCGCAGGCGGTACCCAGCTCGATCTGTTAGGTGTTGGTCAGTCATGGTCTGCCTTGTAAGAATTCCCTCAGAACGTACGTTGTTGCCCGAGAAGTGGTGGACGGGGGTCTTGGCGAGCATGGCGTAGTACTCGAGCTCGCTCTTGCGGAGGGGAGGAGTGTTGGCCGCGATGATGACCAGCTTGGCCTTGCCCGAGCGCAGAGTCTTCATGGTCGACTTAGCACCCAGGGTGACCTTACCGGACTTCATCACCAGGGCGAGCCTGGAGTTGATCTAGAATTTTGATTAGACCCTCCACGGAAGAAAAGACAGAAGGAATTGCACTCACGTTGTCGGAACCCTTCTTGCTCTTCTTGGGGGCCATCGTTGCGCTGTGAAGTTCGTCTAGGACTTCGGTTCGGTGGGAGTGGAATGAAAAGGATGCGCTCCGGCCGGTGTGGATGATGGTTGGAATCGACCGATGACAAGATTTGGTGAGGGTTGTGTGGGCGCCCGGAAGGGTGGTTGTTCCGTCCCGGCAACGAGAGATCACATGACTGGGCTGAAACAGTGGATGCCTCAGGCCTGTTGAACGCGGACCCTGAAACAACCCATGAGGATACTAGTCCATGATCTGTCCTCTGCCAGACGGCTCAAGATTTTCGTCTTCGCTTGCTAGGTTCTTCTGAATCTTCGACTTCTTTCTCGTGTTTTTCCGCCCGCTCGGAACTTCTCCCTGCGCACTTCGCCCCCCCTTGGTTGTCGTGACGATACAGTATTTTTAGATACAGCAAGGGATTCCCGCATTCCGCGCCCAGAAAAACAACTCTCGCCCGCAACCAGCACACTTCCTTCGATTCCACGCTGGTCTCAGATGCCCTCCCGTCTTCGATGATCCTTTGGCCTTGATCAGCCATGTGGCACGCATTCAATCTCTGACAGCTGCCACTATACATTCCTCATATACAAGACAGGAGTGACCCTCTCCACACGGGGTGTCCACTTTTGACCGCTATTACTATTATCCCCCTTCCGTTGTTCTCTCCTGACGGCCGTCGAATCGGACTGGAGTGACGGCAATTGTCACTGGGATCCTTTGTTTCTTAACGACCCTCCGTTTGATTCATTATCTCCTTGTACGATGTCAGCGCCGCCTCGCAAGCCCGGACCCCCGGGCAGTTCCAACAAATCATCAGCCGCAGATCCGCCCTCGACCAACGGGTCCACCACACGAGGCCATGCTCGCTCGCCAAGTGCCACACCCAACGGCCTCAACCGTACCCCTTCCTACAGAGGCTCAACCCCCGTTTCTGCGCGCGCCGCTGCGAGAAAACCCGGCCGATCGAATCTCAGCATGTCGAACGTGCCGCGAATGTCGAATGACCCCTCGGACGAGGAGGCACGGGCCCAGAATGTCGCTCTGATTGACGAGCTCAGGGAGCAGTTGCAAAAGGCGGAGACGGCGTCGGATCAATACCAGAAACAACTTGGTGTTCTACAAATGCGCCTGGACGAGGCGATCAGCGAACAGGGGAAGCTGGAGGATCAGGCCCACGAACGGGATAGCCGGGTCGAGACGCTGAACACCGAGATTAAGGACCAGGCCCGCCAGATTCGCGAAATGGAACAAAACCATGCGTCGGAGCGAAATGCGATGCTGCAAGAGAAGGAGCAGCAGGCGAGCCGAGAGGAAGAAATGCATGCGACGATTCAGCGCCTGAAGGAGTCCATCTCGCAGAAGGACGGCCGCATGAACGCCGAAGGCGATCGCCAAATCTCCCGATCTTGTATGTGCTCTACCCACCGATCCAGCTTGTAGTTACTAACATTGCGCTACAGCCAGTTTCCGCAATAGAGCCTCGCCGGACCTCGATGGACAATTTGCTCCCTCGTCGCAGCTCGAGCGCAGTCCCTCCCGCAATAATTCAAATCTTCTTCTGCAAAAGGATAAATTGATTGAATCTTTGCGCCTGGAACTAGCCGAATCCCAGATTAAGCTCGTCGAGATGGAAAACAAAGGCGGAGGCCGTCAGCAAGAATTGGAAAAGGAACTCCTGGAAGCTCGCATGGCTAATGCTCGCTTGATGGAGGACAACGAGAGCTATCAACTCCTCCTGAGCGAGAAGACTCTGACTGGGGACTTTACGAAAGGCGACTTCATGCGCGATGCCCATCCGGAAAGTAAATATTCCACCGGTGGCATGGGCTCGTTGGCGGATGAGCTCGAGTCTGTGGACGAGGGCCCTGAGATCGACCCCAACCGCAGGGCAGACATGGAAATTAAGGGCCTCAAAGACCAGAACAAGGCGCTGACGCTGTACATCGAGCGCATTATCAGCCGCTTGCTGCAGCATGACGGGTTTGAGTACATTCTGGACAAGAATGAGGAGGAAGGGACGGCTGGCCACAAACACCAAAAGAGTGGTAGTGATAAGGAACTTCCTCCGACTCCCCCGGAGAAGGATGAGGCTGCTGGTCCGTCGCTGTTGCAGCGGGCCAAGTCGGTCGTCGCTGGCCCTCGCTCCACGCCACGATCACGCCCGTTCAGTATGATGCCTCCTCCTAGCATTCCCCCTCCGACCACCAACGAAAACCCCGATACGGCTCCCAGCATTCCCCTCCGCGGTTCGTCCGTCCGGGCTAGCCACCGCCGCGTCCGATCGGAGCAGGTCGACCCGAACGCCGCGTCCGTCGTTGGTCAGATGTATCGCGGGCCCCATTCGACTGGGCCGACTAGTCCCACTGCCCTGGGCCCCGGTTCCCGGCAGAGTATGTTCCCGGCAGCTCCTGGGTACATCTCCAGCGTGAGCCGTGCGCCGTCGATGTCCAGCCAGCCCGATCGGGCCGGCCACAACAGCTCGCCCAGCGTTACTAGTGATGTCGCGGCCGATACTGCTTCGACTGGTGCGACCTCCAGCCCGCCGCGGTCCAGCAGCGGGATGACCAATTACCCTGGTGCCGTGATGACGCAGAACAAACTGCGGCCCCTGCGGCTTGTGAGCGAAACAGCCAGGCTGGAGGAGGAGGAAGCCGCACGTAAGAAGGCCAACCGGGGCAGCTGGATCCCGTGGTTCAACAAACCGCCAAACCTGGAGGAGGCACCGCCGTCGTAGGCGGTTGATGATACGGATTTTCTCTTATGACTGTTTTCTTCTCGGGCTGGATGATCTCATGTGGTCTTACATTTGTCTTTCCCATACCCCCTTTGTGATGCACATATAACGCGATCCATGCCTTTCCTGTAATGGGCGCCTCTGATGGTGGAGGTTGCCGAGTTATGTTTGACTGTTTTTGAATTGACGCGCCGTTCTCCCTTGATATACCAGATTAGTTATTCAGTAATATTCTCCCATCACTATACATAGTCTTGTTTACCTTCTTCTGACTGGAACTCCCTCTCTTCCTCCCCGCGGGTTTACTGGGCGGGCAGCGTCTACTCCGGAACAACATTCGGCCGTCTCCGCCTGCGGCCAGTGTGGCTCTTAGGACAGCGTCAACAATTCAAACCCTCACAACCATTCCTTACCCCTACACCGTCACCATGCCTGGTCCTCTGTCTCTCTTCTCCGTCAATGCCGTCCTGGTCATGTCGGCCGACGACGGGTCGCGCATCTTCGCCAAATACTACTCAGCGCCGCATCCCCCCGCGGGCACGGCGCCCAACTCGACCAATTTCCCAGGCGCCAATCCCTACCAGACGGTGAAAGAGCAACGGGCATTCGAGAAGGGCCTGCTGGAGAAGACCAACAAGTCCGCCAGCGACGTCATCCTGTACGACAACCGCATCGTCGTGTTCAAGATGGAAAGCGACGTGATGCTGTACGTGGTGGGGAGCGCCGACGAGAACGAGGTGCTGCTGTATAACGTGGTGCTGTCTCTGCGCGATGCCCTCGGCATTCTCTTCAAGTATGTCTTTCGTCTTTATTGTCATGATCCAGTGTGAACGGGCATCAGCTAACCCGCAAAAACAGGGGCGCCACCGACAAGCGCACGATCGTCGAAAACTACGACCTCGTCTCCCTGACCATTGACGAAATCATTGACGACGGAATCATCCTCGAGACCGACCCGGTCATGATCGCCTCGCGGGTTAGCCGGGCGCCGGCCGCAGACGCCCCGAATATGAAGAACATCGATCTCTCGGAGCAGGGCCTGCTCAATGCGTGGGAGTTTGGCAAGCGGCGTCTGGCCGAGCAGCTGCGGCAGATGTAGACACGTTTGGTTTATTTCGTTTGGAGCATTGTTTAATTTAATTCCTGGCTGGTCCTGGCGTGATGTTTCTTTTATCCTTTTTGGTTTGGTGATGATGAGGGTCCTCTCTCTGTTTGACTGACTTGCTGGTGGACTGGACTCTATAGACTCTGCTGTGATTTCTGGCATTGATGCATGTGTGGCACAAAAATAGGTGTCTGGCTAGGTACTGTAAGAGGTGGCTGATGCCTGCAATGAACAACAATACAATACATACCTCATTCTTCAACGTTGGCCCATTGATGGTGTCTTGTTTGCTTGTTGACCTGGGCAGATGTCTGAGGCATTGGAATTACTTTCCTATATAAGACGCTCCCCCGCTTGCCCTCTTCCTTTTTCCTTCTTTCCACTCCCCACTTCCTCCTCTGCTGTCCACTCGTCCCTTTTATATTTATATATCCGTGGATACATAACTATATCTACTTCCTATCGAAAGTATCTCAATTCCCTCATGTCGAAGATCTCGACCAGGACTAGACAAGGCGCGCTCAGTCATCCAAATCGTGACCGAGAAGGCGGATGCCCTCGACAGTATCCATGGCGGGGACCACGCTTCAGGTCAAGGCAAGAGGCCTTGACATCCATGTGGATCATGCCTGGACTCAGATCCATCGCATTAATGGCAGCCTAATGACCAGAAGCAACACCATTTGCAAACCTTCATCATGACCAATGTGAGCCAGAAAAGATCAATTATCTGATGCCTACGTCGTTAACTGCTATTAGTACACCAACTTCCAGGCTACCCGTCAAGAAATTGAGCGCATTCGACCAGAGGACCCTGAGACCCTAGGACGGATGGTTCCCTAGAAATGCCCTTCTGCAAAATCTGGAGATCTCTCTATAGGCTCGGAAATGTCGTATGAAATGTCTAGTTAACTACCGTATGATCCTATTGTAGTGTATATATACTCCACTAGCCCCGCATACGTCACCCACGAAAATCCCTTTCTTTGTCAACTCCCGACCTGCACACCATGAAACAGCGTTTCTCGTCATTGGACGTGCAGGTATGGATTCGTGTCCTTCTCCTACATAGTACAAGACTGACCCAATCAACCCCCTGCAGGTGATCACCCAGGAGCTGGCCGCCGAGCTGGTCAGCCTGCGCGTGTCCAACATCTACGATCTGTCCTCGGTTCGTGCAATTGCCTTCCCCGGTCTGTGAGCCGACACTGATCATTGACTAGCGTATCTTCCTCTTCAAACTCGCCAAACCAGACCACCGCCGACAGCTTATAGTCGACTCCGGCTTCCGCACCCATGTCACCCAGTACTCCCGTACTGCCGCGACCGCCCCCTCGCCCTTCGTGACCCGCATGCGCAAGTTCCTCAAGTCTCGCCGGATCACAGGAATCACGCAGATTGGAACAGACCGGATCATCGATTTCTCCTTCAGCGATGGCGCATACCACATGTTCCTCGAATTCTTCGCCGGCGGCAACATCATTCTCACGGACCGGGAATACACAATTCTTGCCTTGTTTCGCCAGGTGCCCGCGGGAGAGGGCGAGGAGGAGACCAAGGTTGGGCTGAAATACACAGTCACCAATAAGCAGAACTACGGCGGGGTTCCAGAGATCACCCGCGAGCGGGTGAAGGACACGCTGAACAAGGCGCAGGAACTCTTCGCGCAAGAGGGCAACGCCCCCAAGAAGTCGAAGAAGAAGGCAACAGAGGTGCTGAGAAGAGCATTGTCGCAAGGTTTCCCGGAATACCCTCCACTGCTCTTGGATCATGCCTTTGCTGTGAAGGAGTTCGATCCAGCGACGCCGCTAGACCGGGTGCTTGCGGATGAAGGTCTACTTCGCAATGTCGAAGGAGTCTTGGAAGAAGCGCAGCGAGTCTCTACAAATTTAAATATCGGCGACAGTCATCCCGGCTACATTATTGCCAAGGAAGACACTCGACCCCGTGCGGACGGGGAGAGCACATCGCAAACCCCTGGCCTTCTATACGAAGACTTCCATCCCTTCAAGCCGCGGCAGTTTGAACGCAACCCGGACATCACGATATTGGAATTTGAGCGTTTCAACGCAACCGTCGACGAGTACTTTTCGTCGATAGAATCCCAGCGGCTGGAGTCGAGACTGACCGAGAAAGAGGAGGCAGCGAAGCGAAAGCTCGAGTCCGTGCGGAAAGAACATGAGAAGCGGATCGATGCGTTGAAAGATGCTCAGGAGCTCCATATTCGCAAGGCGGACGCGATCCAAGACAATGTCTACCGCGTCCAAGAAGCGATGGACGCTGTCAACGGTCTGATCGCACAGGGCATGGATTGGGGTGAGATCGCCCGCCTGATCGAAATGGAGCAGGGACGAGGCAATCCAGTTGCACAGAGCATCAAGCTGCCTCTCAAGCTGTACGAAAACACGGTCACGTTGCTTCTCGGCGAGGTAGGCCAGGAGGAAGATGAAGACGAGCTTGCCTCGAGCGATGAGTCTGAGTCTGAATCCGATGATGATGATGAAAGAGAAGAGCAGAGGCGTGAGACCGAGTCTCGGATGCTGTCGATTGACATCGATCTCGGACTTACTCCATGGGCAAATGCAACGCAGTATTACGAGCAAAAGAAGGTGGCCTCGCAAAAGCAGCAGCGGACGGCACAGTCGTCCGAGAAGGCACTCAAGAGTCACGAGAAGAAGGTAACGACCGATCTCAAGCGGAGCCTGAAGCAGGAGAAACAAGTTCTGCGCCAGGCTCGCACGCCGTTTTGGTTCGAGAAATTTATCTTCTTCATTTCTTCGGAGGGCTATTTGATCCTTGGGTCCGTATATCTAAACACTCTGATTGTGACGTCTGCTAACCTCCACAGGGGCCGAGACGCCATGCAGAGCGAGCTGTTGTATCGGCGCTACTTGAACAAAGGCGACATTTTTGTGCACGCAGATCTGGCAGGAGCGACCCCGATGGTTGTCAAGAACAGATCCCAGAGTGTGGATGCGCCAATCCCTCCTAGCACTCTGTCTCAAGCGGGCAATCTGTGCGTCGCCACCTCGACAGCATGGGATTCCAAGGCCGTGATGTCTGCCTGGTGGGCATATGCCCATCACGTGTCGAAGATGGCAGCATCAGGTGGAGGAATCTTGCCGACGGGCGAATTCCAGATCAAGGGTGAGAAGAACTTCCTGGCTCCCTCGCAACTGGTCCTTGGGTTCGCAGTCATGTTTCAGATCAGCAAAGAAAGCCTACGGAATCATAAGACACAGCAATTCGAAACACCTGATGTCGCAGGGGAGGCTTATGTGGCTGCCAAGAACAACGAACCTTCGCCTCCCAAACAAGAACCCTCAGAGGGGTCCACCGCAGCCGATGTGAATGGACATGAGGAGGATGAAGACCACATGTCTGACGAAGACGAAGATGATGGAAATGCACAGGCGAGAAACCCCCTGCAGCGAGAGGATTCTAAAGCCCCTCGCGCTACTCAAGAATCCGGAGCACCAGACTCTGACTCTGAATCTGAATTTGATGACGAGAGTGTAAAGAATGAAGGTCAAGAACTGGACGAGGAGCAGGAGGAACGAGTTGGCCGAGAAGATGCTGAGGAGGAAGAAACCGCCTCAGTGGCTGAACAGGAAACCGCTTCTCAACCCAGAGATTTGAAAGATCTTTCTGCACGCGAAAGACGCTCTGTGCGACAGGGCAAGTCTGTTGACCCGAAACCGCCTCAACCTCCCCGGACAGCTCCCACCCGAGGCAAGCGGGCGAAGGAGAAGCGCGCAGCTGCCAAATACGCACAACAAGACGATGAGGAACGTGATCTGGCACTCCGACTTCTCGGTACCAACAAGGGTAAAGCTGCAAAGGCGGCTCAGGCAGCCGAAGCCAAAGCTCAGCGGGAACGTGAAGCCGAAGCACAGAGACAACGACGTCGGGCCCAGCATGAGCGTGCAGCGGAAGCCGAGAAAAAGCGTCAGGCTCTCTTTGCCGAGGGAGGCGCGGACGACTACGACGAAGAGACTGCCGCCGCCGAAGCTGCAGACCTATCTTGGATCCCAGCTCTGATCGGAACACCCACTCCCGACGACGAGATCATTGCCGCTATTCCAGTTTGTGCACCATGGGCTGCCCTGGGCCGGTACAAATACAAGATGAAGCTCCAACCCGGCACAGTGAAGAAGGGCAAGGCCGTCAAGGAGATTATCGGCCGGTGGGTATCTGAGACAACTGCTGGTAAAGTCAAGAAGGAACACGCTGAGGATGCCGGTGTTCCTCGTGCGGATGCAGAGCGGTTGCGGGCCCGTGAGGGTGAGTTGATCAAGGCCTGGAAGGACACGGAGGTCATTAATACCATGCCCGTGGGCAAAGTTCGGATTATGACACCTGGCGGTGCTGGGGCTGGAGGTGGAGGTGATAAAGGCAAAGCCAAGGGAGGCGGCAAAGGTGGTGGGGGTGGTGCTAAGGGCGGGAAAGGTGGGAAGAAGAAGTAGAGATAGGGAGTTTATACCACTGATAGAAGCGATAGACATGCATGACGTTCGTGTTGATTATCTACATGTCCGAGTAGGGTAAGAGAGAAGTTCATGAATAATATTTGCCGACAACAAGCGGCGGTGGCATTCTGTCTCGCCATGGTGCTTTGAAACTTTCGCCGAGGTTTTTGTTCCGTGGTGTGTAATGGTGAATGATGTGGAAGACGTCTCCGGTCTTCAAAATACGCCCCCAAAACCACCTCTCACCTTCGGGCCAACTCATCGACACCGCAGCCCGGTGGCAAAGTCCCTGTAAACCGTGACGCAAGCATCAACTTGGGTACCTACTAGAAGATGAGAAGCATGGAATCACATCCATTGCTAGTATAACCAGTTTGTTCTAAGGTACTCTCAAGGTGTGTGCGTGAGAGAGAATGGGCGCCTGAAAGTGGACTCTATCATCATCACTGACCCAAATACACCAAATAATTCTTCTTCGGTACGCCACCAGCGGTCAAAACCTGGAACTCTTCAATCTCCGAATTTGTTACCACCGCTTATTTGTCGGTCACATCTCCAATGTGGCTACGCAGAGACCTGATCCATACCTGTGTAACCATCACTAATACGTTTATTACCATCCAAGGACAGCTGCATAATGATCTGAGGCGTGCTTGTGAGATCACCGCTGATCTGTTGATCGGCCCTCCAAGGTGGCTACTCCCTCCAATGTGGCTACATCGAAATAAGATCCGTCCGTGTGCAGCAGACGAAGGATGTCCTGTCGATCAGATCACGACCGTCCTTTCCTTCACCTCCCATATATAAATTAAACCTCCGTTAAAAATCCTAAAAGTACGTCCCAGACCTCATATTATATTGTACGAAATGACCGTCATTCACATAGGTGAGAGTTTCCACGGTCCTACTAAGTCTGCATCCAAGCTTTTGTTGATGTTTTGGATATAGTTATGTTCAAGTTTCGCCCTGAAGTGACAGAAGAACAAAAGAAAGCCATAATTCAGGAGCTGAAAACGCTCAAGACATTGGATTGCGTCAAAGGACACCGGCTTGTGGTTGGGGGCCCTTCCATCAACACCCCAGTCGAAAAGACCAAGGGATTCGAGATTACACTCCTCAGCTTCCATGAAAACCTGAAAAAACTGGAAGAGTACAGAGACAGCGAGGAACACCAAAGGTAAACTAAAATTTCGATGTTTTTACGTTCCCCCTCTTCTTCGGAAGTTCTCTCATTTAATGCTTACTTCCCATGCGTAAAGGGTCACTAAAATGTATGTCTTCCCCTATACGGAAGATCTCCTTCGGTTTGACTTTGAAGTCTCTTCCAATGATGAATATATGTGGGAAGCTTTCCATCAGTCGGAGCTGGAGTGATAATGTGATAGCTCGTGGAAGAGGATGACAGAGGGCTGGCGGGTTGGCATTCACATGTGCTTATGCAACTTTTTTTCCATTACCTTGTTTCGTATCTCAAAATTGGGTCCTCTTTTGATCTAGATGACACCAATAAATGAAAACGTTCAAAGACTTCGATACAATACTTTGGTGGCGAATGATTTCCCCCTATTTGGCCGTCTTGATCGGAACATAAGCGGATCTAGAACCATTTGCTTGACTAATATCCGAAGCGTCCGGTGATAATTTAGGAAAGAAGTGCTCGTATTTCTGATATATGATGGGAGATATGCCTATTTATTGGATTCTCGCATAGCTGGGGTGGGTTACACAACATGTGGACCAGGAGAATTAGCCAAACTTAACAGACACACAACACACTCTTAGGAGACAGTTGCCACCCGTAAGTGACACCGGCTTCGATTCAGAATAATCTACACCGGATTGCTTCAGGTAAGGAAACCGACATAGGGACTCCATTCGTTCACGTATATATAAGCTAGGTTCACCGTCGACACGGTTTCTCTTTCCCAGAACCCAGAATATCAGAATCTTTTCAACACGGTCATTCATCATGATTTCTCTCATCTACACTCAGTGCAGCAATGCGCGCCCTAGCGCGCTTTGTGATCTATTACGAAAGTACGGAGTGGGCCGTGTGCTTGAATGTGACTCGACGTCTACGCCTGAAATACCATCTGGCGATGAAGAAATAATCTTGGTCAACTATGATCATGAGTTCTCCACTGCAGCAATTCGACAGGTCACGTTTCGGACTGCACGACTGCCCAAGGCATTCGTCATCTGGGATAGTCCGCGTCAACAGCAGGTTGTCGCAATGCGAGTGCCTCACGCCACTTTCCAAAATAGTCTGATCGAGAACAAAGATCTGTCATCTACGGTACGTGCTTTGGCAACACAGAAAGATTTGGTCTCTACCACCTACGGGGAGTTCTGCTCGAACAGTGCATGTGCTGTTGGGGGCTCGTTTTCGGATTCTGGGGTACGTCAATACTTCGCCAAGGTTGCCAAAGACCGCGGCGTTCAGAAACTGCGAGACGAAATTCGCATGTATCAGTCTCTACCGGAAGACTTGCAGGATCATTATCCGCAGCTTATCTTCACGTCAGAGGAGGATGGAACCGTGACTATGGGAACGAACTTTCAGGACTTTCCCAATCTTCGTGACCTTTTGTTAAACAACCATATTTCTACGGCTGAGGCTGCTAGAATCATGACAAAGGTCTTGGATTTTGAGTATAATCAGGCTTTTCTTCAGTACCAGCAGCCTACTCCCGAGAACTACCTCTACGACTATCACTTCCTTCGGGCCTGGAGGCGCTTAACAATGTCTGCCGAGATAGATCCAATCTTCGGGCCGATTGTGGCTGCTCCATCGTTAAAGATCAACGGCCAGCAAATACCTAGTGTTCCAGCAATGCTTTGGCGTCTAGAGCAGGACCAAGAGGCAGCTCGACGCCTGGATCCAGGAGGCGTCTCGCCTTACATCCATGCCGATTTTCACCCTGGAAATATCATTTGTGACATCAAACAAGACCAATTCTGGCTTGTGGATCCGCGCGGGTATCCGCTATGTGATATCTTTTATGACTTGGGAAAATTGGCGCAGAGCACTAATAGCTGCTATGATTTACTGCATGAAGGTCGGCATGAAGTTTCTTATGAGGCCAAGGGGGACACAGCAACGATCAACTACAAGTTTCTCGTGCCTAGCTTTAGAGCGCAATACGCAGACTTGAACGCCAGATTACAGCCCGTTATTCACAAACTCTTAGAGGCAGACAAAGGCGATGTGGATCTACGGATCCGGTTCAATGAGGCCATGCACCTCTGTTCCCTCATGCCGTTCCATATCCATCCAGACGCCCAGCCTTCTCTGGCTGTTCCAATTTTTGCAATTGGTGCAATGCGTCTGTCGGAAGTAATGGGTCTGCTGGGCATCAGCATGGATGAATGTGCGGCAAACCATGCGGGTGGGCTGGAGCGATTGAAGGAGATGGGCCAAGCTGCGTGGCGTTTCGAGGGGTAGATGAGCTTAGTCGACCAGGCACCTCATGTTGGGTACTACAGTGAACAGCAGCGAGCCTGTCACTCCCGTGAGCATGACGCGGCTCGTTGATCTTGAGATAGATAGGCAGAGGCAAAACAGGAGGCGAGTTGACAGTGGTATTGGAATTCTCACGGAAGAGGACCTCTGGAGGGTGAGGACATCTCTGTCCTGCGCTGTGGTCCTGGATGCTGATGTTACTGAGCTACCCGCTTCGGTTTTGTAGCCTTTTCATTCGTTTTTAAATTTGTATCTCGGTATATATTGGCCAGCATACTAAATTCTACATTGTTGTTGGAGTGAAATATAGGTTTCTTCACGAGCCAGCAGGCTGCAATGGACGAGTCTTTAATCGGTGTAGCAGACCTCCTCAAATGCATATTCCAATGACGAATATCCCAAGTTATGAAACAGAGGGTGACTGGGTGAGAGAGGAGGGTATTGTATACTTGCCTATTTGGGACACTACTATCAGGACCAAATCGAATACACTGAACATTTGTGCTATTGATATTGCTTCTCTCCGAACTTCTCTTTCCGCTCACTCCCTCTATTGATCTCTTTCTCGGGATAGTCAATTGTCCGGAACTTCATGCGGTGCCTGGTCGGCTGAGTCATCCAACGTCATGGCCCATGTTCGCGATAGAGGGAAAAAAAAACCCGAATTTCTTGGACGCGCAAGAAACCAACGGCATGGCACCTCCAAGTGACGTTTGATGGGATAGTGCACCCTCAATTCGCTGACTTCATTCCACCGGCAAAGACAAGCTTTGTCGGGGATATTATCCCTCCAATCCTGCCACACTGGCTCCGCCCGCCATACATCACTCCCGCCCTTCGACCGGATTGCGCGTGCGCGGGGAGGGCACGTCATTGATCGGATCCGCTTGAAACATCGGACAAACTGCTGCTCCCTCGCATCCTTGCTGGCACCCGTCAGCGCACTGTTGCCAGATTCTTGACCATGGCGGCCCAGGAGACCACCCGGGTTGTCTCTGTCGAACGACTCAGCCAGGGACCGGGCGACCGAACTCTGGCGGAGTGGTGGGAGGCAGAACGCAGTAAACAAACCCCCGAATCCAAAGCTATCGAAGAAGCCGCCCATCTACTCCGGACCAGTGAAATTCCCGTCGCCTTCCCAACCGAGACCGTGTACGGACTGGGTGCCGATGCGACTCGCAGCGCCGCCGTCCAGGGTATCTACAAGGCGAAACAACGGCCATCGGATAATCCGCTGATCGTCCATGTTGATTCAGTCGACATGCTTGATCGCCTACTCAACCCCACGCAGCAGACCAGCCCCAGCGTAGCCAAGATGCCGCGCATCTGCATTCCGCCGATCTACAAGCCTCTGATCGAGCGGTTCTGGCCGGGCCCGCTGACGATCATCCTCCCCAATCCATCTGGATCTGAGCTGGCTGCAGAGGTGACCTCCAACCTGACGACATTTGGGGTGCGCATGCCTTCTTCTCCTCTGGCGCGCCTTCTCATCCATGCCACGGACCGCCCGCTTGCCGCGCCGTCGGCCAACGCCTCCACCAAGCCCTCTCCGACGACAGCGCAGCATGTCTACCACGACCTCCATGGACGGATCGATCTGATTCTGGACGGTGGCCCATCCGGCCTCGGTGTTGAGAGCACAGTGGTCGATGGGCTCTGTGAGCCGCCCGCTATTCTCCGGCCGGGCGGCATCGGCATTGAAGAGCTGCGCGAGTGCGCCGGGTGGGAAGACGTGGTTGTCGCATACCATGACGCCACACTGGACGTGAAGGAGATCCCGCGCGCTCCCGGCATGAAATACCGACACTACTCGCCCAAAGCACGGGTGGTACTGTTCGAAGCCGGATCAAACCCGGCCGGGGTCGTGGCTCACGTCCGCAAAGATCTACAAGACACTGCTATTGGCGCGCATACCATCGGCATTGTGCGTACGCGCAATTGGGCACAGGGATTGAATCTGGCGCCGGCCGACGAACTGGCTCGGACCTTGACTCCCGTGTCAGCGGCCATCGATAACCTGGTCAGCTTCCCGATTCCCGTCCTCGAGACCGGCAGCCCGAGCAGCCGGACCAAGATGGCGTATGATTATCATCTCGGCTCGGATGCGGTCTCGATTGCACACGGACTGTTTGCTACCTTGCGTGCCCTGGACGAATTCGACGTCGATGTCATCTACGTCGAAGGCGTTTCAGACCGAGACGGCGACTTGGCAGCCGCGGTAATGAACCGACTACGCAAAGCGGCGGGGGCGGAATTGAAGGTATAGATGGAATGTTGATAGAGGCCTTATTTTTCGGGTTGTATTTTAATAGTGTTCTCCTGTTTGCCATGTATTGTACAGAGTAATATCAACAGAAGCACCTAATCTCTTGGACCTGCCGCATCGGGTGCACAGAGTCTCTGTATACTCTTCGTGGAAATGCTTATCGGGGACCTCCGCCGCTTATCGATCCCCGCCCATATCACTCAACTACTACAAATCTGGGCTTCTGCCCGCCCAGTTCTTCTTCTCCGGGGGAGGAACTCACTGTCAAGCATTATTACCCATTATGTGCCAACACTCGCTCCACGAGTTCCTCCAGGGCCTGCCGAAATGCGAGCACCACGTCCACCTTGAGGGGTGCTTGACCCCCGAGCTGATCTTCCAGCTGGCCGAGCGCAACGGCATCGCCCTGCCCGACCCAGCCACCAACCCAGCGTACGTCTCAATTGAATCTCTGACGGCACGCTATGACCATTTCACCTCGTTGGACGATTTCCTCTCCTTCTACTTCGAGGGCATGGCCGTGCTGCGCAAGGAGCGCGATTTTGCCGACCTTGCCTGGTCGTATTTCCAGCAAGCCCACGCAGACGGCGTGCACCACGCCGAAGTTTTCTTCGACCCGCAAGTGCATCAAAGCCGGGGTGTTCCCTACGCTACCATCGTCGCCGGCTTCGCGGAGGGGTGTCGACGCGCAGAGCAGGAGCTGGGGATATCAACCCGCCTGATCCTCTGTTTCGTGCGCCATCTGTCCATCTCCTCCGCGAAACAAGTCTATGAGGAATTCGTGCAGCACCAGCACGTTGAGCTGGGTGTCATCCATGGCCTGGGCTGGTCCTCCACCGAAGTCGGTCCGCCCAAGGATATGTTCCGGGAGATCTACGCCTCGGCCGCGGAGAAGGGGATTCCCCTGACCGCGCACGCAGGCGAGGAAGGTGATCCGACGTACATCAGTACCGCGCTGGAACTGGGCGCACAGCGCATCGATCACGGGATCCGGCTGATCGAAGACCCGGAGCTGATGAAACGTGTCGCGCGGGAGGGGATCCTTTTGACGGTGTGTCCGCTGTCGAACGTGCGGCTAAAGTGCGTTCCGGACGTGTCGCATGTGCCCATTCGCCGGTTCTTGGAAGCGGGCGTCAAGTTCTCGATTAACAGCGACGACCCGGCGTATTTTGGAGGTTATATCCTTGATAACTACTGTGCGGTGCAGGAGGCATTTGACCTGAACGTGCTGGAGTGGCGCATTATCGCGGAGAACAGTGTGCAGGAGAGCTGGATTCCCAATGAGCGCAAGGCGCAGCTGTTGGAGTCGATCCAGGCGCATGTGAAGAAGCATATGCGGCCCGTGGGGGTATAGGGCTGATAGCTACCCGCTGTGAATATCGCATGCCCGAGTATATACTGCTATTGAATAGATAGACAAGATTTCCCACTATTCTGAACGTATACAAAGGACCAGCCTCAATAACCAACTATTACTAACTAACTTACCCTGTCCATCTACAGATGACTAATCTGCGCCCTTTCCACGCCGGCTGCTGCGTGTTTACGGTAACCTCATCTGTCATGACTTCCATCCTGTCGTTCGGCATCCTCGCGAGGTCAACCCAGCACCTCCGCCTACTGCCTGTACAGGTATCATACCTCCGGAGACTTTCCCATCTTTCCTCGCAAGCCAAGGCCCCTGAAGTGCGCAGTCCAAGGCCTCCTCTGATCAAGCAGTCCATTGCTTACACTCACGCCCGAACAATGTCGACTTCAACCCCAATTCCAGAGCGGTACAAACTAATCTTCTTCGTCCCCCCATCCCACCTGGAGCCCTGCAAGGAAGCCATATTTACCACGGGCGCCGGCTCCTTCCCAGGAGGCAAATACACCAAGTGTGCCTTCCAGACCCGCGGGACGGGCCAGTTTCTCCCGAACGAGGGCGCGGATCCCGCCATTGGGGCGGTGGGTGCGCTTGAGCAGTGCGAGGAACTCAAAGTGGAAATTATGTGTTTGGGGAGGGAGGTGATGCTGAATGCGGTCAAGGAGCTGGTGAGAGCGCATCCGTATGAGGAGGTTGCGTATGAGGTTTATCGGATGGAGGATGCGTAGTTATTAGGTCGGTGCCGGACGGTTTTCGTTCCCATTTTCTCTCCTTATTTGCAAATACCCGAGCCCGGCCTCAGCACTTCCTAGGGCAAGGGTGATCTATAGAAACACGTGACAAGATACAGGACGCTGACTCATCCCTGTAATCTGCCATATCTGATTGGCCAATCCATCCCTCCCGCAAAACGCCAACTCGAATCCGCCCGAACTCCAAACCTCATCCTCTCGACCATCCTCCAATTCCACACTCTCTGCCCGCGATGGCTTCCAAGCTCTTCTACGTCCCGCGGGTTGGCCGCCAGGTGCTACGCCAGGTTTCCGCCCAGAGCAGACCCTTTTCGGCCGGTCCGCAACGGTGCAGCGAATCCCTTTCCGTGGTACGTTGGGGACTGGCGTTGCTCGCACACCCATGAGCCTGAGCCATTGAAGCAACTACTAACGACCCTGATAGCACCGCAACAACCCTACGAACAACCCGAGCATTCCCTTCAAGTTCTCCGAGCAGAACCTGAAACTCGCCGATGAGATCCTCAAGCGCTACCCGCCACAATACAAGAAGGCCGCCGTCATGCCACTGCTGGATCTGGGCCAGCGCCAGCACGGCTGGACCAGCATCAGCGTCATGAACGAGGTTGCGCGCATGCTGGAGATGCCTCCTATGCGTGTCTACGAGGTGGCCACCTTCTACACCATGTACAACCGGGAGCCGGTCGGCAAGTACTTTGTGCAGCTGTGCACGACGGTATCACTCCCCCAAGTGTCTATTTTTCGCATTGCACTAACTGTAGTGTTTTGCTTTAAAGACCCCCTGCCAGCTCGGCGGCTGCGGCAGTGACGCCATCGTCAAGGCCATCACCGAACACCTGGGCATCACCCCCGGCCACACGACCGAGGACGGCCTGTTCACCTTCATCGAAGTCGAGTGCCTGGGTGCCTGTGTCAATGCCCCTATGGTCCAGATTAACGACGACTACTACGAAGACCTGACCCCCGAGTCCATCAAGTCCCTCCTCACAGCCCTCAAGGACTCCGCGACGACCGCCGGTGCCGGCACCAAGATCCCCGCCCCGGGCCCATTGACCGGGCGCGACACATGCGAGAACAGCGCCGGCCTGACAAACCTGAAGAACCCGGAGGAGTGGAACCCTGAGACCATGATGCGGAAGGATGGTGCATTGGACACGCCGGCTCAGCAATAGAGGGATGATGGAATTATAATTTGGGGGGAGTTTGACACCGACACAAGCCTTGCACCTGGAAAATATACACTTACCGAACCCTCAGCCCGGGAGTGTCGGGATTTGCCTTATCATGTACAGTACGTTGTTTTCCGCTGCGCTTTGGTCTGCCGGGGGACCGAATAAAGTGTCATGCAAGAATCAATGGCAGATTTCCTTTGTTTTCAATACTTCAAACAAGTGAGGTTCTTTTCATGAACAGTAACAGCATGTACACCCAACGATGAGCCTCCAGCCCCTTGTAAATCATCAAACATCAAAACCTGGTAAGATCATCGATATCCCCGTTCATCATCCATCCCCAAATCCCCAGTCATCAGTCTCCAAATCGAAGGCAAATTGAGAATATCAGATCACACTCCCACATCAAATGGCTCGCCTTCACATCGAATGACACCCTCGGCGTCACCCTCGGCCTTAGACACCCACTCCAACGCACCAGCACGCTCAACCAGGATCTTGCCCTCTCGTTCCTGCATAACGTTCACATCGACGGTCATCCTCATCAAAAGATGATACACGTGTACAGTTCGCGTCTGGCCGTAGCGTCGTGCCCGTCCAATGGCCTGGGTCATCCCGGCATTCCAATCCTGTTGAGTTGGAACGAGAAGAGGCGAGAGGAAGATAACGTGGTTGGCGCATTGAAGATTTCTAGGAAGTGTCAGTACAAGCCATTCCAGTTTTGTTAGAAGAAAAGAGCGGAATACATACAATCCAGCAGCCATCGAACTACCCAGCTGAAGAATAAGCACCTTAGGCCGAGTCTTCTGCTTCCCCGTGCTCTTTCTATCATTCATCTTGATGTACTCATTAATTGGGCCCATGTACCCAGCCCGTGCCATGCGATGTTCGATGCCATTGGCTTTAAGCGCACGAGAGACGATAGGCATCAGATCTTCAAACTGCACAAAGACGAGCACCAGTTCGTCGGCGGGAACTTGCTGAAGTATCTCGACCAGTTTTTCAATCTTGCTGTCCTTTTCATCAGTGCTCTTCCCGCCCTCGATGCTTGATCCGTGGACGATCTTGCTTGGCTTTGCGGATCCATCGCACCCGGGGACCAGACACTGGCACTCCTTCTCGGGGATTTTGTCGATGCAGACTTCGCACAGGAGATGACCACAGGATGCCAACAGTCCCACTTTGGTGATGCTGACTTGCTGCGCATTGCATTTGGAGCATGTTATTGCCGTCGCCGCAGTCTGTAGGTTCAGGATGGCTTCTGAGAGGCGGATGTCACGCTCGCTTTGGACAATTAGCTTCAAGATAGAGTTAACGTCAACTGCTAGTGCTTTCATCACGGCTTCCACCTCTTGATATTGAAGTTCCGCCTTGGAATTTTCAGCGAGACCGCTGCAGGACAGCTTGGCTCTCTTGCTGGGGCGCCCTCCAGGCAGGCCGCGGTTGTCCTTGGGGCTTCCCGCCTTTTCTTTCGTATGAGATTTTGCCAAAGGCTTCTTGACTTTTTTGGATGCTTTTGCGAATCTCTCTTCCATTTCGGCCGTGACATCGTTGCCGTCGTCACTTCCAACCCAGATATCATATGAAGCCAAGCAACGATTGATAAGCTCCAGGACTTTCGTGGCTGTATCTTGATCCCCAGTTTTATCGAGACGGATTCCTTACAACCAGCTGTTCCAAACACTTGACTGCATCTTCCACCGACGGATGATCATCGCGGCCTGTTTTACAAGACCCTCCAATTTGCTACAATGCTCCGTCCTCGTCTGTCTGTGAGTCTTCAGCCGGCTCTTGTATGCTTCGACATCCCACGGGTTGTTTTGCAGCTTCGTAGATGCACAGTATTTGACAAGAGCTTCCAGCGGGGCCTTGCTGCTGCCCAGTATGTCATTCAAACGGGAAATGACGAGATCGTTGTTGGGATTTCTGATTTTGCGATGCCGGCCATTCTGTTCCACGAGTGCATGAAACAATGCTTGATAGGTTTGCTGCTCCATTGGGGATTGGTTTATCACTACGAGATGTATCTCCGTGGCGATGTGGTCAATTTCCGCAATGTTTTGTCTCGCAAATTTATCTAGGAACCTTTGTGCAATCTCGCGTCTATTGCTGTACCAGGCATCAGAGCGACGGGGCTGGTACATCTGAAAAGACTCCGCTGCGGTGTATCTCCTGCGAATGGATTTCAGTCGACTGTTCTGCGTGGGGACATCTCCATCATCATCCACGCCCAAGTAGAGATCCAGGTACCGTGCAATGCTCTTGATGTCGGCAAATTCACTCATAGCCGGTGTGCCAGACAGAATCCACTTAGAGCGTGCGTGCAACGACAAGATCGAAATCAGTCTTTCTTCCCCGGTGTATGTGTACTCGTCGATGACGATCCGATTGAAACTGAAGAGGTGCAGGAATGGATACCGCATGTCGCGCCAATCGTGATCCTTCTGGGTTGCTGGGATGTTGAATAGCTCCCGGTCGTCTCGCGCCCGAGGTGTGGGGTTGTTGTCAGGTTCTTGGTCGCGTTTTCTTTTGGTAACCTTCTTCTGAGACTCCTCAGAGATGCGCTCTGTAACCTCGTCAGTACAGGCCTTCTCCAAGCAGTTCGCACTTTCCACTGGCTTATCATCTGGTGTTTGATCGCCATCTTTGATGAAAAGAAAGTCAGACTTTGAAGTTTCATCACCAACGCTTGCCTGTTTCTCTTGCTGGGCAAGTGCAAAGCCCTTGCCCCGGACTCGGCGAGAAGGCATGTAGGTATACCCAGCTTGGCGCTCTTTGACCTGCGCGCGCCGTGCCTGAACCTTGCGAAGATATTCCTCAGGCCCGTCAGATGTCAAAATGTCACACAAATCCTTGAGAGCCTGTCGAGCCTCTTGGAACCAGTTATCAAAGTTGCGGCCTGCCTTTACAGGAGGCTCTGGAGTCCCTGTGAACTGCTGTAAAGTTTCGTAGTACACGTTGCTGCTGAACACTTTCCACGCCACGACGATGATATCAGCACCTTGGATGTCTCGAATGCTGAGTTTGCGGAGTTTTCCAACACCCTGAATGGCCAGCACCGTGTGTTGGCTATCGAGGAATTTGTTAATCTCAGACTGCCACTGCTCAAAGACATTGTCCGGAACCACGATCAGGGTTGCGTGAGTGGGGATCAACCCAGAAACCTCCCATGAGAGCGAGCGGTCTTTTTGGATCTGCGCATCAATAAGGCCAAGTATTACTGCCGTTTTGCCATAACCCACTTCATCGGCAAGTACGCCTCCTCGGACAATTTTGGGGATAGCAGCCTTCACCTCCGCCCGCCACGGCATCAGAGGGAGCACAGCCTCTTCAGTTTCCTCCTCCAGAAACGGGGCCACATCTTCCGCCTCCTGAGAAATCGCCCATGCCAGCGACCGCAGTTGCTCCTTCCTCAACTTCTCTTTGAAGTGAGGCGGTTGTGAGCGGGGGGTGTCATCCTGATTGCTCTTCAAAGCGAATTCAGCGGACTTCAGCTTGGCCAAGTCATAGGCATCTGGAATGAGTCGCCAGTGAAGACTGATGCCGTCATTTGGCCCAGTTCCAACAAGCTTGCCGTAAGCCTGATGGGCGAGTGTCTGTACATTGAGAGTGAACCGAAGTCCACTCTCGCTGCCACACCCACCTTGCCTGAAGACCAAGAATGCAGGCGGCTTTGACTTGGCAGCTCGCTCATAGGCGCCTGCCTCCTTCGGGTTCTCGTAGGGCACAATGGCATTTTTCTGGTCTCTACCCCACAAAATGCTGGGCTTCGGTGGATGACAGGACTCGCACGCTGTTTCTTCCGTGTATGGTAGGTTATCCCAGCCATTGAGCTGATGCCAATCTTGGAAATCCCTCCACCCGGAAACCTTCTGGACCAACCAGGCGAAATTCTTCAAGGTGACAGCAGGATCCACAGTGTCCAAGGCTCTCCAGGTGGTGTCCTGTTCTCCCTGTTTGGACGTTGTTGCTGGCACAGACAGCGAGAGCAATGTTATGTAACTTTCGTGGCAATCCTTGTTTCCAATTGAAAGGTGGACTCCGGGTTTCAACCTTTTGCAGATGATCGGACCACTGACAAATCTTTCCAATCTAGCATCGGATATTTTGGCCCAGCAACGGGAAAACGCGTTGGCATTTGCCATGGTACTGGTCATGTCCCATGCTCTCCATGAAGGCTCCAACTCCGCAATGGTAATGCGACTCGAGTATCCTGGGATGCGGTCATGCTCAAGAGAAAAGACACAACAATCTCCATCCGGGTCGCTGTGTTTGGTAGGATCGAGGAAAAGGTAAATGGTAGGACAGTCTCCAGTAGCAGCCTTCTTGTACAGAGATCCAAGTGCCGTGCCACAATCAGGAAGATACTCGTATTCGCCTCTAACATTCACGTCCAAGCGTCTGGCGTCTTCCGCTTCTCCGCCAACAGTGAGACGACTCCAGGTTCTGGAGTTCAAATACTTGTTTGTCTGCAGCCCACATTCAGCCTGGAATGTTTTGACCTGGCTCCCACTGCCTGCAAATGTGAGAGCGAGCTTTGTGCTGAAGGGAGAACAGACCTCCCAGTCACCATCAATGAGCGATTCCTGCCGAGGTGTCATTCTTGCAATTGGCTGGGCAAGTATTTCTCTGATAAGACTCTGAGACGGTGCTGATGCGGGTGGATTCGCATAATAGATCCATTGTAAACCAGTGCTGCTGATTATGAGACTCAGGCTGGAATTCGAATGTCTGCCTTTGTAGACGGCTTTCCAGACGCGTCCTCGGGTAATATCAAAGAAACGGAGCTCTTCACAAAGTGCAGATTTGATTATTTCCGTGAAGTTCTGCCATTCAAAGCCTTCCACGCATTCCCGCTTGTAATTCACGAATTGCTCGAAATCCATAATAGAGATGCCGGTGAGCTTGAGCCTTATCGGCAGCAGGTCTTTCAGATACGTGGTAAAACCCGACGGCTCGCTGCGCGGAATTGGAAGAGGTTCATACGAGTGAGAAGGATTTCCGGAGCATGAGCTGCAGGCGGTATGCTTGCAAAGTCCACATCTGAAGATGCTCGTCCTGACAGCAGACTGCTTTTCGCACGTACAGTAGCTTGCACTGCTAGCAGCTCGCGCTTGGAGATCAACATGGTCGACGATGTGGACTTGGGCGTCCTCCACACTAGTCTGCGTGCTATCGTAGCCTTCCTGAGGGATGATAGACGTCTTTACCACATCTTGATCACTGTAGTCCATCGAACCATTCCCCCTTTCCAGGACATTGTAGCCGACGAGCAGCGCCGCAAGAATGGCAACCCCAACACAAGTTGAGCTCATCGCGTTCCCGGCCAGGTCTTGGAGTTCCCGCTGTGACTCTCTCGTAAGACTGATTCTGTCCAACGGCAATCCTTGCAGAGCTAGAGCCTCAAGACCAGTGAGAGGCGCGCCACGGGTAGTGAGAAAAGGCATGCCACATGGCGTGATGCAGCCGATAATTCCAAAACTTTTTGACTCGCCGCCACGGTCAACGCCCTGGGACAACTCAATCCATCGCCTGTATATTCGTCAGCCATGTTCCTAATGTATGTTGGCATGATGAACTTACTCCTTGAAATTCATGTCGTAATCCCCGGTAACGATCTTTCGCAAGAAGTTGATATCAAGGGTATCCCAAACTCTCTCGGCCTGAGAGTTTATGTACGTATACCAATAGAAATCGGGCGGATGACAGACAAAGCTACCAGGCTGTGATCGAGTAATTGGCCGTTGATTTCCAACATCATAATCGTTGCGATGTCGCTGGTGGCGGACCTTATATCTCTCCCAGGCGACCTCGGCGCGAGCAGCCGTGGCATTGAGACGAGTGCTCATGTCTTTTTCAATGCGTTCCAGTCGTCGATCGTCCTCATCAAGAAGAAACATACCTGCTGGAGAGCTGGCTGGGCGTGTGAACTTAGAGAGCAGCTCTTTCCATCGGGCCCCGAGATGGAGATAGCGAACGGCATCGTCTGTAGTGTCATTCTGTACCTCGATATTCCGGAGGCGGACCTTGTCGATGCAAACCATGTACCCGCGCTCCCGAGTTTGAGGAATGTAGTACGCCTTTGTATCGACAGCGGCCCATGTCGCAAAGTAGTCGATCGACTCCCATTTGCGAGCGATTTCGGCCCAGGGGGCGCTCCTGACATTTTCTTGGATGACCAAGGCAGGGCGATATTTCTGAGCGTAATTCAGCATACCCTTGAATGTTCTTCCAGACTCTCCATCATCTCTAAGTGTCTTCTGCTGTGAGTTGAGGTTGGAGAAATCGACACAGGCGGTACCGGCGACTAGGAGGTCTGGGTTCCTCGGGATCTTTTCCAGCGACCCGTATGCCGTTTGCCTGGATTTTAATAAGTCGATAATATGTGTGTGATAGTAAGGAGTCACTTACGCCTCGTCATTTCCGAGTTCGCGGATATCACGGAAGAGGATGGGAGGGTGGAAGTTCCGTTCAATGTATGCTTGCTTGAACGGAACGATCTCACAACTGAAGAGGTGTTCAATACGGAGTCGGCCTGCGCCAGGGATGATGGAGAGGCCTTTTGACGGGTTAATTACAAAAGCTTAAAGCGAGACCAGTCACCAGGCTCAAAACATCAAACTCACCATTCTGAATCATCTCCAGGGCCAGAAGCGGGCTCTCAGTCCCCGAGCACATCGTAGCCACGCGCAGTGGCCTTCCTGCTAGGTGGTTGAGGACAGCAGAAAACCCCTGCCTGATAGCATTTTCTGCGAGATCGTTGAAGATATCTTTCAGTTTGTGCATGGGCGGCAAGTTGCGGGCAAGGTAGCGACCAGGCTCAAGCAGCTGTGCCCTCCGCACCTCAGGTATTTTGCTTCCATTGCTGGCAGAATCAAGTTTAATTTGTGTAGACCTTTTACGCTGACCTACCCTCTTCAGTTGCTTATCGGTTGCCTTGCTATCCTCTGGCGGCATGGCGTCTGGTTGTGTCTGAGAAACCTTGACGTTATGAGGAGAGCCGTGAGGAAAGGGTTTGAACCAAGAGGACAGGAAATAATATGAGGAATTTCCAAGAGACCAAAGAGGCCTCGAGCCTCCGTCGAGGCTGAGGAGGCTGAATAAAGAGTGTTGTATGGATTGTATCAACCAGGGCACGAAGTGTCACGTGTATGGGAGAGGGTGGAGCGGAAGGAAGGAGTGATGGCGGAGTGGGTGCGCGGAGCGGAAAACAAAACAGAAGTACGTGTTGACGTGTTTGGGAAGGTGCGAAAGAGGCAGGCAGCAATCTATGTTCTGTGGCTCCTTTCCTTTTTATTCTTTTGCACTTCTTCTTTCTCTACTCTCTAGTTCCCGCCTATTTATTGTTCAAGGTAGAAACTATTCTAGCAGCTCACATAGTGTTGAATCTGAGCGCGTCCTCTTTCGCACACTATAGTGAATCTTGAAGGACTCTGTATGGTGTAGCATCGATTCCTGAGGAAGGAGAATTCACATAGCCTTGAAGCTGAGCAACTTCTTGCAACACTATGTGAATCTGAAAAAGATGTCTATGCCATAGCATGTATGTATACGGAGGGAGAACAAGGAAAGTTTACACCATTGAGAAAAAAAAACCTTTAATTCTTATAGGAATACACATTCAGTGTTGAAAAAATTTGCAAAGTATTGGAAAACATCACTCCTGTTGCGCCGACCCTCCGCCTGTTCAAGTAGCAATCAAAAGAAAAATCCACTATAGCAGTGGGATCATCCGAAAAGAATAGAATGACCCGAGGAAATGGAGATAATACCAGGGCAAGCCAAGCCACTAACTACCGCATGCCACCCTGCATGAGCTGCTGACGCAGCAACATGATCTGGCTGCGTTCCATAGGTGGCAGAGCGTCAATAGCCGACTGCGGCATGCCAAGGACTTGTTGCAGAAGCTCTTCCTGATTAGGGATTTGAGCCTGCGCTGCACCTTGCGGAGGTGGTGGAGCGAAAGGGCCTCCGACGACCGGCGGAGTACCAATCTGGCCACCATATGGCTGGAACTGCTGTTGGGGCTGTGGAGGGGCAGCCGCAGCGGGCTGGGCGGCCTGCTCGACGATAGATCCCAGGAGCTGGTACTCGACCAGGTTCATGAGCAACAGGGCCTGGAAGATGGCATAGGCGAGCTGGGGCGCTTGGCGCAGGAGCTCCGTTGCACGAGCCGGGTCTGTTTGTGCGAGAGCTTTCATCTGTGTCAGGACATCGAGGAGCTGGTTTGGAGGGAGGGAGGCGAGCGTGTGCGAGATGGCGTTGGGGCAGTCGAGGTGCGGTGGCAGCTCCACGCCTGGAGGAAGGGGAGGTAGTAGTGCTGACCCGGGAGCCGGCTGGGGTACAGGCGCAGGTTCTTGAAATTGTGGTTGGGTTTGGTCAGAGTAGTCCGGTGGCATGGAGTCCTTCTCATTGTTGTGCGGCCAGTCGACGCGGATCTTGCGGCCCATGATCTCGTAGTCGTTCAAGTTGCGCACGGCGGACGCGGCGGCATCAGCGTCCGCGAAGTCGGCAAACCCATATCCTTTGGGCTTGCCGGTTTCCGGGTTCATCATCAAGCGGAACTTGGTGACGATGCCGGCGGTGCTGAGGATGTCCTTGACTTGTTCCTCGGTGAGGTCTAAGGTGATTTGTTAGCTCGCTCTGTGCAAGGACGGACAGCATTGTTGGGAACGAACTGTAGGGGATATTCCCCAAGAAGACACTCTTCCCTGTTCGGTCGGGCGCCATTTTTGCGATGATGGAGGGCACACGAGAGCAAGAAAAGGATGGCGATGAAGAGCGAAGGCGAGCAAAACGCGGAAGATTCTGCCGGACTTTAGCCCACCGCCCTCAGCTCACTTCGTCCAGCTCTTCCATCTCCGTCAACCCGTCCGTCTCCTCATTCACCCTCTCTTTTCCACACTCCACCGACCCATCATGTCTCAGAATCAGCGGGAGGCGTGGGAACGTCTGCAGATGATGCTGCAGCAGCGCAAGGGTGGCTTTGGTGGCGGGTTTCCATCCGGCGGCCGAGGCGGCATGGGAGTGGGAGCCATCGTGTTAGTTGGCCTGGGAGCCTGGGCTGTGTCAAATTCTCTCTTCAACGGTACGCTTTCCATGCATCGTGTGATAGGCAAGGCATCTAATCGTTTGTCTAGTGGATGGCGGTCACCGCGCCATCAAGTACTCCCGGCTAGGTGGTGTGAAGAAGGAAATCTACAGCGAAGGTAAGCATCCGCCGTCCTCTCTCAGGTAGCTTCATTTCTCACGCCGTCTGTGACATTAGGAACCCACTTCCGCATTCCCTGGGTCGAATCTCCCATTATCTACGACGTCCGCGCCAAGCCTCGCAACATCCCTTCGCTGACCGGCACCAAGGACCTGCAGATGGTGAACATCACTTGCCGTGTCCTGTCGAGACCTCGTGTGGATGCCCTTCCGCAAATCTACCGAACTCTGGGCCAAGACTTTGATGAGCGTGTGCTGCCATCGATTGTCAACGAGGTGCTGAAGAGCGTGGTTGCTCAGTTCAACGCCAGCCAGCTGATCACACAGCGTGAAAATGTTGCCCGTCTGGTCCGCGAGAACTTGGCTCGTCGCGCTGCGCGGTTTAACATCACCCTGGACGATGTTTCCCTGACTGTATATCACCCCATAACAACTATTTGACCACTACTGACTTCCGTTTCCTCTCCAGCACTTGACCTTCTCTCCCGAATTCACCGCCGCTGTTGAAGCCAAGCAAGTCGCTCAACAGGATGCCCAGCGCGCTGCTTTCGTGGTCGACAAGGCCCGCCAGGAGAAACAGGCCTTCATCGTGCGCGCTCAGGGTGAGGCCCGCTCTGCGGAACTGATCGGCGACGCGATCAAGAAGAGCAAGAGCTACGTTGAGCTGCGCAAGATCGAGAACGCCCGCCAGATTGCCACGATCTTGCAGGAGAGCGGCGGCAAGAACAAGCTGTACCTGGACACCCAGGGCTTGGGGCTGAATGTGAACGCGAACACCGAGGAGAAATAGGAAGTCCAAAATTAATGGCTGGCGCTGAGTTCGCGAACTGTGGAATATCTATCTGTATAAATAGTTGGTTTCAGGAGCATTCGAATGCACTTTGTCTCTTCTCTCTTATCTTTCTGGTTCTTTCACTGTATGCGGGGACGAAGGCGGCGAGCGTATTGCATTGCAGAAATATATTTTCTTCTCCGCCACAACCACCACCTACTACATCACCCACAGTCGCCGAGCCAGTAAGTCTACATACAATAAGAATACACTGCCGCAAGCCCAGAATTAACATCCTTCAGATCCGCCACCATGCCCGAGGCAGCCCCCAACACAGACGATCTGCAAATCAGCTTCCAGCAAGTGGACGTCGACCTCGACGTACAAGAAATTCTCCTCGCCGCCTCCCAACACGACATCCCCAAGCTCCGCCGGCTTGTCCGCACTCAATCCGCACTCCCAGATGCCGCGAACGTCAAAGACCCAGAAACGGGGTACTCGCCTCTCCACGCCGCGATCGCAGCATGCGAGTCCGAGACAGAGGAAGAAGAGACAAGAGTAAACGGCGCCAATGGCGCCACCAGTGGTGCTGCTGCGAGTGATGACAGTGCTGAGATAGTGCAGTCTGGCGTGGAGACGGTCAAGTTCTTGTTACAGGAGGGTGCTATTTGGAATGACCTGGATAACAACGACGAGACGCCGGGCTGCTTGGCGCGCAGAATCGGGGTACAGCAGCTGTATGAGCTTATTGTTGATGCGGGAGTTCGAGCAGAATTGCTGCTGAATCGGTTAGATGGGTATGAGGCGCTGTCTGATGGGGAGGACGACGATGGTGATGAGCAAGAAGAAGAAGGACAAAAAGAGACAGAAACACCAGAGGGAGACGAAACAGCGCCGGAGCTGGTTGAAGCCACTGCCGAAACTGCGACAGAAACCAGCAACCCCAGCGTGACGAACCCGCGCTACCTGGACTCCCACCTCAACATCAACAACGAGCGGATCCTGGACTCCGACCAGAATGGGGTGATGATGAGCTGGGAGAGCGAGATCATGCGCAAGTCCGCCGCAGCGCTACTCCCACGATCAGGCCTCAAAGTGCTAAACATCGGGCACGGAATGGGAATCGTGGACGGATTCCTACAGGACCACTCACCAGCTTCGCACCACATCGTCGAAGCGCACAGCGATGTCGTCGCAGCGATGAAGCAGAAGGGATGGGACTCCAAGCCCGGCGTGGTCATCCACGAGGGCCGGTGGCAGGATATTCTGCCGGAACTGGTGATGCAGGGAGAGACCTTTGACGCGATCTACTATGATACCTTTGCGGAGTCATATGGCGATTTCAGGGAGTTTTTTTCAGAGCAGGTCATCGGGTTGCTGGAGCAGGATGGAAAATGGGGGTTCTTTAATGGGATGGGTGCTGATCGGCAGATCTCGTATGATGTATATCAGAAAGTGGTGGAGATGGATTTGTTCGAGGCTGGGTTTGAAGTCGATTGGGAGGAGATCCCGGTGCCGAAGCTGGAGGGCGAGTGGGAGGGTGTGCGGAGGGCGTACTGGGTTGTGGACAACTATCGGTTGCCACTGTGTCGGTTTATGGATTGATTGATGGAGGGATTGATGGAGATAGATATACCCACGGGAATGGTGTGCAATACAATGAATCGACATGATATATATTGAGACCAGAAAATATGACGTACGGCTCTATGCTATGGGAAAATACAACGCTCAAATGCTATGCAATGCGCAATGGGAAACAAGACAACACCGAATCTCACAATCGAATCAAATCCACCTCTGAGAAATCTGGCGGACTGCGGCTGAAGATCGTCCGACACTTGCCATCGAGTGCCTGGTACTCGTTACTGACCCAGATATGCTTGCTGAACCGCTGTGTGCGGTAAACCTCGTCGTCACTGACCCCAATATCATCGCGCGGGATCCAGATGACAGGTCGCTTGGCGCGAAGGGCCTCGTGTTGGAATGCGCGCTGGATCAACTGGTCGCGCTCGTCCGGCGTGAGATCCTCCAATTCGTCATGAATACCTGCAAACAAAGCATGACCGATTGGGTCTGTGGGTACCTGAGCCTCAGCGTCCTGTGCCATCTTCTCACGTAGGGCTTTGATAGGCGGGGCTGATTTCATGGAATTGATGCCGAAATACTTGGACCGACGGTTCGGGGAGCGATCCGCCCACGACTGGTGTTTAAGTTTCGGTGTGGCCAAACGATTTTCTTCATGTTGGCGTTTCTTGTCGCCATCCAGGCTGTTAAGTTCAATGTCTTGAGAGGGCTCTTCCTCCTGTTCCGCACGCCGCGAATCATCATCGTCATCATCGACAGTCAAGCCAAGACGAGCGTGTTGAGCGCGCTGGAATTCTCCGTCGCGTCGGACAGCGTCCTCTTCCAGGGTAATGGGAAGATACTGAATAAGCGGACTGAACGCATTGTTGAGAAGGATCTGGTATCCAATGGTCAATATCAGGACCACAATCATGCAGATTGCTTGTCCCTGGCAAGCAACATCGCCATTTTCATCTTGGACCAAGAAGAACATCCCGATGAGACACATTTCCATGAAGTATATTCCAGTGAAGAGCTGGTTTATTGCGCGCGGAAAAAGAAGACCACCGGTGTCGAATTGGAACTTGGTCACGTAGAGCGTATTATATCGATAAACGAACCAGAAAAGACTGAACGTGATAATGTTGAAGACGAGGATGAGAGGTGCGATAACACAGTAGATCAGCCCTGAGGAGAATGTTAGATGAGCATTTTGACACTGCCAGAAAGATCACATACCAATTGAGGCCAGTGTTGTGTAGACCGGAAAGAACGTGCCCCATTGCATCTGATTCAGATTCGTCGTCCGTGCCCACTTCTTTCTGGCCGTCGAATCCAAGATGGGCGCAAGAATAAACCAGCTGACTAGCCCAAATATCTGAAGAAGGGCACCCGCACTGACCGACATGGCCTGCAGAATCATATATGAGAAGAAATAGTTGCTCGACTTGGGGATATTCTGAGCCAAGATATTCGGCCAGCTGGTCACGTTGGTGACATTATCAATGATCGTCCCAAAGCTGGAGGCGATTGTGACGACGAAAAACAGCTGCACAAAGAGGAAGGCAAAATAGTAGTGCTGAACGGTTAATTCCACGGCCATTCCCGTGGAAAGACCTTGCGTTCGGCTCAGAAAACGGAGGATGAGAGGCAAGATTGCCATGAGAATCGCCAGGAACAGCGGTGGCAGGATACCCTGGATCGCCGAGATGCACCATTCCGGCAGCTGGTTCAGCCAGGACAACCAGTGGAACGCGCTTTCAAGATTAGAGAGTTGTGAAAGCAGACCCGTGAACGCGACGGGGACAGCCCATCCGACGACCATAGTGCACACTAGAGTGATGATGCCAAAGGTACGCAGATAGCGTTCCCACCACCTGATCGACATATTGTCCCAAATGACATCGTCTGGCGAGATCTCCACGACTCGGGGGGCCATCTGCTTGGGCACATGATGACTGACGGTCTGACATGCCATGTGCGCAGCCACTTGGTGGTTGAACTGGATAAAGGCAGAGTTCATCAGCGGAAATCGCTCGGGATGCTGTTGATCAACTTCAATCTCCAGGTTCAATCGAGCCAGTTCCTTTCGACAATAGTCAATGGTATCGACTTTCTTGCCCATCAGCCAAAGCGAAGGCATCCAACTCCAACCAAAGATAGGGAGACGGTGAGTCTCACGATCTTTTGATCGGATGTATTTCCTCCACATTGGCTCTCCGAAATCTTCATTATCAAAGTCCTCGTTGAAAGCGATGGGGTACCGATGGCCTTCGATGTCGTCTCCTTCTTTGTGACTTTGTCGTTTCTGACCTTTTTCTCGGCCGATACCAGGCTTGACAGGGGAGTCGGAACCAGTAAGCGGATACTCGTCAGGCTCTGAAGGATGGTGGATTTTCGACTGGGACGACAGATTCCTCTTCCAGAAGGGCCGCTTTGGTGGTAATGAATGAGAATCGTGACACAGTGTTTTATCACCAGTGGCCGTCTGTGGTGTCGGCGGCTCCGAAATATCGTGGGCGGATTTTGGAGCAGTGGTGTCTCCAGGAGTGGGTTCGTGGTTCTCCGGGGAAGTGCTTCGGCTTCGAAGGGGTGGAAGAACGACGTCTGTTGTAGCAACAAAGCCACCAGTGCGTGCCAATGTCCCATCCACTCCACCCAGTACGGTCTTGCCCAGTTTGCCCACACCGTGTCCAACGGCACCAGCCGCAGCCAGAGGGTTAAGCACACCTAGCCGCGGCCCGCCCTGGGAGATCTTTTTCGGTCCCTCTTCTGGAGGACGATGCAAAACCTCCTGTAACGTATGTGCTTGGTGAGGATCGCCTGAACTCACACCAGGTCCCATTGCCACGCTGGTGTCTCGTTTCTCAGCCGCTGATTTTTCCTGGTCCCCGGCCTTTGTGCGGCCCTTGCCGGCCCTCTTTGCCTCATGTTGAGCCTGTTTCAACTGCGCCTTTTTGCATTTCACAATCAAATCGGTTTCTGCCGCTTCAAGCCGTAGAGCGATGTCGTTTCGTGCTTTCACCTTCTCGTTTAGGTCATCGAAGTTGCGGTTGATCCAGATGTTCCTGATCCCACCAGGAAAGACATCAAAGAGGGAATCAAGGGCTTCAACGGTAAGCCATTCCCGCGGAATAGTCGTCACCAGCACTGTGGTTGCGGATGCTCGCAGCCGATGCTGGGGGGAGGTGAGGTAGGCCTGTCGGAGACGAATGTATCCCCGAAGCTCGTCGAAAAACACAGCACAAACGTAGAACACCACAATAACGGCTATCACACAATGAGCCCAGTACCGGCTGGTATGCTGCGGAGTGACATTGCCCCAGGCTAGCTGGTCCAAGCCGGTGACGTTCCAACGATTACCGCTTGTGACATTCATGTACGTTGTGCCTTTGCCGTCGACTCGGTTGAGTGGGAGCAACACTGGCAAGATCAAGAGGCCCAGAGGCACAAAAATTTTGAGGAGCATGCGCAAGTAACGTAGGAAGAAGTATGCGTCCAGTCCACACTTTTGGATAAATTCTGAACTGGAAGTGCGGAAGACGGGAGCGATCCAACGGAACAGGCCCGGCGGCGAGGGCTTGGTGCGTTCGCGGTCCGGGACAAGATAGGTTCGAGGTTGACTGGGCACGATTCTGGGTCAGTTTTTCACGACTAGTCATTGCTGTGTTCCAGAAGACGTACTAGATTCGCGTGAGCTTGCCCTTTAGAAGCAAGAACAGTAAAAATTCCACTGCAAAGACGACAATGGCCGTCGCCAGCGAAGCCACAAACGTTTTGACATTGACACCCTCACTTGTCCGGCCGCGGGTGCCGGAGTGCTCCAATGCCTGCTCCAGACCGGACGGCATGGTGATCAGCGGCAAGGATGAGAGTCAGTCCAGGGGAAAAGGTGTTACGGGTGTGACCGAGAGGGCATCTCACAATCTCCCTTCTGAGGGAGTTGGTCGTGAGCGAAGCAGACGAGGTGTCAGATCAGGGAGGCAGCATGCTCAAGGGGATGGGGGAGGGGTGTGGTGAAAAGGGAAAGCGAGCCCCAGCGAAGCCGTAGTCCGTCACAAAACGGCAACAAAGCGCCAGGCTTGGATGGATCCGCAGTGGAGCGCCACTAACCCCAGAAATGGAATCCGCACAATGACAAAAGTGGCTGGGCGCTTTGGCTCAGTTCCAGGGTAATACAGGAGAGAGTGGGCTGACGATGATGATTGGAGGGATCAAGTAGACGCCGATCCTTTAGAGGGATGACATCAGGGCGCCTGGTGAAACGCGGTGGTGGTTGGTTGGCCAAGCTGAGCGGAGTTGGGGTGTGGAAGCAAGAAGGAGAGAGTAAGAAAGCAGGAAAGAGAGAAAGAAGGAAAGGAGGAAAGGCGAGAATATTCAGCAGATACGGGAGGAAGAGACTGCCCATACAAAGCACTGTGTACGCTTCTCCCGAAAGGGAAGGAGGATAACCAGCCACAGGAGATCAGCCACATTAGATAAGCCCCAGCGAGTAAACACGCTAAAATCACTTTACACGCGAACGCGCGACTCGATCTGATGGCTCGCGTTTTTCTTTCTCCCTTGCCCGCCAGACCTCCAACTCCCATCACCTTCCTAGACTCTTTCCCACCACCCACCCACCCATACACACACCATGTCGTCCCCGGCTTCCAGTCGTCGGAGAGGACGCTCCTCCCAGAACCCCACCGCGTCTCCCTCCTCATCCCGCCAGGAGCCTCCCAGCAGCCCGACTTTCCAGGCCACTCCCCGCGCGTCCCGACGTCTGGCCGAGGGAGCGGTGCCAAGCTCATCGCCAATGTTCTTCCAGTCATCTCCCAACAAGGGCCCCAGTGATGCAAGTACACCAGATGTTCGCATGGACGAGCCTAGCTCGCCGGCACGGGCGCCGTCGACAATGGATGATGGCGACAGAACCCCCCGCGGAAATGCCCAAGTCAGAGGTATGCCAATCCGTTGCGAGTTGAATGGTCCCAATCCACTAAACCTATATCTCAGACTCTTCTCCCATTCACTACATCCCTAGCTCCAGCCCTACGCGAGGTGCCGGCCGAACAGACATCCGTTCCGACCTGCGCTCAGATGCACTGAGCGTCAGCAGTGGCCTGTTTGTTTCCTCACAACAAGACCAGGGCCGGCGGGGTGCTTCCCGTCGCAGCGATCTGCATTCGGGCGGCTTTGCTTCGACCCCGAATCGCAGGAACCGCATGTTCGTGGATGCCAATGGGATGCCCGCGGGCGAGGGTGCGCCTCGCTCCGATGCCACTTTCTCCAACATCAACCCCGGCACCTCCGAGGCGGAGGCCATGGCCGGTAACTCATCACGTGTGATTTGGGGCACGAACATCTCCATCCAAGACTCCATGTCTGCCTTCAAAAGCTTTCTCTATAACTTTTCTACCAAGTACCGTCTGTGGGCGGATGGTGCGACGGAGGACGAGACTCGAAGGATGGGAGATGTAGCAGACAAACGCGAATACATCAATATGCTGAACGATATGCGCAAAATCGGTCTGATGACCTTCAATCTGGATGCCGCAAACCTCAAGGCGTATCCGTCGACACTCAAGCTGTGGCACCAGCTACTCGCGTACCCACAGGAAATCATCCCGCTGATGGATCAGACTGTGAAGGATGTGATGGTTGATTTGGCGCTGAAAGAAATGGACGTTCTCCGATCAGAGAGCCAGCGAGGTGCCCAGGGTCGGGACCGACGGGGCCAACCAATCCTTACATCTGATGGCGCTGTTCCGTCGGGTGATGTTCCTGACCTGGTGGGCGAAGTTGAGGCGATGACCTTCAAGGTGCTTCCGTTCGGTCTGGACAAGACCGTGAACATGCGAGACCTTGACCCCGCTGGTAGGGTTTCCCCGGCCAATATCCAGACCCAATTGCTAACTTTCTCCAGATATGGACAAACTGGTCGCTGTCAAGGGGTTGGTCATCCGAACCACTCCAACTATCCCTGACATGAAAGAAGGTGAGTTGCTTGTCATTTCTTGGTATTTCGTCCTGCTCACATTCTGCTAGCATTCTTCCGCTGCAGCGCCTGCGGCTATGGTGTGCAAATCGACATCGACCGTGGTCGCATTGCCGAGCCTACCACCTGTCCTCGGGGCGGTTGTGAGGAGAAGAACACCATGCAGCTTGTTCACAACCGCTGTTCTTTCTCTGACAAGCAGGTCATCAAGCTCCAGGAAACTCCCGACAACGTCCCCGATGGGCAGACACCGCACTCGGTCTCGCTCTGTGTGTATGATGAATTAGTCGACTCTTGCAAGGCTGGTGACCGCGTCGAGGTCACCGGAATCTTTCGGTGCAACCCGATGCGCGTGAGTGCTCGTCAGCGCTCCCAGAAGGCGTTGTTCAAGACGTATGTCGATGTCCTTCACGTGCAGAAGGTCGATCGCAAGAAGCTGGGAATCGACGTGTCGACCGTTGAACAGGAAATGGCTGAACAGGCCGCCGAGGCGGACCATTCGCGCAAGCTCACTGCCGAGGAAGAGGAAAAGATCAAGCAAGCCGCCTCGCGTCCCGATGTTTACGAATTGCTCGCTCGATCATTAGCTCCCAGTCTCTACGAGATGGACGACGTCAAGAAGGGTATTCTATTGCAACTGTTTGGCGGCACGAACAAGACGTTCCAAAAGGGCGGCAACCCACGATATCGAGGCGACATCAATGTGCTACTCTGCGGTGACCCGTCTACTGCGAAATCTCAGCTTCTACGCTACGTCCACAAGATCGCCCCTCGTGGTGTCTACACAAGCGGTAAAGGTTCATCGGCCGTCGGTTTGACTGCCTACGTGACTCGCGACCCGGAAACCCGACAGATGGTTCTGGAGTCCGGTGCTTTGGTGTTGTCGGATGGGGGTGTCTGCTGCATTGACGAGTTCGACAAAATGAACGAATCCACGCGGTCCGTCCTCCACGAAGTCATGGAACAGCAGACGGTGTCCATCGCCAAGGCGGGCATCATCACGACCCTGAATGCGCGTACTTCTATCCTGGCGTCCGCCAACCCGATCGGCAGCAGGTACAACCCAAGACTGCCCGTTCCACAGAATATCGATCTGCCACCGACCCTGCTCTCTCGATTCGATCTTGTCTACCTGGTGCTGGATCGGGTGGATGAGTCCGAGGATCGTCGGCTGGCTAAGCACTTGGTCGGCATGTATCTGGAGGATAACCCGGAGAATGCCAGCTCTCAGGAGATTCTGGTAAATTGCATCTCATATTAACATTCTGAGCTTGAGCTGACCCGTTGTTCCAGCCTATTGAATTCCTGACAGCCTACATCACCTACGCAAAGACCCAGATCCATCCCGTGCTGACCCCAGCGGCCGGACGGGCTCTTTCGGATGCCTATGTGGCCATGCGCAAGCTTGGTGATGATATCCGCAGTGCCGAACGCCGCATCACAGCCACAACCCGCCAACTGGAATCTATGATCCGACTATCCGAAGCCCATGCACGTATGCGGTTGTCGCACGAGGTGACAGCCGACGACGTGGAGGAAGCCGTGCGACTGATCCGGTCAGCCATCAAGCAGGCCGCCACCGACGCGCGGACGGGCCTGATCGATATGGGCCTGCTCACCGAAGGCACCAGCGCCAGCGAGCGCCGGCTGCGCGAGGACCTCAAGAAGGCCGTGATGGCCCGGCTCGAGGAGCGCGGCGGGGTCAGCGGCGGCGCCGTGCGCTGGGCTGATCTCTTCCGCGATATGAACGAGAACAGCGACACCTCATTGGAACACAGTCAGTTCGGCGATGCGGTGCGAGCGTTGGAGGCTGAGGGAGCGGTCAACGTCATTGGAGAGGGGCCACGGCGGAGTATTCGGCGGGTTGCTGGCCTGCGGTAGAAAATGTGACGAGACTATGATTATTGCGTGGATAATGAATCTGGTAGCATGCCATCCCTTGCATGTTGCGGAAACGGAGTTGGCGGGCGTTAGAATGCGTGTTTTTGTGCGATGCAGGGCCTAACTACTGCCATGTGCGATCTCCACGATTTGATCTGGGATGTAGATTGGAATGTTATTTCTCAGTCAAGCTGTACGTACACCAACAACAAAGTCATAGACTTCGTTTCGCTCGGGATGCTTTAGCAGACAATCTTGCATAGGGCGCGGCCAAATGACTCCGGAATTATTGATAGGGTCAGCGACCCCTTAACACAGACCCTATTAATAGAATATGGAATACAGTACGGCGTCAGTATATGAAGTGGAGCATTATTATAGAGCAACCAAATCGCATAACCAGGACAAGGCAGCAGAATTCCCTAGCTTCGAAAGGGCGCTACCATTCAGACAAACTACGCATAGCACGCCATTAGAATCTGAGCTGTCGAGCTCACTTGTTAATTTCAGGATCTTCCCACGCCATCTCTCCTATGTATGCCCTCACACTCACTAAAAATTTAATAGTTCCCCAGCAGCAAGGCAGGGGACATTGACATTATTTGAGTGTGGGCCGTGCCGTCCACCCGTGGTTGGCCGCTGCCGGCGCCTCCGGGGCTGTCTTGCCTGGGCGAGGGCGATTCGCAATGCATAGTGGACAGATCATGTCATCCCGCCTCCTGCCTCCTAGCTCCACCAATGACCGAGCATGGTTGCCTAGAGGGGGCCCTGGCCAAGTCTATTCCCAATTCGACGAGCTGAGTGAAATAATCCGCCCCAAACCAAGACTCTGCGCTTGCTTGCGTCACTTTAGCGCTTCCTGTGAGTCTGGGCTGGAAGGATTTGGGTGTCGCCAGGGATTGTGGAACGGGCCACTTGGTACTAGAGTTACTTGTTGAGTCTGCATTTAGATTCACAGTTGCGGTACAGCAGAACCTATCCTAATTAACTACAGGATCGGGCAACTGAAGGAGAATGAAGGTTTCCTTATACTCCATACAAGTAACAGCCTATCCGTAATAATTAAAGGCCAGGAACGTTCTAAGACATTAAGATCACAACCCAACAAAGAAAAAACGCGAGGGCTGGCCCCATTTAACCCATCTAGGGTAAGTGGTGCGGCCCCCCTTATCGCCAACAGGACCAAACTCTAACCGATTGCAAAAGACTGTAGCAGGATGGCGACATTCCACTCAAGCTTTGGTTGCGTGGTGCACGGATTAGATATCGCAATACCAATTAATTTCCACACCAATTGTAAAATTTATCATGATCATTTTACATGATTGTTATTTGTTATTGAGACATGGCGGTCGACAACAACAATACCAACCGGTGCTGCTTACTTTTTAGTGTCAGATTGAGTTACCACAAAAAGGCTTGGCTGTAAATCACCACGGACTTTACCCATGGACCGAAACCCGGTCCCTTTATTTTCAGTCGGGGCCCATGTTGGAGGAATCAGAAAAACGGGGCCAATAAATGCAGGGTTCAGGGCTTGCTGGTGTCAAAATAGGCGAGCCAGGGTCTGCCGCGCCCGCCCTAACCTAGGCTTGGGAGAAAATGCCCTCCGTAGTTGGTGCCCTTGGCCCCCGTTAAGCTTTAGTCGTCGTAATCACCCCCCCGTCCAAGGGGCCCACACCCACCTTGCAGGACGTCACAAGAATGCCAGCCAATGGTGACTATTGTGGCCGTAAGTATATAGGGGTCTGGCCTTAAACAGCTGCGGACGCCTCTTGGCATTTTATGCTTCTTGGATCTATTTCTTCGCTCCTCCACCCACCACTCTACACACACAGATACATACAGATCACTATGGGGTCACCACACACAGCCTGGATTCCAGGCCTATTACTCACCCTCGCCACACTGGCCAACTGCGGCACTCTCATCTTCACAGAGCCAAACGACGACGGACAATGCTACGTTCAACTAGAAGAGATCCTGGAATGCACGGGGCAAACATCCGACTCGGTCGGAGAGGTTAACTGGGAAGGCTACTGCTCAAAATGTACGAATCTTCCCTCTCAACAGTCTTTGCCTTTCGCTGAAGAGTCTAACGTTTGGTTTCAAACAGTCGGTATGATGCCCGATAACCCGCCAACAACATGGGTCACAATCTGCGACAAATATCTATACGTGACATGGTCCAAGGACCTCTGGGACAACCACATTGCGCATTTCCAATTAGGACATCCATATGAGGATGAGCGGCTTGATCTTGTCGGCATCATGAATTATGAGAGGGGGCAGCCTAATAATGTTGCTGTCACGACGCCGCTTCCGTCGTGGTGAAAATATTGAGAAGGACCATGATGATGACGGCGTACATTATGTTTCGGGTTGTATAGTATATGTTCATATGTCTGTATGTATCGATGGAGAGGGAGGCCGATATCCATTGGGAGGTTGTATATTACATTTGGGTGAGATTTCACGGCGTCCTTGGGCAAATCAATACGACTTATACATCTCACACACACCCTTTCTTCCTCCCTGTCAACTTCGTGTTGAACTGACAAGGAGATCCAGGGAAAGTTGCTGACAGTCTACGCATCAATGGTCAGACGTGAGAAAAGCCTGTGACTCGATGACTGCGTTAGTGCTGGAGCGTCTAGTTGTACGCAAAGCTAGTTTCTTGATTTATTGGTGAGTATGTGGTGTTGTTGGACAGGCTCACCACACCTGCTCAAGAGCGAGAAACATCCTCGAACGGGAAGGAGATTATGAGATGATGACTCCAGCGCAGGGGGTTGGAAGCCACAAACGATGGTGAAATCCCGGCGTACGTTGGTGTCTCAGCCCCGACTCTCCTCCCATCTATCCATTATTATTCCCCTCGACAATCATCATCACACACCTCCCCCCTCCCCCTCTCTCTCGGAAAATTCCATTGTCGAAGCTTTTTTCCCTACAGAACAAGCCCAGTTAAAAGTATTGTCCGAAGTTACACAGACCCAACCAACCCACCCTACCTCGAGCGGCACTACATCCCGGATGCACACATGGGGGTTGGATCGTTTATGCAGTTACGGGGTGCCCGCAGAGGGGATATCCCGTTTACAAGTAATGCTACTTGGGGGATAATCGACCACTGATAGCGATGATCGACGATTTTCTAAAAAGAGAGTTGGACAATGAACGCGTTGCACAACATTTGCTGTTTGAGAAGGTGATGAAGGAGCGCTGAATATGAGCTTCAGTGGTGTCAGTGCTTTTTATTCCCTGGTTCTCAGCTTCGTCAGCTGCAGAGGAACAGACTCAGCGGCTGGTCATATTTTGGCCGTATTCGAGCCATGATCGATGGTGCCGTAAAATATCAACTGCATCATTTCTTGTCAGATCTCACCTAGAAACGGCGATCGGCCAAAATTCCTCTCACGATGATTCCTCTTCGAATCCTCACTCTGGCGCTTCTGCTTGCACAGACCTGGGCCCGACCCACCGCCACATCTCCCTCGATGCTGCCTCTTACAGCTGCGTCCAGCTCAACAGACTTCGCAGCAGTCCAACTCAACCAACTATCCCGTTTCGCACTCAACTTAGCCCTCGATATAGTCATCAATAATACCACGAGCAAAGAATCGGGAGGTTGCACAATGGAGAAACTACAGGTCCGCCGCGACTGGAGAGCGTTTTCTCGGGCACAGAAAAGGGCGTATATCGAATCCGTGCTCTGTTTAATCCATCTACCCCCAATCACGCCTGCAAAGGATGCGGGAGGAGCCAAGAATCGGTATGATGATTTTGTGGCCCTACACATTGTTAAGAGTGATTTTGTGCACCGCACGGTATGTGTTTTAACTCGGATCTTTGTTTATTTTTAGCACTGACGGTGGGAATAGGGTGCGTTCTTGGCCTGGCATCGGTACTTTGTTCATGGATTTGAGCAGGCCTTGCGGAATGAGTGTGGATATACTGGTGATTTCCCGTGGGTTTCTCCCTCTTTCCAAAAAATCGCACTCACAGATCCTCATGTTAGGTACTGGAACTGGGGCGCAGATACCGAAGACATGACCAAGTCCGAAGTATTCGACGGAAGTGACACATCCCTATCCGGCAACGGCGCCTCCATCCCCAATCAGCCTGATATCTCCATTAACATGGCCGGATATCCTCGGTTGAACTTCACCGCTGGGACGGGGGGCGGCTGCGTGATGAGCGGACCGTTCCAAAACTACACCGTTGATATGGGACCATCGAGCCTGTCAATGCCCGGCGGCAACGTGAGCAGCATGTCCAACCCACTGGACTATAACCCGCGGTGCCTAAAGCGGTCCCTAACGACATCCATCCTCCGAAGCTACGCCAACTATACAGCGATCGTGCAGCTGATCCTGAACCACCACGATATCTGGGACTTCGAGACCGTCATGCAGGGCGTCCCGGGGAGTGGACTGGGCGTTCACGGCGGCGGACACTACGCAATGGGCGGGGATCCCGGCCGGGATATGGATGTCAGTCCAGCGGACCCAGCGTTCTGGCATCACCACGGCATGATTGATCGCGTGTGGTGGATTTGGCAGCATGTGGATCTGGAGGATCGGCAACAAGCTATTTCGGGGACGGGCACGTTTATGAACCACCCCCCGTCCCCGAATACGACGTTGGATACGATGGTGGACTTGGGGTTGGCGGATCGTGGCGCTCCAATTGCCATGCGGGAGCTGATGAGCACGACGGCGGGACCCTTCTGCTACGTGTATTTGTGATAGTACCTAGGAAGCGTGCCGACTATGCACAGTACGAATGGAAATCCTCGGCAGCCGAGCTTCGGCGCACTATTCCTCTTTTATCCCTAGTGCTCTCGTGCGCAAAGGACTGGCGAGGAGGGCACGTGGGTGGGTTGCTGAGTCAGCCGGGAGCTATGACGTTCATGAGGAGAGAAAAAAAAAAGAGAATGGAAAGTAGGGTATGAAGAAGACGACAAAGAAGAAGAAAGTAAAGAGCCGTAGAGAGGTTGATAATGGTACTCTGGAAAGTCCACTCACTCTAGCCGATCGATTGACCCGATGTCGTCGGTGTCGAGCATATCATCCACTGCATGTACCATGCGGTCCACTCAAACTAACCGTTCTCGGCAATCGGTTTCAACCATCCCAGCTCTCTTCCCCTCAGGTCTCTCATGTTCTCTCTCTGCTCCCTCCCATAATCCCCCGTCTGGCCTGACCAGCATTCACCATGAGGTATTGACTCCATTCCGGCTCCTTTTCACCCCTCAGATCGGATCTACAACATCATTCTCCCTGCACCGGTCTGGAATTCCGCCTGCATTGCTGACCCGCTGTCACTCTAGGTTCGGCGAATATCTCCAGTCTTCCATGATCAAGGAGTACCGCCCCTTCTACATCGCCTACGACCAACTCAAGAAAGCGCTCAAGACTGAGTTTGCCGTTGCGCCCACCCCCGAAAACCCCAAGCCGGCTCGTAAAAAATGGACTGAAGACGACGAGAAAAATTTTGTCGCTTTGCTCGAGAGTGAGCTCGAGAAGGTGTTCTTGTTCCAGAAGCAGAAGAGCGAGGAGATTGTCGAGCGCATCAAGCTGAGCGAGGCCGAGGTCCTCGATGTGGTCAATCGCCTCGAGGACGCTGTGCACACTCGCCGCGGGAGCATTCGCCCGTCCCGACCACCTCCTACCGACGAGGATTTCCTCGAACTGGAGCAGATACTGAGTGATATCATTGCCGATGTTCATGATCTGGCCAAATTCACTCAGCTCAACTACACCGGCTTCCAGAAGATCATCAAGAAGCATGATGTGCGTATATCTTTACCTGTAACATGCCGGATTCTGACCAATTACACAGAAAGAGACCCAGTGGTACCTTAAACCGGTTTTCGCTGCCCGTCTCAATGCCAAACCGTTTTTCAAGGACAACTACGATGCCTTCGTCGTCAAACTGTCCAAGCTCTATGACCTGGTCCGCACCAAGGGCAACCCAGTCAAGGGCGATTCCGCGGCAGGTGGCGGGCAGCAAAACTTTGTGCGCCAGACGACCAAATACTGGGTGCATCGCGACAACATCACCGAGTTAAAGCTGGTTATTCTCAAGCATCTTCCCGTTCTGGTCTTCAATGCCAGCAAGGAATTCGAAGAAAAAGACACCGCCATCTCTTCCATCTACTATGACAACCCCGACACTTGGGAATTATACCAGGGACGCTTAAAAAAAACTGAAGGTGCTGAAGCCATCCGTCTGCGCTGGTACGGTGGAATGGAGAGTGACCAGATTTTCGTGGAGCGCAAGACTCATCGCGAAGACTGGACGGGAGAAAAGTCCGTCAAGGCGCGGTTCTCACTAAAAGAAAAAAATGTCAATGCCTACTTGGATGGCCGCATGACGGTGGAGCAGGTTTTTGAGAAGGCACGGAGAGAGGGCAAGAAGAGCGAGGAGGAGATCAACGACCTAGAGCAATTGGCCCGTGAGATTCAGTATCGGGTGATCACCCGGCGCCTGGTCCCCGTCACACGAACCTTTTACCACCGCACTGCGTTCCAGCTGCCTGGCGATGCGCGCGTGCGGATTTCGCTCGATACGGAGCTGACGATGATCCGCGAAGATAATCTGGACGGCCGCAGGCGAGCTGGAAACAACTGGCGGCGCATGGACATCGGCGTCGACTATCCGTTTTCCCAGCTGCCGCCCGAAGACATCGACCGGTTCCCCTATGCCGTGCTAGAGGTGAAACTACAGACCCAGGCCGGCCAGGAGCCGCCACAATGGATCCGTGATCTGACGGCCAGCCACCTGGTGGAGGGAGTCCCGAAATTCAGCAAGTTCATTCATGGAACTGCCACGCTTTTCCCTACCCGCATCAACCTGCTTCCGTTCTGGATGCCACAAATGGACGTGGACATCCGCAAGCCCGTGTCTCGTCGCTACGGGATCCATCGACCACTCCCAAGCACCTCTCTCTCTGCCAACGATGAGGATTCCGATGAGGACGAAACACCGAGCACGCAGACGCTGACCGACGACCCGCTTGGTTTGTTTTCTGAAGCCAACGGCAACGAACTTGACATCGAGGAGCGCATTGCCGCGCTCCCTGTGGCCGGCGACGAGGACTATCCCCTGTATGACTCGGACGACGAGTCCCTCGGCGCCGATGAGCTGGAGGAGGCTCGTCGCGTGGGTGGCGCGTACTATGCCGAACAGCTGGTCATGTACTACGCCCGCCGCACCGGCCATGCCATCGTACAGGGACTGCTGTGCCTCATTCCCCGCCCCCGCCCAACTCCCATGCCTGCTCCCGAACAAGGCGGGATCACCGTCATGGGCACCCAGCGCACACTACAACGGTTCCAAGCACCCCCCGGCAAACGTAAGCCTCCCCTCTGCCTGCCCGCCATTTCGGATTTTAGCATCATGCTAACAATAGAATCAGGCATCTTTGTCCCCGTCCGCGTCGAACCAAAGGTCTATTTCGCTGCCGAACGCACCTTCCTATCCTGGCTCGAATTCTCCATCATCCTAGGCGGCATCGCCGCTGCCCTGTTGAACTTCGGGACCGACTCCGTGACGCTCGCCTCTTCATGGGCCTTCACCATCCTTGCCGCAATGGCCCTCGTCTACAGTTTGTTCCTGTACGTGTGGCGCGTCGACAAGATCCGCAAGCGCCGCGATGTCAAGCGCGTCTATTACGAGAAATGGGGTCCCTCTGTTGTGGGACTTGGTCTTGTTGCTGTTATCCTGGTGAATTTTGGACTGCGGGTCAAGGCTGGTGGGTTTATGGCCCCCGACGGTGGTTCTGGGCGGCATGGTGGTGAGTTGTGAGTTGTTAGTTTGGGATGTTTGTATCTATCTACTTCTACTGGAGTTTTGGAAGTTTCTGGCGTTGTTTTGCTGGGATGTATGACGTAGAAATTGCACGCAATGCACCAATGCAAATAGTTGACAGCATCCATCTGAAACGAGTAAATTAGTACCTAGTCTAGCCATTGTCCACTACATATCAGATTCCGCAACTTGCAATTGTGATGTTGAAAAGACATCACCAAACGGAGGCTACCGACTCGAAACTGTGACCCCTGGGCCTACCTCCACCCCGACGCACAACGGCAAAAAGCACCTGCAGCATCCTCCACGCCTTCCACAGCTCCTTCTTGTCCATGCCACCCTCGACAGCAAGCCAATGATAGACATCGTCATCCAGGTACGTGAAAAGCCAGATCCTCGCCTGCGTCTCCATCCCCTGCCACTCTCTGAAGCGCTCGTGGCCCTCTGGGAGCGGGCATATCTTGCGGGCGATGATGTCCCACACGCGGTAATGCTTGAGAAAAAGCTCCTTTTTCGATGCCCATATTCCACAGTCATGGGCGCTGGACGATTCTTTGAGGTACCTGATGCCGAATTCATCGGAGCTGAAGGTGCCGATGGGTTTGGAGCTGAAATGATCCAGCTGGTCCACGCTGGCGGCGAAGGGCGAATCGGTTTTGTGGGTTTCCGCGCTCGAGGATTGGATAGTCCAGTCACCTGTATGCGTAGATGAAGCATCGTGGTCGTCGTCGTCTGTGTCGAAGGTCTTCTCCGTGAACTTTTCCTTCTCCAGCTCGGTGAGTGACATGTAGATATCCAGCGCTTTCGAGAGAGGGCTTGAGTGGTTGGGCATGGTGGGCAGTTCAATAAGGTAGATAGTGATACGATTTGAAGAAGGATCGTTGATTGGTGGTGTAAGCTTGTGGAGTGAGAAAAGTGATTGAGAAGAGTGAAAGAAGAGGAAGGGAAGTAAGCTCTAGCTGGTTTATATACACGGCAAATCGGAATTTGCCGGTGTGATTTTATGGGAGGGTTCCATCAGGCAAACATCGAGAGACAGAGGAAATCTTCCCAGGGTAAAGGGAAAAGTATGTATTATACTGGTTTGTATAGGTTGGAAACTGGAATTTGTCGGGCTGATGACAGAGGGTGCCATCAAATAGATAGTCCAACAGAAATCCTTAAGTTGTAATCACAACTTTGATTACAACTTTTGTATGCTATTGCGTGTCTGAGGAGTTGAAATGTGACAAGTTGTTAGATACTCACGAGCGTCTATACGCGCACACATATATCGAACAACATATAGATAATGATATATAACTCGATTCAGTGATAGCTAATAAAAGCCAATGTGATCTATCCTTAAGCAATGCGATATATCTATAGTTTACGAAAAGGTGACAAACGAAACATCAATCGCAGAAGGAAGCCCTAACCGCCCAGATCCTAGTAACCATACTGGACCCCAACTGAATACCACAACGACACCGGATTTCGCTGCCATGCCTGTTGAATCATGTCATCATAGACGTTGGGCGCAAGATGCGACAGAATGCATGTAAGAGCAACAGTCTCCATATGCTGATAGACAAGGAACGGCTCGTGGTTCGTCGGTAGCGGCTCTAGCTGTGCACCGACAATGGCCCAGACCTGATGCATTTTCAGCAGAGACTCCATTTTCACCACCCACTCCGCAAAATTGTCCTTCCCTGACAGAGGAGCGATGTCCATGGCCATGTAGTGCTTGTCAATGGTGTTGTTTGCGAAGAAATCCAGGTGCCTCGGAGTGAGCTCCTGCGGAGACTTTTGGAACGCGTAGAAGGCTTCAGGAGGGATTGCGCCTCTGAAGGGACTCATGCCCAGAAACAAGGTCGAAAGAGCATCGCTGTCGGAAGGGTTGTCCACGTTGCTGTTTTCCATGAACCCATCGGGGGTGGCGGGCTCAGCATCGCTCTGGGGTTCGTTTGCCGCTGCCGACTCGCTGTTGTTCAAGGGCCGACTGGTTGGACTGTCGACTTTTCGAGTTTTGCGAGGCGAGCAAAAAAGCGACGATCCCTGAGATACGCGTCTCTTACGAGTGATGGATTTTGTCATTCGGATGCTCTGAGAAGCAATAATGCCAGCCAGCGAAGAAGTTGATCGATGAGTGTTTATGTTAGACCAATCCAGCCGTACTCAGCCGCTATTTATATATATGCTTCTTGAAGTTCTTTTCTTGCAATAACCCTAGGAAGTAGTTGTAGTTGGAATGAAACATGCTGGAACAATAATTCGTTGTTCTCTTAAGATTAATTCTTGTTAGTGTCTGTCCGGCTGACAATGCTATGGTTTGAGGTTGACCTAGACACGGATGAGACATGCAGTGCGTTGTGTGGAGGATAAAGAGCGAGTATGTACATTGATAATCAGACTGGACGGTCAAGAACTAACAGTAATGAATGAAAACCCCAAGCTTGTTTCGGAGTCCGCCCATTCTAAGGACTGTAATTCACCACAGGAACAAGAGTATCATCGAGACTGACGGCAAAAGGCTTGCTTCCCTCCAAGCCTGAGTACCTATTCAACCACCCAAGAACCGGCTGGTGCCATATAAGACTATTCTCAGGGTCCGATACCCTAGATTATACCCATTGTTGGCGGTAGCAGACATCGACTCGCGGATCGCAGCTTGCCGATCAAGGGCGCATTTTAAAATCCCGTACCGGGGGGGGGGGGCACAGGAGCCTAGCAGCAAAGACTTCAGCTCTTATCAGCCATGGCAAGGGTCTCGATAGATCAGGCTGGTCTCAAACAAAGAAACTCGCGATGTGGTTGAGTGCCAAACCTGTTACCTTCGTGGATTGAGCGATGCATTCAGCCAAGCCTCCTATGCGACTATAATGAGTTTAAGAATTATGTATGGAACAAGTGCAATGCATTTGATAACAACCCCAAACCTCGTACACACTTCCCGAGTTAGTACTCGAAATCATCATCTACACCTCCCTTGCCCGCAGTCTCCTTCGCTACTGCCTCCTGCTTTCGATACATTTCCGCCACCGCGCGGGTTGTGGTCGCTTGCTCCGGCTTCTTGTCCTCACGAGACTTGATGAAACGAGGAAACCGGAGAGAAACACCTTTCCCACCGCCGGTAGTCCCTTCAAACTCGTCCGCGGCAGCCTTGTAGCGAGGACTGAGAGTCAAGTCTGCAGTCTTGACTTCCCAGACCAGTTTTGGCTCAAACCAAACATCTGGCTGGTCCTTGGGGACATTGGAATGCGAGTAAAAGGGTTTCGGCCGGTCGATAACCATGGGCAGAAGCTCCTTGTGGAGCTCTTCGAGACGCGCTTCGGAAAAGCCAGTGCCGATGTTGCAGATGGTCTCGTACTGGTCAGTGTTGGGGTTATAGGCGGCAAGAAGGAAGGCCCCGTAGACTGAGGTTCGTTTACCACGGCCGTAGTATGCACCAAGGACGACAAGGTCGAGGGAGTCACCGACTCCAGCGAGATAGTCTTTCTTGACCTATAACCAAGTCAGAGACTGGAAGTCTAGAAGATCAAAAGTACATACCTTCAGCCAGTTGCGACTCCGTTTGCTGGGTTCGTAACCACTTTCTGCCGTGTCCAACATCTTCACCATCAGTCCTTCGCATGAGGCTTTGACACTCTCTTCAAGTAAATTTTGAATCTCATCCAGAACATTGCTGTTGCCGAACTGAGCGAACTGGAACTCGCCCTCGACGGGCTGGAAGCATTCGTGCATGAGCTCTCGTCGCTCGCGAAGCGATTTCTTGACGCAGGGCTATGTCGTGGTCAGCAAGGAAACAAAAGCAGCAGACGGAATCTCACCTCTCCATTGCAAAATAGCAGATCAAATGCAAAGATGCAGACCTTGACTTTCACATCTTCCGCCTTCACATCCTTCCGTTTACGGGTCATCAGCTGCTGGAAGGGTAGGACTTTCTTGTTGACAGTATCCCACGCGACGGTCTCGCAATCGAGAACAAAGCTCTTGACGTCTTTTTTGATCCAGCTGTCAAGCTTGCCAAGAACGTCAGGATATTTCTTAGATAGGTCCTCGGAATTGCGAGAGAAAATCGCACAGAGACCTTTGGCGTCCTTCTGGAGAGTGGCCGTGGCTCCGGGATATTGATGGATCGAGTCGGGCGCGACGTAGTGAATTTGGGCCCGTTCACCATCATACTTGTATTCACAGGTAAAGTCCTTTCCTTCGAACCGATCAAGCACCTCAGTGATGGACTTGGTGGGTTTGGCAAGCATTGGCTTGAGGGGAATTCCGGGTTGCAGTTTGCATACTTCGGGCAGTTGGAACAGACCATGCTCCAGGATAGCGGGAATGATGACTTCGTAGGAAGGTAGTTCGCTGTATACGGTCTTGAGAACGGCTTCGCCTTGCGCCATCTTCTCTGCGGGCGGAGTCTTCTCGCCTTTGACCGCTGCTTCATGGGTCACCACAGCTTGGGCAAGAGCAACAAGCACGGTCTTCTCTGCGAGTCCCAATCTCAACTTGCCCTCCAGGAAGCGAACGATGAATTTTGCTTCACTGGGGCCACCTTTGTCCTTGGTGATGTCCACTCCTTTGCTCCCTTTGCCCGCGGTGGCGACATCAGCAGCAGACATCAATTTCTTGATTCCCGAGATTTTCTTATCTTGAGAGCCATGGCCTTGAACTTTGGCAATTCCGAGTAGTCCCTCGTGAACTCCCCTCACCGTCAATGGCTTTGGTTTGAACATTGTTGGCTGGTTAGACCGGCTCTTAGCTGCTACTAATCCAAGGTCACCGATTTCATGCTGGTCACTCTTGATCACAGAGAGGCTGCGGCCGGTACTCTCGCCAATCGCTTTCATAATCAGCGATTCACCAATCCCCAATTCAATTCCAGCATAATCGGCTGCAAGCTTGTTGATCATGAGCTGAACGGTTGGAAGGAGATCTTGCGGTGTCAGGCGGAGAACCTGCTGGAGAAACAAAGAACAGTGTGCCAAAATGATCAACCGCTTCGTGGTCATCTCAACGAGGGAGAAGGTGGTGCATAATGCTGCGTACGGGACAGGCTCGCCTGGCTTCCAGTCCGGGTATGGGTCTTTCCCACTTCCCTTCAGTGTGGCTTGCACCTTTTCAATCGCTTTCTTCTTCAGCTCCGGTTTCGCGTCTTCTTCCTCTTCACTGGTCGATTGTTGGTCCTCTTCGTCCATCTTTGATAGCTTTTCTTCTTGTTCAGGAGTCTCCTCCCCGGACGCTTTCTTCAGTACTGGAGGTGGTGATGACGGCTCCGGTTTGGCCTGAGGAGATTTCGATCGTTCTGCGGGCGATGGTCTCTGTTTTGATGCAGGAGACCGATCTTCGGTAGCTTTACGTCGTCGTTTGACGGGTTGGACGTCAGATCCATCGCTGTCTTCCGCATCTGCACTCTTCTCTCGCTTTAGACTCGTTGCTTGCTCCGTTTTATTAGGGGTGACGACGTCAACCCCATTTTCTGCCTTATCATCAAGCGTCTCATTGTCTGCATCGCCACTTGATCTTTGCCGTTTCCCGCCAAATGACAAAGTGGTCTGCTTCTTCGGGGCTTGGTTCGCGTTGGCGTTGGATCCAAAGAACCGTCTGGATATGCAGAAAGCGCGTTAGCAAAGTCATACGAGTTGACAGAAACAAATCCAAACTATTGGGCGCCTCCCGCCGTGGAGCAACATCGACGCACCCAAGAGTCATCTGGCCGTCGCGAACATACCCCAGAGTAGCTTGTTTCCCACTCTTATCGTCCGCCATTGTTCGTAAATGTCGTCGCGGGCCCAAATCAAATGCTAGGATGGATGAAGATCTCGGGGACACCAAGTACGGGAACGACGATACGGGTTGATCCAGTGGGACTGCGCGAAGGATATGTCGGGTTCTTTGTCCCGTCAGACTGGAGCGCGACGGAGAGATCAGCGCGGCGAGCTCTAAGCTGTGGATGGCGCGCATAAGCAAGTCGCGAGTAGTTCAGTCAATCAATCAGGTCGACACGTAGGGGTGATCAACAGAAGGTCCAAGGTCCGCCTGCTGGTCCAGGCAGATACGGGCGTAGTTCTTGCCGGCAACGCGACTCAGACGCGACTAATCATCTTGCTAAATTGGGGGGACCGCCTTACCCACCGCTTTCAACTGCCGAAACAAATCAGTGGGCGGTCGTTTTATCGCCGGCTGTCTCTCTCTCACCAACAACTTGCACAACAGCCACGGTCATGGCACTTTTGGTCTTCACTTTACTGGTCTTATAAAGTGGGCTGGTGGGTTTGCCAAAAGTGATATTTCTGCATCGCTGTCAGGCGGTTGAGTCCTGTTGCAATGGACAACACTCAGCGGCAGGAAACATTCGGAAAGGTGGGCGATCCTACTACGGGATCAACGGAATATAGCCTTGGATGCTAATCTGTCTATAGCTGCGTGAGCCATGCGTCGAACTCAGCTCTATAGGCCTCAAATTCCGCGGAAATCAAGCCACAGCAGTGGAGGTGTTCCAAGCCGTCGAACCGGTACACAAGGTTTTAAAGCAACTGGCTGCAAAGAATGCCCTCGACGAAAAATTAGCAGAATACGCGTTCTTCCCGCTCACCCACATATTCAACGATACGAACAGGTTATCTGCACGATGTCTGGAATCCGCAGTGAATTGTTTGCAGATCTTGGTGGCCAATGGTTGGCAGCAACGCCTGTCTCCAGCACTAGGCAAGCAGTTGATCATACTGCTAACGCTTATAATTGGAGGTTCGCCAAACCAAGGTGATGGGAAGGAGCCTCTAAAACCAGAAGCATCAGAAGAATTGGCCGTTGCCGGGTTTGATTCTCTGAGGACGATATTCAATGTGTTGGAGGGTCCGGTGGCGGAGGAGACGATTTTCCATGAAATCGGTACAGCTACGGTTGTTGATCAGACGGTTTATATATTACTCGAAGGTCTGGTTGATGAGAGATCGGATGAGGTCTGCTTGGCAGCTGCCAAAGCCCTGCAAGCTCTTTATGCTCGCATTACGGATCGCGTTGTGCTGGCCAGTATTATGCCACGTACTGTTTCAGCACTGACGAAAGTACTCAAGCCAACCACACAAGCCCGGCGATCGTACAAGCTGCTCCAGACATGCCTTGACATTTTTACCGAATTGGTTCGGGCCGTGCTGAATGACTGTGTTGCCACCGCCACAAAAAGCGTCGTCTCAATTCCGCCAGAGGATGATAAGCTGGTTCTAGATGACTCTTGGTTGAAGGCAACGACGACACAAATCAAACTGGCATTAGCCAATGTCATTCAAGTTCGACGTCATGAACGTCCCGAAGTACAGGACGCTTTATTGAATCTCTGCTTGATGGTCATTGAGGAGTGCCAGGCCACCCTTGACGACGCCATGTCCTTGATGGTGCAAACTGTTGTCGTTCTGGCGGATCAGGAAGACCAGACACCCAATAAAGCATTCACGACGCTGGTCCACCTGGCCACGGTCTATCCACCTGTGCTCGAGTCCCTCAAAGAATCACTCCACACATGGCTAACCTCTTTCCCCCGGATCATGCACAGCAACGATGAAACAGCGAAACAATGGGGAGTTCGACAAATCTCAACAGCCTTTCAAGTCTTATCTCAGGTTCAATCAGGATCAGACTTGCTCTCCAGTAGCCTTGCTTCTGGGTTATGCGATAGTGTTGGAGCGGCGATCAAGGGCAACGATGCTCTACAATCTCTGGCGTCGCCGGGTGATCTCAACCTTGCGGTGCTTCAATTGAGTAACGAAACTAAAAGTTTCCCACCTGTAGTGATGGGGCACACGAGCCAGCAGCAAACATTGAAAGACCTACGCTCGATGATCATCAGGCTCAACAGTTCGGGGTCTGGAAACGATATAACACGGGCAATCGTCAGTCGCGTGCATGCTTTATCTGATGAATCCATCATTGCTCCATTCTGGCTGTCCTTGACATTCCTGAGAGACAATTCGCACTTTTCCGCTGGATTTGACGACTTTGTCTCTCTCGACCATGTGGAGCAGCCACTCTCACTGTCTGCACGCTCTAGTATGATAGAAGAGCTGTATTACACCTCTTTAACCATATTGAACGAACAGTCAGCCGGCGCATCTCAAGACTGGCGTATATCAGCGCTAGCACTCGAGGCCATTGCCCTTCAGGCACAGCAACTCGGCGAAGCATTCCGGCCTGAGCTCATGGATGCTTTATATCCAACACTGCAACTGCTCGCATCCAGCAACTCCAGTCTCCAACGGCATGCCATGACTTGCTTGAATGTTTTGACGACTGCGTGCAACTATGCAGACACAAGTTCAATGATCATCGAGAATGTGGATTATCTGGTTAACTCGGTAGCCCTCAAACTTAATACGTTTGATGTGTCTCCGTACCCTCCACAGGTTCTGTTCATGATGGTCAAACTGTGTGGTGGGCGACTTGTTCCGTACCTGGACGACCTGGTTGACTCAATATTCGGAATCCTGGATCTCTATCATGGCTATCCAAAGCTTGTGGAGATGATGTTCAAGACATTGGGCAGCATAGTTGAAGAGGGGGCCAAGAAGAAGTCCCTGTTGACTATCGATGACGGCAGAGATAGCAACCCTCACAGTCGTCGCAAGCCGTTGTACCAGCAGCTGTCTATCTCTACTATTGCCAATGACATTGCCGACAGGAAGGCCAGGCGCGCGAAGCACGCTAAAGAAGAGCTGGCCGACTCCGAAGGCAAAGTTTCACATCCAAAGCAGCCCTGGTCCGAAACCTACAAACAACCACCGAAAGAGCCAGAGTCTGTGGAAGAGCTTCTGCAGCAAGCTGAGTCCGACGAACCATTACCACCACCAAAAGAGCCTGAAGACAGCGAAAAGCCACTGAGCAAAACACACAACCTCCTTCTCCACATCGTCAAATCGATCCCCTCCCACCTCTCCTCCCCATCGCCTTACCTCCGACGCTCTCTCCTCTCAATGCTCATCGACGTGCTCCCTGTCCTGGCACAAAACGAAAACAGCTTCTTGCCTCTCATCAACGACCTCTGGAACTCGGTCGCCACCCGAATCATCTTCCCTTCATCATTGACGAACGACTCCTCTTCAAAGACTCTCATCCCGCGCACTTCGGCCACCGACAACACATCACAGCCTGGCCAGCACGACATCCAAGAAGAAACATTCGTCATCGCTGCGGCATGCTCGGCCATTGAAGCAATGGCCAAAGGCGCAGGTGATTTCATGGCCTCGCGCATTGAACCCGAGTTCCCGCGCTGGGAGCGTCTGTACCGACGCGTGTGGGAGAAAGTGCGCCGGGATGCCGAAGCGGCCAATGAGCGGCGGGTACGGCATCAGAAGCAGCAGCAGCGCAGCGGTACACAGCCCTCATCTACCGAGACTAATCTAGAATTGAACACGGCGCTGCTATCATCCCTCTCCCTCGCTCCCGCAAGCGCAAGTCGCGGAACAACGGGTCCCCGAGCCTTCACATCGCATCATACCCTATGGCGCGCATTACTGTCACTATTCATAACAGTCCTCGCATACGTCCGTCTTCCCGTCGCGGTGGGCGATCAGATCTGCGAGTTTGTAGTTTCGTGGATTGTGCTGTTTGCCGGAGCAGAGTATTACTTCGATTCCACGCGGCGGGGTCGGCAGACTGCTGGGTCTGAGGATCCTGTGCTTCTCCAGTCTGTGGAGGGTGCCATTCAAACAATGGAGGCCTGGAATGCGGATTTGACATGGGTTCTGTTTGTGCAGCATCGCTGTAAACAGCGCGGTGGAGGGACGCAGGATCCGGTGTCCGTGGGAAGTGGTGAGAGCCATGGGCTTTCGGTGGAGGTTTATGGAGAGAAGGTTTCATATGCCGTCGTGGTGTTTTAGATTCTAGAACTAGCGTCCATGACAATGTGAATAGTCTTTCCACGCTACAGGATGTCTTGATTGAGAATTTCAGCAAAAGGAGTGGCGAATTGTCAGCTAGCTAAGATACCTAAGCTGGCTGCAGCCCAAGTAAGACAGGCATAGAACCAGGAGATAGGCCCAAAAATTGTCAAGACGTATAAAATGAGCGTAGTGGCAATAAAACTGCAGAACGGCAAGCAAAGTGAACAAACAAATTGAGATACGGTAACAACAGAAGAGGGCTGGATACGCGTCGAGTCGGGCTGATTCAAATAAGTAGCAGGTGCTACAGAGATGAAATGAACCTTTCCGCGTGTAGGAAAGTCGAATGGCTCGATCTCGAACTGCCAGTCCCTCTACTCGTCATCCTCCTCGCTATCATCCTCGCTCTCGGCATTCTCCAGCCATTCCAGGAAAGGCTGGGCGGCCTTGCGGACCTTCTTGTTGATAGAGCTGTCGACGTACCGCTTGCTGGCCTTGGCGCCCCACGACTTGAGGGTCTCCTCGGACACAAGGTCGTTCTGGTAGTAGCCAAGAAGAATAGCGGGGACCTGGCTGATCAGGGCCGGGTGATCCTGGCCGACGAAGCGCTCGGTACCGCCGAGGAAGGCCTTCTCATGGCGCTCAGAAGTGATCATCTTCTTCAGCAAGAGAGCGCGATCCTCGATCTGCTTGACAATCTTCTCGTCGAACACGCTCTGGGCCAGAACCGCGACAGTCTTGTGCTTGGTCTCGATGCCCAGCTCCTTGGCCTTCTTGTAGATGTCCACGTCGCTGACCTCAGTGACACCGCCATTCTCCTCTGCGGTACTGATGATCCAGCTTCCCAGCTGTTCGTAGGGCGAGCTGCCATCTCCCTCTTCGTCGTCACCGTCCTCCAGCACGAGGGCACGCTTGAGGTCCGATGGGAGGTCCCTGGCGCGGGCCTTGACGGCCTCCTCGGAGAAGTCGACGGCCCATTTGTCGTCCTCAATCTCGTTATCCGCCGCAATGGCCTTGGCCTCGGACTTGATGCGACGAGTGAGCTCATCATCGCTGTCGGCGTCCGGGGCCATGTCACCGTTCTCGTCGCCATTCTCGGAGTGGTTACTATCACCCGGGCTGGCATCTTGGTCTCCGTTCGCTGTGGATTTCTCCTTGTTGCGCTCCCGGCGGGCCTTTTTGTCTTTCTTGTCTTTCTTCCCTCCCTTGGGGTTATTCCGAACGATGAAGGTGCTCAGCTTCAGACGCGGATCCACGTCGGTGCGCTGACCACAGGCCTTGCAATCAAGCGTGATCTTGTCGTCTTTGATGATGACGTCGGTCTCGGGGTTCTTGCACTTCTTGCACAGTACATACTTGGCGATGAACCCATCCAGGTAATCTTGAAGCTTGGGGGCGTCGTGAGCACCGTTGATGATCCAACGGTCATCGGTTGGCTTGGCGTTGGCCTGAGCGCCGAGTTCGAACCCGAAGTACTTGATCACGTACGCAGGGGGTCGGCTGAGGGACTGGGCGACCGAGTTCAGGTTGACAATGACAGTCTTGATACCATTGCCTTTGCCCTCAATCTTGGACTGCAGGCGCTCCATTTTGTAGCGGTAGAAGGGATCGGTGACATCCCGACGAATATTGATGGTGGCCATGGTGACGGTTGGAAGTTAAATTCACGAGAAGAGAACGATAGGCTTGCGGAACAGGAAGCGGGAGGGGATATGGGCTGTAAAGTTGTTGACGAAACAAGACATGCGGGTCGAGTTTCTTTTTTTGCTTTTGGCTGTATGGTTTGGGGGTGTTGGTCTCAAAGAGAGGTCACAACGGAAATGGGCAGCCTCAAGGGTTCAGCCACAAGAACGGAGATGTATACTGCAAGGTTTCGACGAGCGAAACGATTGCAGCTTCGGCGGCAGGTGATGTTCGAAATTTTGGACGGAGGACGAATACATAGACAAGTCGGCAACAGATGTCTCTCGGGGTGGCTGTCTCTGGCAGGTGAGATCGAGCGTGGACGCAGTAGGGGGAATCCGAGTCAAAAGTCGGAAACCCGGTGGCGGACGGTGGTTGATGGAAGTGATGATGGCGATGCCGAAACAGCTAGTGATGGGGAATGTAAAGCGCGAACTGTGCGAGACAGTTAACGCAGTCAAAGGTCGATGAAAAGGCGTCACAGATGATGAGCCTGGGAGTGGTGAATGGGGAAAGTGGGAACAGGAAGAGAAAGAAAAGGCAGGCGGCAAGGATTTTTAAGCGGCACGCATTGTGCTTAGCTAAGCTGACACGGGTTGGGGTTCACAATGTGTTTGTCGCGAAGCAAGTATGATTCGGGGGAATTATTATTCTTGCTGACTCGGACACGGAGAAAGACAGTTGTGAGTACCTGGAGAAAGATTTGGTCCCTTTCAATTGGCGTATTCCCTCCTTGTTCTGCATTCCGACGAGGTCAGACTGTGTCTGGCTCCACCGGCGGTGGGATAGCCCTGGCTCGCTTCGATCATCTTTTGTATGGACTTTCCAGTATTTCACACACTCGCTCTTTGGCTTTAATGGTCTCAGAACTTACGCTGTTACATTCTAGTCGTTGCATCGCTGGCCCACAGACAGTATTCGAGCAGGGTCGTTCTTCTTTGTGCCCCCACCATCGGCACCTCTTCCCGATATTAACCGGCAATGCACACCATGCCGTTAGATCTGTCCCTCTATCTGGTTACAGACTCGACCCCGGCGATCCTCAAGGGACGGGATCTGTGCACGGTCGTGGAGGAGGCTCTCAAAGGAGGTGAGGAGATCGGGTTGTTTCTTTCCGACAAAGGAATCCCAGCTGATGTGAGGTCTAGGCGTCACGGTGGTCCAGTACCGAGACAAAACCAGCGACACCGGAGTGCAGGTTGAGACCGCCAGAAAGCTCCATTCCATCACCCAGAAGTATGGGGTACCTCTTCTGATCAATGACCGGGTCGATGTGGCGGTGGCAATTGGCGCCGAGGGCGTTCATCTCGGTCAGGATGATATGAGTGCGTGGCCATTGATCTTTTGAAGTGTGTGTTGCAAACTGACACCTGAACCAGATTTCGAGGACGCAAAGAAACTTCTTCCTCCGAATGCTATTATTGGCATTAGCACCTCTTCCATCGAGGAGGCCAAGAAGGCTGTCGCCGATGGTGCTGATTATCTCGGGGTTGGGACTATGTTCGCAACGCCAACGTATGTGTACCAACCTTGGATATCCAACTGATACTGATTATTGCGTATAGTAAAACGAACACCAAGTCTGTGATTGGGACTGCAGGGACCCAAGCAATCCTGAATGCCATCAGCGATTCGCCGTCGGTGGGCACCGTCTCCATCGGCGGCATCAACCACACCAACCTGCAGCGGGTGATGTATCAGTCGCGCTCGCCCAAGAAGGGCCTCGATGGCGTCGCCATCGTCAGTGCTATAATGGCAGCCGACGACCCCAAGGCCGCGGCCGAGGAGTTCTCCAAGCTGATCAAAACTCCCGCCCCGTTTGCACTGACCCCAAAGCCCCCGCGTACAAATGAGGCAGAGGCGTTGCTGAAGGAGGTACCTCACATCGTTCGAAAAATGGTGGAAGTACACCCCCTCGTTCACAGCATGATCAACTACGTAGTGGCCAACTTTGTGGCAAACGTTGCTCTCTCCATGTGAGTGATATATACTTCCTCGACTACCGCTGCATACGCTGACTATCCTCTCAGCGGCGCATCTCCAATCATGGCACCATATGGCGACGAAGCCACGGATCTATGCCAGTTCGAGGGCGCACTCCTCATCAACATGGGGACGTTAACAAGCGAGAGTGTCTCCAATTATCTCAAGGCAATCAGGGCATACAACCAACGAGGCAACCCGGTCATCTACGACCCAGTCGGTGCAGGTGCGACTCAAATTCGGCGCAACGCCGTGGTAGACCTGATGCGGGGTGGCTACTTCGATTTGATCAAGGGTAATGAGGGCGAAATTCGACAGGCCTGGGGAAGCAGTGCGGTCCAACAACGCGGTGTGGACAGTGGACCGAGCACCCTTGACAACCAGCAAAAAGCGACGCTGGCTCGGGATCTAGCTCGGCGGGAGCGTAAGTGAACTTCATACTATTCCCAGTCCTTATTCTGACTCAACGCAGGTAATGTCGTTCTTATCACCGGAGCCACTGACTATCTGAGCGATGGCGAGAGGGTTATTGCCGTGGAGAACGGCCACCCGCTTCTAGGCCAAGTGACTGGCGTACGTCCAAGACTTCTTCCTCTCTCTACTCTCCAAAGAAAGACTAAATAACAATCTACCAGACCGGATGCGCCATCGGTACCATCTCCGGCTGTTTCCTGACATCCCACCGGTCCGACAAGCTCCTCGCCGTGCTATCAGGTATTATCATGTATGAGATCGCAGCTGAGAACGCCGCCTCCAAAGAGTACGTTCGAGGACCGGGCAGTTTTGTGCCGGCTTTCCTTGACGAGCTGTATGCTATCCGCACTGCAGCTGCCAAGGGAGACGATAGCTGGTTTGCGGGGCGGGCGAAGGTGCGGGAAGTGAAGGTTTAAAATGTTGGTCAGTCAATGTACATGTCAAAATAGCTTCAAAATTTAGGAGTCCATCGTAATCGCTCCGACCAAACTTTTTCTATCTATATATCCACTACGCTTCGCCGATCTCCCTATGATAAGTTGACCAGTGCAATAAAGAATACTAACTCGATGTCGTCATATTTCAACAAGGTTGTATTCAAGATACTCACACAGAGAGCCTATTTTACAAAAATGATTTGCCAACTCCCTATCTGAATCAAATCCCACCATCCTGCTTACGCCATAAGCCACCCAAAGCTCTCAAAAGATATTCCAATCAAATCGCGTGCTTCCCATAAGTCTGCTCATAGGTCTCATCCTCACCAACACAAACCCTGTACGTGAGCCTAGCATTCTGATCAACCTGCGCCAAAAGGTCCGGCGCAACCACATAATAAGAGGCCCAAAGAATGCCCCAACACTGAACAAGTGTATCAGCCATGTATCCCCATTGCTTAACCACCAACGGTGTGCCAGGCTTATGAGGCAACATTCCACCCTCGATGACATACCCCAGGCATTCGAAAGTCTTCAGCGCTGCCATGACAGCCTTCGCCGGCTGGCAAGTGTCGGCATACCTCTGCGCTAGACACAGCAGAGGCGCCCACATGAACAAGCGCGGGACATCAGTGGGCGGGCAGGCGTACGTCTCCGCCATGGCATTGATGAGGGCCTCGATCTTGGGCGTGTCAATTCGCCTGCGAGGCGTACCGTCGGTGGTTTTGAAGCACCTGTACAGCTCATTCCGCAGTCTCTTGCGCTTGACGAGGATGCTCTTCTTCGTGGACTGGAAGTCCTTGCAGATGGAGCAGTCGCACTGGAAGCCCCAGTGGCGGAGCCGCTTCTGGAGTTCGCAGTTGCTGTCGGGGCTGGCAGTCTGGTACATGAGCGTGATTTCGGTGTTGGATGGGATGTTCTTGCTGGCTCGCACGATCATCATGTCCCCGATGTAGGTGTGGTCGGCGTTGCTGTTGCACGAATGGTTCATGGATGATGCCAATGGCCAGAGACCGCAGGAGTGGAAGGCCTTGTCCGGGTCTAGATCGTCGACGATCAGCTCGAATCGCATGTGGTATTCGCGAGAGGAGAGGCAGCAGCCGAAACAGTTGTAGGATACGGCACGTTCAACCAGAAATCTGAAGTATGTCAGTATGGCGTGAGGAAATCTGGTGTTTCTTACGTGTCAACCACCGGCATTCCGTCAACGTGAGAAACATCGACAGCCTCGTATGTTCCGTGGTAGAGATTATTGATGACCGGTGCCAGCGATGGGTTCCGGTAAAGCTTCTGGATAACCATGGTAATGAGATCCGTCTGTCCTCCCATGGTCATAGTATTTGCTTCAGTATTGATAAGCACGGTGATATCTGCGCCGGTGCACGTAACCTCCTCGTCGATAAAAGCATGCGCGAGTGCCTTTTCGCAGAGAAGAAGTTCTCCAGCTTTGACTGCCTGGGTGGTAAAGAGACCACGTCCTCCCTGCTCACAGGGCTTGACAACAATTGGGCCAACGTATGTCGCATGGTCAAGGTGCGGTGGACGAAGCTTGCTCGCTTCCGCTTGCATGAGCTTGAACCGGTACCTGCCCTTTTCTTGCTCTGCAACTCGCTCGATGGCGCGGGAGAACATCTCCTTGGCAGTCTCATTTTCGGGGTATTGCTTTCGAAGGACCTTGAGGGCTTCGCAGCACTCGCGGTATTTCTGGAGACAGTAGAGAGCTTGGGCATGGCGGAGTAAAGCCTTTTCGGTAGGCAGTGCAACTTCTACCAGTGGTTTGAGCTCAGCGAGTGCGGAATCAAACTGGCTGCTCTTGAGAAAGCAAAGAGCGCGATTGAGCCGGAGAGCCTGTTCTTCCTGTGCCATGGGTGAGCAATTGAGGGCTTCGAAGTAGCTGTCAACCGAGTTTAGTCTTTGTTCAAGAGACAAGTGGGGTTGGAGACTTACCAATCGAGAGCTTCGCGAAATTTGGCTTTGTAGAAATAAGCGTTCCCGGCCTCCTTCCACTCGCTAGCAGAGGTGATGATCTCCACAAGTCTCGGCTGCCAGCGATTGGGAATTCGCTCGTCATGCTTGGGGAGATAGATCACGTCCGAGAGGTGATCCACACGAATCGCATAGCCACCATCAGTCGCTGAAACTTTCAGGTAAGGTTCTTTCAGAATCATGACAGTTCCTTCCTCCAGAACCTTTTCAGTTTTGTGCTGGTGGTACATTTGGAATCTGACGACATCATCCTGCTCGTCTTCCACGATAGCCATGATGGCAGTCATTCGATGCGGAGGAGTGACTGTTCTGAGAAGGATGTAGCGGCCGCGGTGATGAGTTTCCAGAAGAAGATCCTCAATCATTATCTGCTTTAATTCGCTCACAGGAGCAGTGCATGGGGGGTAAGCAAGAGGGACAAAGGAGGTTCGCAGATTAAAGCCGGGCTGGTCGTTGCTGATCGCGAGATGGAACATAAAGTCCATGATCAGTTCGGCTCGAGGCTTTCCTTCTGGAGGTTGCTGGCCCTTCTGAGACTGGGCAGCTTGAAATAACGATCTCTGCTTGGCCATATCTTTGACGAACTGCGGGTTGTCTGAGACGTCGATGGTGTTCATCTTGCAGTCAGTATCGAGGGAGGGTTTTGGATAAAGTGGGTGAGGGATGGAATCTTGGGGAAAGAACTTGAAGACGAGTGCACTCCATAAGTGAAGGAAACTAGGTACAGTGAAGGGTGGACAAGAGATATGGGCAGAGGGCAGAAGAGGTAAACAGGGAGCAAAAAAGAGAACATCTGACTGCTGCATGTTTGCCTTCCATCTATGCTTTCCAGCCAAACACGCAAGTCTTACTAGCAAATTTGTCAACGTGCCCACAGACCTCATTCATCATCCTGATACCAAGATCGTGTGTTGTTCCTGGCCACCTCTTGTAGCTATACTTGTTTCTGACTAAGGCTCTAAACTATATTTCTCCTCGGCGTTCTCCGATTTATCCCCGCATTCTCCGACGTCTTCTCTTCAACTTCACATCCATCACAGCATAGCGACCAATCTCATCTATTCACTCAAAATGGCTGCTGTCTCGCGCGCGTGCCGGATCCGTAAGACTCCAACCCGGTTTGGAAGACAAAAGCGCTGACCACAACAGGAAATCCGGCATTGTTGTATGTGGACCACCACCTCTCGTTCTCACGGCTTTCTACGCTCGGGGACGTGTGACCATCCCCAGAGACTAATATGCCATCCATGTAGTGTCTGCGACATCCAGGAGAAATTCCGCAGCGGAATCTATGAGTTCCCCAAGATGTACTTCTGACCCCAACCGTCCCAGACGCCTGCAGGATTCCGTGACTGAAAGTGCGCCAAAACAGGGTCGCAACGACGGACAAAATGCTCCGCGCCGCATCTGCTCTTCAGATCCCGGTATTTGCAACAACTCAAAACCGCGCAAAGCTCGGTAACACGGTCGCCGAGCTCCAACGCCATCTCAGCGGGCCGCACATCCGCGCGGACGCGGACAAGACACTCTTCTCAATGATCACTCCCGAAATCGACGCTCTCCTCCCGGCCAAGAACAGTCCCAAACTGGACGCTATCATCGTCGGCATTGAGACGCACATCTGCGTCACGCAGACGACTCTCGATCTGCTGGAACGCGGGCACAGGGTTTATGTCCTGGTGGATGCGGTTAGCAGTATCAATCCCGAGGAAAGAGGCGTCGCTCTCGCTCGACTGAGGGACGCGGGCGCGGTTGTGACGAGTAGTGAGAGTGTGCTGTTTGAGATTTTGGGGGATGCGCAGCATGAGCAATTCCGGACTGTGAGTGGGCTGGTGAAGGAGACCAAGGAGGACACCAAGTCTGCGCTGGGTGTTTTTTCGAAGATCTGAGCGGTACATCTACTTCTTGTACGCCGTTTTTCTATCTAGTCTGTTTGGATCAAGTAGAAAATGATTTCTTTTCTTTTTTTTTTTTTTTTTTTTTTTTTTTTTTGGACATTAGGTAGGACGGTGCAGACTGTGAAAATCTACATTCTTTTCCTCAGCTGAATGTAGCTTGATAGAGCTCGTGAAATATGCTTCCTCTCTGTCGCCTAGACAAATTGTGTCATGGCCATCGTAGGAGAATTTATGTAGGACTTGTAGATAGTCCTCATTAGAAAGCCGAGGCTACAAACATCCTGCGAACAGCCCTCTGCGAACTACGCATTTACCACAGGGACATAGAACTAGCGCCTAAAATAACAATAATAAGAACCACTCACTCAAGAACCAGGGTGAATTTATGGCTATCATAAGTAGCATATGTCTCATCTCATATGGGCTAAAGAAGGCAAAAGCATCAGAGAGAAAAAGAAAATAGAAAGAAAACGACCCCGACCGTCCCAAGAAGCAGAGATAACAAGATAAAACAAAACCCTAAAGCGCCATCGTCCGATTCATATGACCCCATCATCACATCCATCCAGCATACGCGCCTAGAAAAGAAAAGAATCATCTAGGATTTTGCATTCGCAGTCGTAGTCGCATTCGCCGTGCGACCCGCTGCTTGACCCGAATTAAGCCATCCAAACGCCGAGGCGCCTCCGACGGGGTTCGGCGCGAAGGACTTGGTGGAGCGATTCTCGTCGCCAGCGTGTGGTGCAGGACGCGCCGAGTCAGTCGGCAGGTGGGGAGCTGAGCCATCGGCGTGGTCCATTGTTGCACTAGTCGGGTTGGAAGTTGAGCTTGGGCGGTTGGCTGTCTTGCTTGGACGGAGGACTTTCATCGTTCGGCCTCGAGATGCTTTGCTAGCTGCGGCGGCCGCGTTGGGGTCGAGCTTCGAATCGCGGCGCCAGGAGCCCCAGATGCCGGCCCCGGCGTTTTCCTGCTTGGTTTGGGGCGCGGTAGAAGTGGACTCGGTGGATGTGGTGGATGTGGGTGGTGTCTCGACGGAGTCTGGGTCTGGGAGCCGGGGTCTGTGGGTTTCATCTGCTTCGCTGACTGAGACGCGGGCTGAAACGGGTGCAGAGGTGGTTTGTTTAGGGACAGCGGCTGTAAGTTTGTTGATCGCCCCGATAGTTGTGGACTCGTTACCGGCGTGCGGCCCTGTCTGGAGTGGAACAGTGGCCAGAGACTTGAACATGGAGTCCTTTTCAGGGCGCACGATTGGGATGGAAATCCTGTTGTGCTCCTCGTCAACCATGACGATCTTGTCCTGTGAGAAGAGAATATCTGCATTGTGGGACCGCAGCACATCACTCCCCAGGATAATTTGGATGCAGTCATCGCTGGCAGCTGTCTCGCGGACCGAAAACCGAATGTTCAGGGAAGGAAGCTGAGGCGTAGGACTGCCAGAGCGTGACGAAGACTGGTGAACACTGGCTTCGGGGAGGTACAGCGGAAGCTTGATGTATTGCTGGTCATCTTCGTGCATAACGAGATCCTCCAAGCCGAATTTCCGGATCATTGACGTTCCCAAAGAAGACACGTAGGACCCCGAGCAGACGGCCGCATACAGGAGAGAATCATTCGAGAATGTCGTAGTCAGCCAGCACCGAATGATGCAAGGCGCCGGTCCCAGCAGAAACAAGCCCGGAGGGGGGATCAGCGGCGAGCTGCTGAAGGACGCCCCCATCATTCTGCTGGTCGTCTCCAGCCCCAGACTGTTGGTTCGTGCCGAGTGATGAGAATGTCCAGATGAGCTCTGCCTTCCATCAGATCGGTGAGAGAGAGACCGTTCAGTCAGCGGGTGGCTTCCCAGTCCGCTACCAGTTCGCAAGGGCAGTTCAGTGCTGGACCGGTTGGCCTGCCCGTAGTAGCCGTGAATAGCGCTCTCATCAAACCGCACACTATTGGCCCTCGATGCGCCCCGCCGGGGCTCATCGTCGCCATCCAGGCCCACTGCCGAGCTCGTCATGCCGTGCTGACCTTGGTCGAATCCCTTGAAAGCGTCGGGGGGTGAGTGAAAGGCGGTTTCTGCAGCAGAAAGAAAGGGCCGTCAGTTTGGATGGATCAGGGGTCTATTTAATGCCACCTACCTGTAGGAATGGGACCGGCCACGGAGCTAGGAAACGGCGACAAAGGACCCCAGACACTTTTCATGCGCGCATCCTCGTCTCTGCGTCGCTCCAGGCGCGCGATGCGCTCGGCCTGCTCGTACTGTGCTTCGTGGAGCTCCTTGAGTTCGTCAAGGACACGCCAGATGTCGTCACGGGAAGCAAAGGGGTACTGTGCATCCATCGCCACCAAGGTGGTTGCAGAGTTGTGGCGATGGACAACAGGGAGACAGTGTTTTGCCGACCAAAGCTCACTTCACCCACGGGGTGGTCTCGACACAACGATCCCCTCCCTCCTTCGATCTGGAACGGCCCAGCGGCCGTCCACCCGGACTGTGAGAATTGGGGCTTTGGCAGGTCAGTTCAAGGCATGCACCGGTGAATTCAGGGTGTGTTTAGGCAGCTGGCGAAGCTCGGTGGGCGGGAGGGGTGGGAGGTAGGAGGGCGGAATGGGAGAAAGGGGAGGGCGAAGGTGACAAGTGTGGGTGGTGGTGGTGGTGGTGGTGGTAGGTTTGAAGAAAGAAAGAAGAAATCGTGAAGCAGAGAGAAGAAAAGAGAAGGGATGGTAGTAGGTGGGAAGGCAGTAGTGATGTGGGTGTGGACGGTGTTTGGCCGTGCAGGCAAGACGATAAGAAGAATAATGCGGAGCTGTGGCCGATCCGCTCTAGACCGCTCTCCACTAACGGTGACTTGGGGCTACTACTAGTATACGACTCTATTTCTACATGCTCTAAGAGTAAGCGCTACGGGTTCGTTAACACTAAACTTGCTAACATGTGTTACCTCAATGCAAATGAGGCCCTTTTGACTAAGATCGCTTAAGCCCGGCGACGGATAGAGCACGCCGAGGATTATGGTTTACTTCAGCGCGCAAGTAACAGCGTGGGCAAACTAGTTCTGCGCTACGATGGATATCACTAATACTAGACTAGCCTTAACTGTATGATCTAGGGGAATTTTGCTATAGAGAGAGCTTATAAAGCGCAAACTGAAAGCTATCGGCCTACCTTTGGCACGTACGACAAGTAGGTAAGAGCGCTTATCTTACCAATAATACTTCCAAGCACTTCATTAGCTAGTTACTAGAACACCAGTAGTGTTACTAACTCTTCTACTCCATGCCTTAACGCAACCTAGGAGAATCAGAAGGAGCATTTCTATAGCAGGCCAGAGCCGCTCTCTAGTCACGTGCAGGAACGTGACCTGTTCCCATTGTTTATCAACCGCAGCTTAGATAGCTTCTTGCTCCACTCTAGGTCTCGCCATCTCGCGTTCTTTTCTCGAAAGTGGAGCTGGGATTATCGTCACTGCAGGTTGGAAATACTCAACGAAAAAGCTGGTGGACGTTTCTTGGGTGTCTGTCGGAGTCTCGACAGCCCCTATGTCTCGCGATCAGCTCAGCCCTCCCTCATTCATGTGCTTGATGATGGTCCACTAATATGTACGGAGGATAGCTCCGGAATAGCCCTACTACTTCATTTTCATATATATAGTGCTCTACTGAAACCAGTTCGTGTCCCATGTCTGGCTAGGTCAGCCCCAGGACCTTGGCACGATGTTGCTTGCTCCCGGGAGCTTCAGCTGCAGCTCTAAGAGGAGACTCATGTAGCTCGAACCCTGGGTGATCGACAAGCAACGGGTCTAACTAGTCGATCAAGTTCCCTATATGTAGAATGACGCCGACTTTCGTAAATATGACAGGTCAAGTTCTTTGTTTCTACTCTGAAACGGATGAACAGATCCCAACCTATATATCTCCTCCTAGGAGTTTAGCCTGCAATACCCGGTCGAGAGATCTCACAGTCCATATGGATGGTTGACGTTGGGTCCTACTTTAGCTGCTATTCCCAAGCCTCTAGTCATTCGCTATCCTGCCCTTTATATATTACCAACATGATGGCCCTAATATTTGGTAAAATGAAACTGCCCGTTACTAGCAGTGATGATTCACAAAAATCCATAGCAATAGAAGTCATGAACCCTAAGAAGGGAAGCAGTGGTGTGAAGGTACAGCAGTCGAGAAAAGCAGATGCCGAAGAACAGTCTCTATGTGGACTTGCAGTTCCCTTCGCAGTAGATCTATCTATCGCATACGCTTGATCGTTCGGGCCCTTGTCGGTCTCGCGCGAACCATCTTGCCTTCGGCAATTCAGGGGTACAAAAGACCCGGACTGAGCCTAACCAAAACCATTAGAGATTGAAGGTCACGGACCGAGTTCATAGTCAAATGTTACATTAATACGTAGCAGAGTAAATCGACGGCCTGGCATGAAGCGGCTATCGAATAAACGAGTGACCTGGGCAAGTAACAGTGAGCTTGAAGCACGCTAGCAGACGCAATTACCGAAGATGTGATGATCGTCGACTCGTTATTCCAACAGCAAGGGTGGGGGTGGCGGTGCTGATCAGCATCGTGCTGTAGGGAAGGCATGTGGGCCTCTAGAGGCGCAAGGGCAATAGTCAAATTACCTAGGGATCTTGAGCCACAGTTTTTCACTAGCCACGCAACTACCGAAAGATGGTTTGGGGGTGACGGTCCGATCCTCCTCACGTTTGTTTGTTGGATATGGATCCATTTCGTGATTCGAACTATATGCAACGCCATCTAACTACTTTTCCTGGAGACTCATGAAAACGCTTTGCTCGTATATAGTGAAATAATGGATTACCTTTTCTAGCTAAAAAAAAGAACAATAAGAGATTCAGAGCATGATCGAACGTTCATACTGTGAAAAGATATCGACCGACCGGATGGAAGGGCAGGGGAACACCCCGCTCTAAACAGCCGCAGCCTTGTCAAACACTACAGTAATGGACTTTCGGGCTGCCGGTATTTGTTTGTGATTCGTATTGGCCGTGGGCGAAGAAACGGGATAAAGGCGAAATTCTTTAGGCCACTCAATTTGCGCTAGAGCGCCCTGCTTCTTTCCTTGTCTAATGATATTCGCGCCTACGAATACTTGCTCCAAACTAACCCACGCTTATTCCTGGTCATTTGTCTTTGGTTCTGATTTAGTTTTATTATGGTATTATTCATGTTATTTCTTCCTTAGGGAGGTTTGACCTTCATGGGGTCCCCGGGAACTGTTTCTCCAGTTCAGCTAGAGCCACTGGCTCTGGAGCCCTCATTGGCGCTCGCTGTCGCTAGTCGCTGTAAACTAACACCGGGGCACATTGTGGCCAGATCCGATTAAGATGACTGTGGAGTACACTCCCTAGATCGTCCGCTAAAAGGGAATCAACTCACCCCAAGTTTCTAGACGACCTTTCCTCTCATGATCAATGGAAATTCTGATACGGAGTACCGTTCTGCGATGGTAAGAATAGCTGCCGGGTGGCGCAGTTTGTCTAATGTGCTTTTCGTCTACCACAGCCTAAATTAGATCGCCCCGACTACTGCTTTGGGGATTATTTTAATCCAGACTCCGTCCCTCCTCTCGGGCTCTATTCACTCCCACATCCGTCCTGATATCCATTCATCCCACTTGACCCACCTTTCTGACTCTGGTTCTTTCCCTCTGGACCACTGCGTATACAGCCATTCCATGCCGAGCCCGTACCACCTAGGCCCCGGCTAGGAACAGAAACGAGTGGAGTCCTTTTCGTTCCTGCATTGCTATAGACGGTTGCCAGCAGCCGCCTCTGTAGTCATCACTTCTCGCATTGTGGACTTGGCTAGTGTGAGTTCCTATTTCTCCAATGTATTCCCGTTTACAGGAGCTTCAACCTAGCCGTTCGGGGGGTGGCTTCGTCTGTCTGACTCGCTGCCGCCGTGCCGGCTTTTCGCTTTTGGGTATCAGAACGGCTCGACGCGGTCGTCATTGGCCATCCGCGAACTTTAGGGCACCCAACTGACGCTTAGCAGTTAGAAATATCCGAAGAAAGTTTAGATCTACTCCAACCACCAAGGGGATCTCTGACCTTGTTCTATAAAGAGGACAAGCCGCTTGCTGATTGCGTGTCTGCCTTGTCAACCGTCTGACCCGATTCCCTTGTTGGTGTTCGTTACATGCCACTGCGATACCGCTGAATTACCTCCTTATCAGTTACTACTGTGCTACGAACATAGAGATCACAGACGGCCATCCCTTCGGAGTAGCAGAAAATGGATGAAAGCAAACCAGCAACGGCAGCCGGCATGAAGAGGTCTGCCCCTTCCATCCACGAAGGACCGCGCGGTTGGGACGTTACTCCAGTGAGTCCAATTCGTAGGCATACTTTCATCTACAAGAATTAATCATTGCCGCCTCTCAGCCCATGATGACTCCCTCGCCCTCATCATTCCATCTTCCTTTTGCTCACTATGCCCTAATATACCTCGACAATGAGGGAAAGCTGCAGGTCGACGAATCCGCATCCATAAAGGAGGTGAATTTCACTGTCTTCAGCCCAGAAGTGCTCCAGGATTTCCTGGAAATTTTCGGCAAGCGAGATGGGTTCCACCAGCCCGTCCGCCGTACGTGTAGCCATATTGACCACCTTTGAATACTGGCTAATCTGAATATCTAATAGGCAATAAGATGGCTTCACTTCGTCGGGTGAAATGTGGTAGAGGTCGTACCAACGCCTCTACCCGCAAAGAACGTCGGCTTGAGAAGTTATACGACAGTGAAAACGCTTCTTCTCCGAGGCCATTAGGGATGGTCCCGCTTCGTATCGGCGACGAGCGAAGCATTCTCGGATACTATGAGGGCGCACTAAAGCACTTCCAGCAATTCAACTGCCGTGTAGTTGCTAAGGCTTTCATCAGATTCATTGAGCCGCGCAAGCAGGTGAAACACACTTAAAACGGGGGCAGGCCTTCATCAGGACCAGCACCGGGAGCAACGGGCGACCCTGAAAAGACTAAGCCGGAATGGTGGCCCCTGGGTGTAATGCACAAGGAGCCTGACCATCTGAGAAAAGAGTGTATGTCTTCCTATATCCGTAATTGGTTCTGTGTGTAGTCTAATCTTGGCCTGCATTGAGTAGATCGCATTGAGCTTCTGATCCACATTGTGCGCAAACTAGGTAGCTACGGAATCACAGCCGACAAGCTAAAGGAGGTCGCTAGCGAGACCAAGCGCAGCTTGAAGCACCCATCGCATGTGGAGATTATCTATGAGATCCTGCGAGTGAGAAAATTGGAGGAGCGTTTAGAGCGCGGTGAAATCGGTAAGCGTACTGCAAGAGATTCAAATGATTACACCTAAAGCAATCTATCGCAGATGACAACATGGTGGTCTATGTTATGAATCGAGGCCCAAGCCCAAATGGCGAAGACAGAATGTTGATTGAGGGAACATTTTCCGCACTCAAAGAGCCGGAGCACGTTGGAGGACTGTTGACGCCGGCGTCATCGGTCGAGCAGGCGTCTGCAGCACTTACAAAACAAACTGATACAATGTCTTCGCTGGCATCTAGTCACCATCTCCTAGGCGGCGACTGCAACCCACCCTTCTCTGTCCTGGAGCCGCTCAACTTCGGGGGCCCCGGCCGGCACGATAGCGTATACTACACGACGCCTCACCACTACACCGATACATTCTTCTCGCGGGCTATGCTCAACACTCCTTCAAGTGCAGACATGATAAGTTCCCTCGATGCATCGGTTTTCAACTACCTTACCCAAAGCCCCTTCCTGACTTCTACTCCTGATCTTCCGCCTATCGGGACCCGGGACCAATATGGCTCGTGGACGCCGACCTTCAGCCAGAATATCCCCAGACCTGCGGAATGTGGTACGCCTGGCACCAGCCAAGCGCTTCCTCCGCCAGCCATGTCGTGCCACGGGCCCTGGCCTCTCCAGCATGGACATGGTCATGCGGGCAAACATGGCTAGCGGGATCTCTTTAAACACGCTCGATTGCGCGAATCGCATGGTCCTTTGGATCATACGAGGGTGGCAGTCTACGGATTAGCACATGATAGCCAATGGCTTGCATGCGCTGTGTAGACTTCCTTCGGGGCGTAATTGGAGGTGACGATATGGGCTCATTATGAAGGAAGATTTCAAAGCCAAGAGACATTCTGTAGCTAGCATTGCGAGATTTTGGTTCCTGAACTTCATGTGGGCGATTGAATGAGAGTCCAATGTATCCCCGCCAGCCGTACTATAATGTATGCTGCGATGTTATGCCTAATCTTTAAGGCGGGTTGCTGCCTAATAGCTCATGTATGGACGCGTGGATGAGTGGGGGCAGTGGGGTAAAGACTATATTTTAAATTCCTCGCTGGTCCCTGGGTTTAGGCTTGGAAATATACTGAGTCGCATCCACAATTTACCCGCGAGTCTCTGTTGCCCGGAGCTGTACAAACATCAACCCAGGCGTCCTGTGAGGCACTCTTGAAACCCAGCCCGCCAAAATGGCTTCCCTCGAGATCATTGTCTCGGGCCATTCGACTATCAGCCGCTCCCCGGAACGATGTGTGCTCAGAGCCTCTGTGAGATCAGAAGGACCACAACAGGAGGCTGTGTCGAAAGAGGTCACTTTGGCGTCCAACCAGGTCCACCAGATTTTTACAGAACTGTCGCCCAAAACCGAGGAGGGTCTTGCAACCGCGGACGCCCCGGTGACCAAATTCTCCAACACGCTTCTCCGCACCTGGTCCACAGTGCCCTTCGAGAACGATAAGCCACTGCCCCGGGTTTACCACGCTCATTCCTCATTTCGAGCCATTTTCCGCAATTTTCTCACGCTTGGCGAAGTGGTTAGCAAGCTAGCTACATATCCCAAGGTAGAAATCGACCCGCTTGACTGGCGCCTGACCGATGACACCAAGAAAGCGCTGGGCTCCGAGTCGCGCAAGCTGGCGATGTATGATGCTATTCAGAAAGCCAATGATTATGCCGAAGTCGTCGGCCAGAAAGTGGTTGCTGTTCAAATCACAGATGGGGGTCACGGATCGTACGGCAGAACCATGCAGTCGGCCAGAGCGATGGCTGCCCCTGCCATGATGAGACATTCTGACCTCCCCGAGGGAGGCCCGGTCATTGACCTGACACCACAGGATATCGAATTCACTGGTTCTGTGGAGGTAAAGTTCGAGACAGTATCGGAGACCTGAAGTGCCTAGAAAATCAAAACTAATCTAGTATAAGTGGCAAGTCAAGTCCAAGTAGAAAAACTAACTTAGGTGCGTCTTACTTCTCTACGGCAAATTCCCTACCTAATTCGCGGCTATTAACTCCCGGCCCGAAGATCATTGATATAAGAATCCTCGATCCTCTCGGCTTCGGCTAGGGAAGTAGACGCTAGGCTTGTGATCAAGTGTCTATTTTCAATATTGCAGATCGACTGAAAGAAGTATTGTAGGGCTGAGAAGGTCGGTGGACAAAAGACTGTTATGTTTTGCGGGTGAGGCTCATGGCGATTTGTCATGAGGCGGGCCACCGCGTCTAACAAGGGTCACATTAATGACACCAGCCTTTGTTGAAGGAGAAATGAGGGCGATGAAAAAGGGAATATGTGGAACGTAGATGAGCTGGCGAGGTGCCTTTTATTTTGTGTGGGCTTAGGCCGCTTTTCCAGCCCGCAGTGTAGATCTTTCGAAATACCACCCCGTCAACAGCTGGCCTTTCGATGCTTACTCAATTTGGCCCTCTTGCGACGATTCCCCAGATACACGGGCTGTGTCGATCTTACGCTCCCAGGAATAGATCTTCTATTCCGCATGACGCTTGTTAGACCTCCTAGTATTTATGTAGGATGTATTTTACACGAGGCTGCTATGCGCCTGACATCCGTGCGCTGACTTGTTGAATGCACTGCCAGGAAAATACATGACACGATACAGACCAGCGGGGATTGTAGAGCAGTTACATCATAGGCACACAACACGGTCAGCCTCACTTTCGCGTCGGGCGCAATCTGCTGACCTTCTATTATATCCTTGCAACTCGATTTTAACAAAACCCAAAACAGATAATCAATCTACCGAACTGCAATCTATCCTCTACTGAACTTTGTGGGAATCATTTGAACACTTGGATGATATCCCCCGCACCACCCAGGTCACATAATGCCCCCACAAGTCCTCGTCTCTGGGCCAGAATTGCGAATCCGCCTCGAAGGCGGCAAGGAGTCGTACAGCCCCGGCGATACTGTCAGTGGTTGCATCTACCGGTCGAGACCGACCCCAAGCACTGGCACTGAACCCACAATATCTCTGCATGGTCAATCCAAGTCGGAGGTGACCCAAAGTGCAGGTTATACAAGAAAACACTTCGTCAGCTGTTGCAGATTCTTTGATACACGCCGGACCACCCAAAGTCTGTACCCTGGCCAGCCTTTGGATATTCAGTCTGACAGCAGCGGAGCCTCATGGCCTTTTGCTATCACCATACCCGAATACATGGATCCGAAAGCTATTGCTGCTTCAGATATTAAGCAAAAACAGAGTTTTCTGCCACTGAGCCCTGATACGGTTGCTGCACAGGCAACCCCGTCGAGTTTCCATGAGCCGTCGAAAGGCAACAAAGCGATAGAAGGCTTTGTCGAGTACTATCTTCAAGCAAAGTTTCAATTCGTTACCCAACGTAAAACTTTCTTCTCAAGGCAGTACAAAACCGAATCCCACGAGGCCATCATGCCGCTGCGCGTCGAACATTTCTCTACAGGACCTCCGATGACGGACTTTCCGCTGAAGAGATACACGACCTCCAAGCGGATTTCCTCCCAGCGGCTCATTCCCGGCATGGAAGACAATAGGCTTTCTTTGTCTCAAAAAGCCCAACGGTTTCTTGGATCGTCTAAAATACCCCGGCTCATGTTCGAAATCCATTTCGATGTCCCGACTGTTTTGCAGCTAGACAACGACAACCCCGTCCCTTTGAACATTTGTCTTGAGCCTATCTGGAAGAGTACAAGCGATATCGTCCGCGAAGCACCTCCGAACTTCACAGTCGAGTACCTAGTCGTACGCATTAAACCTACCACAGAACTTCCGATGAGGACACAGACATTCACAGTCGTCCGGAAACCCATGGACGTCATCACCGAGGATAGGGTGGCTTCACTTGATACAAAAATCCAATTATCCCTTGTGGCAGAAGATACGGGCAAGAACCCCGAAACTGTGGACATCGGGAAGCTTGTGAACTTCAATTGGAGCCGTGCAGCAATCAGAAAAATATCTACAGGGCCTAATGGGAGAAAATTATATCCTAGCTTCATCACGTACAATATAGCGCATCGGCATTGGTTGTCATGGGAGTTACACGGAGTGGTGGCAGGAGAGAAGGTCAAACTTGACGGCACGCACACAGTCAAATTGCTTCCACCCTCGTCTTCGAAACAAAGTACGTCTACGCAACTCGATGAGGCGCCTCCGCCTTACGAGAAAGGGGATAATTGAATAGTGGGGCTTACAGTTTCTATGGGATAATGGCAGGATCTGGGGGGTAGATTGCTTTTCATAGTCGTCGAATGCGATATTTACTTCTCTCCGGAGAGTCAAGCTTTAGAAACAATTCTGACAGCATTATATAGACAATGATGCCTAGTACGTGCTCGCATCACGTTCAGTCTTTACCGCGATGTCTTCATAGAAACGAAAATAACTTTCGAAAGGCCCAGCATCCCCAACGCGATAGGTGTGAGAACGCATAGCCAGACCAACGCCATCTTCATTCTAATGGTTCTTACGAGTCTATCGATCGCATTTTGATCATTCGCCCAAGGGAAAGGCTCCGATGGCAAGGGCTTATCCAAAATCTTGCAAAGTGGACCCCATCCATCCGTCAATTGGATAGTGAACAACTTGTCTTTGCTGACAACGTCCCTAACGTATTGGTGGTGGTATTCTAGGAGATCTTCATAATCAATAGTCAGATTAGCTGACTGCCATAGACAATATTTTCGTCGGAGATATATTCACCAGGAGATTCCACTTCTCGGCCGTCCATGAGCTCAAACGACCTGCGAACCGACTATAAATCCAAAACTCTCCGGCCACCAAACTGTGACTTACCTCTCGTCCATATAATCAAAAAGTGATGGAATCCAGCGCCAGCCCGGCATCGGCGCAAGGAAATAACGCAGCCACCAGGAACTGGTGTGTTGGACGATGCTATCATGGCTCACCGACCACTTGGCTAAATCACGGTGCACATCAATTATTTTGGCATCTGGGTATAACTCTTGCAACTCAAGAATAAATTGATTTCCTGGGGCATCGGTAATAGCCACGAAGCCTCGCGTCACGTCCGCCAGCTTTTTCATCAATCGCGGCTTGTCATGCCGGCACCGGTATACATCGACCCATTTCTTAATATATTCTAATCATGAGAAACGAGTTAAAATGCGATCTTTGTCAGATAAGCCATGTATGAAAAACATCTAGATTATGGGTCACACTTGCGGCGAAAAGATATGGCCACCGTAAAGGGCAGGGAAATGTTTCGATTACAGTCGAATGATTTGTGGTATCTTACCGTCTTCTCGACCAAACATCTGGGATCCACCGTGACAAACTGGTCCGTCAAGAAGTTTCTCAAGGGCGAGGGACATTGACAGAGTGCCTGTTCGCGAAAAGCCGGCGCTGATGGCCTGGACCCTTCGACCAGGGTCCGCCGGGACTGATGGGACTCCTCCCATATTTCTCCGTCTCCCTTTAAGGGCTGAAGACAAATGAGCTGGGTTCTGTTGACGGCTACTGTAATTGAGCCCTAGGCAACAGTTGGTTGTGTGGGGTTGTGTCCCTCCGTTTACGTCATTTTCTACAACGCCTAGGTCAAGCCTTGATGGATCTAACCAGGATAGGAAGCCATAGATAGTCATCCGACTATTATCACAACTTCTGCAGCGATAAGGAAAGGTGGAAGCAAGATTCTCCAAAGTTTATCAACAGCCAATACGGAACTTTGAGACCATTCCAATTCAGCCCTGCCACCTAGGGCCAAATCTCAAGTTAGCTGGCCCTGGGCTATATGCTCTATGATATCCTTGGATTCCTTAGCACAAGCACTCTTATCAGTGACCTATCATTGAGCCGTTTAGCTGGGGGATAAATTCATATAACAAATTAGGTATTTCTAAATCCTCTTTACCAAACATAAAGAACCGAAACATATGACTAAACAAACATGACAGCTAGGCATAAGACTCCTGCGACGGTAGCAGTACTCAATTTCGATGGCAGATACTGAGGGCTTGCTCCATTATTGTCATCGACGTGAGAAGAAGGGTGGTACCCATAGTAACCTTTGTCATATCCAACAGTTCGGTTCCAGGTCGGCTTTTCTCCGTCGCTAATCAAAATATCCGAGTGCCAACGGTCAATTTTGAGACTCATTGTAACTTTCAAATTCCCATCGACCTCACATAATGACGTGTTGGTCGGAGACCACAGTCTGGCTCCCCTTTTGGTCCAAGTGGCATTGGTGCTATAGCCGTTGAATTCAAATTCAAATTCTGGCCATGGGGAGGGTTCTTGAGACTTAACCTCGTTGGAAATAGCCACAAGGGTTTCTTGCCCATTAAATCCAGCCGTACTGAATGTCCCAATATCAGTAGCGTGGTATTTGTCCAGGTTTGCAGACACTGAGTAGGAGTCTTTATGATCCTGAGATATCGAGAGGGGAAACAGCTCCTTCCAGTGGGCTGTATCAGTGACGTAGTTCATACTGGAACTAATTTCAAAAACATATTAGATATTTAACGAAAGTTGGGGAATGACCAGAAGGACCGAAAGAAGAGAGATGGGAAAGGCATGTCGAAGAAAGCGGTCGGGGGTGGGCTTACTTCGCGGATTGTAGAAGCCATTCTAGATGCCAATTTCCGTAGCCAACTGCCTCAAGACTCGTGTAGTGTAAAGGATCAATAACATCTGGCACCGTGGCAAAATCAAAATCAAAGGGCCAGAGAGTCCATTGTACATTCACAGGGTTCGCAGAGTTGCTATTATCGATAGCAGGAAACACCACAAACATAGCCTGGAATTCTTGTGTTAAATTTGACGGCTTGAACTCGACACACTTCTTTTGATCCTCAGATCTCGTTTGGTTAGTGGGCTCGAATTCAAGCTTGGCTGTGCCATTATAATATCTAGTTACACGGTTAGCGCAACTTCAGAATGTAAAGGGCTCGAAGATACTCACGACCCTGTTACCATATATAAAGCGTTGACACCTGTCCAAAGTTCCGGGGTCTCTTGCCCTATTCCTGGCACGGTCGCGTTGATCGGGCGCAAGATTGAATCACTATTTTGGCCACATACAGCGCTAGGCGCCAGGGATATAAGCGCGAGAATAAACCAATATCTGTGCATTTGGGGGATTTTGCAGATTTTTGAAGAAACGCAAACAACACTACTGACAATGGGAAGCAAGGAAGGTTGCTTTTAAACAATTTGGGCTGGAGTTGCGGGCGGGGTGGGGTGGGGGCCGGCGGGTATGGTTGTGTGGGTATGGGCGCTTGAGAAATCTTTTCACCCGCAGCAAAATCAAAGCGAGTGGATCTTTATTCGCTGAGGGTGAAGCGAGAGAGGCTCTTATCCCAAACCCATAGGAATCTTTGTTGTATTTCTAGCATCCCATCATTAATAACAAGTCAGTCTTTTCACGGACCTATGGGGTCCAGACGTGGTACGCTGTACGGACAGAGAATCGCAGAAACGAGATATGCCTTCAGTTAAGATCAGCCAAGATCAGCCCGGAGCTTGCTGAAATAGTGCCGATCGATGGGACTAAAATGACGTCTAGGAGCAGTGGCCCTCACTCATTCTTCAGGGGCCAAAAATTCTTGAAACTCTAGGAGCCACAGTCGATCCTCCAGGAGCAATAGCCCTGATTCTTCAGGGGCCAAACGTCTTGATTCTCTATGTGCAACAGTTTGGATCCCCGATGAACAATAGCTCCAATTCTAAGAGAAGTCTTTTATTGTTCCATCCTTGAGTTCATGCGATACTACTCTCCACCTCTCAGCCCGTGGGGGCTGCCAAGGGTGTTGGATAGAGGCACTCATGATGTATTCCTTTAGGACAGCACTGAGCCTATAAAGCACCTTCATATATCCTCTCTTATATCTTCTATACCAACGTGCAATTATCCTACATCGACTCATATCGGAAATCTCCCAAATGACTCCTCCAACAATCAGTGGGGTACATTCTACTCCACTGCCATCAACAATCAGTAGCATACATTCTACTCCACTGCTATCTACCGCTACTACTGCCCCAACCTCAAGTACTCTCCCGCCGAGCTATTGGGACGTGGCTACCCAGTTCACACTAGGAGCTCCGCCAGTTATCTGCACATCGAGCTCTTACTCGACCGAAACAAAAATGTCGGTCCCTACAGGATTCCTCATGGTCGTTCCTGGAGCTGCTGGCTGGGGCCCAGAAGGTACCATTTGGGACATCTCTACTGGCTCTGGGGCCAAGCTGGTCAACATGAGGGCCGAATGCCAGGGCAGCAGCTGCACGGGCATCACCGGTAACAAGGAATCCAGTGGTATGATGAAACAACGAGCGGATGGCAGTTGGTATCTGAATGTCACGGCCCACATGCAACCTGAACTGTCGATTTCGGGCCATCTTGATGATACAGCTGATCAAAGTGGCTCTCATAAACGCTCGAAGATTCATGTTAACAAGCCGACTTACCCTCTAGTGGTCTCAGGGGTACCACCATGCGGTTTGCCGATTGCATATAACTGCACCGCCCGACACTTCCAAGCAGATTATGACCAATGGGGAGCCTATCAAATGGACGGGTTCCTGAGGTCGTACTTGGCCGAGAATGACATCAACGACTTTAATACCTTCAGGAAGAAGGCGATGTACGATTTTATGTTTACCTCGGACGCGAAAGCGCCTGTTTGCGACATAAGCAACCCCAATTTCCGCTGCCCACCACCGGACCACTACGAGTGTAGTAGCCTCCCCACCATCAACGAAACTCGAGGATGGATGATGACTACAGCCATCATCCAATACACCAATTTTCTCAGCCTTTTATATTCGGAAGTGGAACAGATGGAGGACTGGATACCAGATGAGATTGATGCTATTACCGTCAATAATTGGGTACCTGCTGCAACAGAGAGCTGGAACAACATCGTGAGCACTACGGCCGCTGTTTCGGGGATCCTCGTCGCCGCTATGATTCTCATCGACGCAGTAACGAGCTTCTTTTCAGAAGCTGTTGGGGGTGCCCTGATCGCAGCATCTGTCATGGTACAAACTACGCTTTCTATTGCCGGCAATGTAGGCAACCTGCAAGACCCTGGGAACACAGACACGGAGTTCGAACAAAGCACGGATTGGAGGATAGGCGCCAAGAACTTGATTGACCAAATCGCGCAAGGTATCTTGGCTTTGGATACCAACCGAACCTCTCAAAACAACATCAGCCAGATTATGAGCGGCGGCAATTGGGTTAGCAAAGACGTTTCAGCAGCCTTCAACACTCCAGGCTGGTCTGCGGAGAGCACTCACTGGTTTGGGAAAGTCATGACCGCTCAATTCGTCACCCAAGCCATTGCTGAAGTGGACGGCTACATTTTGTTCATAGCATATGGGGATGACGTTCCGTACAATGGTCAGACATGGGGATTCAACCAGAGCACTTGCGAAGACCACTGGGCAAATGACCCCAGTTGGCAATATTACGTTGCGTGTGACATCCCATTCGGTCCAGGTGGTTCTCCCGGCATGTCTCTCTTCACGCGACCTAGCAGTGAAGGTTCAGCGTCGGAGTCGTGGATGGAAAAACCACTAGACTATAAAGGCCAGAAGATCACTGGATGGGACATCATGGCGTCCTCAATCTGGGGTCAGCAGGAGTTTGGGTTCAACCACACATTCCTAGACCACAACTTCATCAGCTGGTTATCCGCGAATATCACAACCGCGGCACATATGTTCCGGGATTTGGCACTCGACCAGCCTGGTCTTTTTAGTGTGCCGGTCTGTGTTGTTGACGACCTGGTTTACGTCTCAGGTGTCAATCAAGTGATGAGTGATATAGAACAAAACTTTGGTACCGGGGGGTACTATCATACTGACAACCCTTGTCCATGCGCGGACTACAGTTATACATCGCCTGGCGGGGTATCCGGCAAGTTCACAGATTTCGTCTCTCAAAAAGTCCAGGACAGCTTGAATGATTGCAATGTTTCGGGGGATATGTGGTCAGCAGACGACATGAGTACAACCGCTTTGCCTAATGTCTATTAGAGAGCATTTTCAATTTCTGATCAAACTTTTAATCTTGTCTTTGGCTCTACTGGGTTATTTTGGCTGCTCCGTGTGTGTGGAATCATTTATCCTAGCTCATCACTGAGTTGAAACTGTGAATAGAGGTGCAAGTGTGATGATTATCCTTGCTAACTATAAGGCAAGATGCAGCTATTTGTAGCCACAGCAGCTGCCTCCTGTGTACGCTGCCGCCTCTATACAAGTATCCATTGCTTGATCTGGGAATCCATCTTAACTTCGGCGAGGGGTCAGGGTAAATGCCACCAACCCACCAACCAAGTGTACGATACACTTGCTCTCGAACGGTGCATCGGACCCTGCACGTAGCTCAGAAGCCATCATTCAATCTGCCCGGTGAGGATAATTGGTGATAACCTCAGCGGTGGGGGTTGGCATTGGATGCCTGGCTCAGGGTCTATTCAGGGAGCGAACGGTGAGCACTACCACAGTATGTTTATATTCTAATCGTGAACTACTATTTTGGAGCATCTAACCACGATGGAAACACCATCGGCAGCACCTCTGGATCCTGGTCGGGCCAATTCCTCACAATGACCTGCATCACCGCGTCGTAAACAATACGATACCCGTCTGGGGTGAGATGCAGTCCTGAAAAGAGTTATCAATTAGCCACTATGAAGTTGACCAAATCCTTTCAACGTACCATCCGTGAATAGTGTTTCCAAATTCGCGTTATTCGGCGCATCCCGCGATCCAATCAAGGGCTGTCCATCCTGCCAACCCGTCGTCTGCATAAACGCAGTCCACAGATCAGCCACAGGAACGCCTAGCTCGGCCCCGACTTCACGCGCCGCGGCAGCATAGAGCTTGGTATAGGCCGCGGTTCGGCTGGGGTGCGGGGTGCCCTTGGAGGCATCAAAGCCTTCTAGCTGGTACTCATTGACGGGAGGCGGAGTCAGCAGGATTATCCGGGGGTTCTGGGCCTTTGTGGCGGGGTGTTGGATGATCTTCTTCAGGTTCTCCTTGTACTGGTCCAGCGGGACGTGCTGGTCATGGCCGGGGACGCAGGCGTCGTTGGCGCCGAAGAAGATGGTCTTGTAATGAAAACCAGTTAATTAAAATCCAATTTTGATTCGACGAGAACGATGCGCACCATAAACCGCACGTTGGCTGTCTGTGGGGAGGGGAAGAATTTGTGGAAGATCTTAATGGCGTGGGCGGTGGTGTAACCTCTTGCTTGATGTCAGCGTGGGAGCGGTCGGTGGGCATCGCGCATACTTACGCCAGTCCTCGGTTGACCACGTCGAGCTTGCGACTGTATGCTGGGAGGGTGTTAACTAGCGGTCTGCTTCACCATCCATGGTGAGGCTGACCTTCTTGCAGAGCGGCATGCCACGCAAAGCCATTCTCCTGATTGCAGGCCATCTGGGTGATCGAGTCACCGAACAGGATGAACTGGTCGTAGGGCTTCGCGGCATCGTCCTCGCTGGACTGGGGAGTTCCAATGGATGTCATGTTGGGTGGGTGGGTGTTGTCCTGGAGAGAGAGAGAGAGAGAGAACGGGGGATGAGAAGAAGATGTGGGGGAGTGATTGATCCGTGGAAGAAAGGGAAGGTGGATCAGGCATTTATCCACCAACAGCAACAAGTGCATGTTCTACGGTCACAAGAGAGATAACCTTATATGATGACCGGGACCGTTAGCTGTCAGTCATGCATGCATCTGCCGAGCGATCGGTTGATGATCCGAGCATATTGATCTAGAGCTAGTGCACTTCGACCCCTACCTAACTGGACCGCTTTCTTTTAATTTCTTTGGTTATGTCTGATCGGGATCCATGCTGATCCTTCCAGATGGAATTCTTCCTCTCACGAATGAATGTCTCGGTTGGGCCTGTTCCCCTCCTTCAGTGGATACACACTCCCACACTCATCGAATCAGACCACCAATTTCGCCAGCGGGAGGCGCGGGCAACCAAAATCCCGCCCGTACCATACCTGGACTCCGTACGCCGTGTACTATATTATCCATGCCCAGTGACGGATTCATCTGATCCCCGGGTGGGTCATCCTCTCTCACCTGACGCGTTCCCCCGTCGATCGCCCGTTAGTCAACTTCAACTCCCCTCCACTTCTTTCCTCCTACATCCATGGACCACTCCGGGATAATATGATCGAGATCGAGTACGGCCTGCAGCAGCTCTTTGATCTGCCAGGCATCATTGATCACCACCTACCACCACCATAGAGATCTCTTCGCTTCCTGATCTCGTCGACATGCCTCGCTCCGTGCCACCGATGACCTCGGACTCGCGAAGTGACCCTGAGCCGGACTTTGAACGAACCCCGACCAATCGCACCGCACCGCCATCCCCTAACGCCTACCGCCGCGCCCAGAGCTACCTCTCCGAACCACACACCGGCTACCAATCCCTCGAGCCACCCCTCGAGATCACAGAGACCACCAGCCTGCTGGGGTCCAGTCAAGGCAGCCGAAGAGTGCCGCGACGCTCCTACACCAGCACCTCCGGAGTCGCCGGCCCAGACTCGCTACGCCATCTCCTGGCCGCTGGGAGTCTCCGCCGAGCCAACCACAGCCGTACGAACTCGCAGGGCCGACGATTCAGTCGGCGGGAAAGCTTTGGCGAGGATAGCAGGCTGTCCAGTGCTCCGCCGTCCACGAAAGATGGTCTGACGGCTTCGTCGTTTCTGGACGAGCGCACGTGGTACGACCAGTTCACCTCCACAGACTGGGTGCATGACAGCATCGCCGATGGCGCGCGTCTGCGTCAGCTCCGACAACGAAAAGATATTCGGGGCCGACTGCTCTCGGCGTTCGATGGTGTCCAGGGGTGGATTCTGGTTGCCCTGATTGGATGCATCACTGCGGCCATCGCCTACTTTGTGGACGTGACGGAAGAGTCGGTGTTTGACTTGAAAGAAGGATTCTGCACGAAGCACTGGTTTTCGAGCCGGAGTAGCTGCTGCAAGGATGTGGAGGATTGTTCGTGGAAGTCATGGTCCACCCTCTTCAGACCGGCTGGACCCGATAACCAATGGGTGGACTTTGGCATGTTCGTTCTATGGGTGTTGGTGCTTTCCGTCATATCCTGTGCCCTCACGTTGCTCACCAAGACTGTCGTACCCTCTTCGGTGTCGCTGACAACTCTGGATGAGAATCTGGGCGCCGAGTCTCGTGGAACTAAGACCGGTGGCGATCTCACGCAGCTCTCTGGTTCCCCCGTCTCCCAGACCAGTCCGCATGGGACACTTCCCAACATCCCGTCGCGGCCCGCCATGACCTACTACTCCGCAGCCGGAAGCGGAGTGGCCGAAGTGAAAGTGATCAACAGCGGCTTTGTTCTTCATGGATACTTGGGTTTGAAGACCCTCGTCGTTAAAACCATTGCCTTGATTTTCAGTGTTGCATCGGGCCTCAGCCTGGGGAAAGAAGGTCCATACGTCCATATTGCCACCTGCGTGGGGAATATCTGCTGTCGGTTGTTCGCCAAGTACAACCAAAATGACGGCAAGCGTCGTGAGGTGCTGAGTGCGAGTGCGGCTAGTGGTGTTGCGGTGGCCTTTGGGGCGCCGATTGGCGGCGTGCTCTTCAGCCTGGAGGAGGTCAGCTACTACTTCCCTCCGAAGACCCTGTTCCGTACGTTCTTCTGCTGCATTGCAGCAACGCTGTCGCTGAAATTCCTCAACCCCTACGACACGGGCAAGATCGTCCTCTTTCAGGTCAGATATTTGTCTGACTGGGAGATCTTCGAGGTATTCCTCTTCATCTTTCTGGGGGTGCTTGGTGGTGCGATTGGCGCATTGTTCATCAAAGCCTCGAGTCTCTGGGCCAAATCCTTCCGTCGGATCCCCCTCATCCGGCGGTGGCCCATGCTGGAAGTGGTTCTGGTGGCGCTGTTGACCGGCCTGGTGAGCTTTTGGAACCGCTACACCAAACTGTCCGTCACTGAGCTTCTGTTTGAACTGGCCAGCCCCTGTAACGAGGAAGCCGTGGAGATCACTGGACTGTGTCCTCGCGAGGAAGGCATTCTCGAAATCATCAAGTACCTCCTGGTAGCCTTTGTCATCAAGAGTCTCCTGACAGTGGTGACTTTTGGCATCAAAGTTCCGGCCGGTATCTACGTTCCATCTATGGTTGTTGGCGGTCTGATGGGCCGCATTATTGGGCATGCCGTACAGTACCTGGCACTGCGCCACCCGACCTTCTTCTTATTCGAATCGTGTCCTGCCGGTATAGGCACCGAGTCCTGTGTCGTGCCGGGCGTGTACGCCATGGTCGCTGCAGGTGCGACCATGTGCGGTGTAACGCGACTCTCCGTCACGCTGGCCGTGATTCTATTCGAGCTGACGGGGAGTCTCGACCATGTCCTCCCGTTCTCGCTGGCCATTCTATGCGCCAAGTGGACAGCCGATGCTATTGAGCCGAGGAGCATATATGTGAGTTCTGTTTGCCCCCTCCAAGTCAAAACAGTTACTGATGATCAATAGGACTTCCTAACGGACATGAACTCCTACCCCTTCCTCGACAGCAAGCTTCAACCCCTCTCGGACGCCGAACTAGGTGATATCGTCCGACCAGCTCGCCGGAGCCGAATGATCGACATTTCCAACTCGCCATTCGTGGCTGCGACGGAGCTCCGCTCGAAACTGGAACAGCTGCTCATGGCCGGCGAACTTGACAGCGGACTTCCGATTTTGCGTGACGGTGTTCTAGCCGGCTTGATCCCCGCTCCAGATTTGGAGTATGCGCTCGATACACTCGGCGACAACGAAGAGAGCGCAATCTGCTGCATGTCTATTGATGCCACTTCGGCTATTTATGATAGTGAGAACGAAGCGGAAGGTACCCAGGTAGACTTCACCAGATATATTGACCCGGTAAGTCAAGGCAATCTCTTTGTTTTTTCTCTTTGGAATATCTGTCCTAACAATCAACGACAACTCAGGCTCCTATTTCCCTCGACATCCACTCCCCCATCGACCTAGTCTACCAATGTTTCACCAAACTGGGGCTGCGCTACCTATGCGTCCTCCGGGACGGCCAATATGCCGGCCTGGTGCATAAGAAAGCATTTGTGAAATTCATGAAAGAGAATGAATAGATCCGGAAAGACAATCGTCAAGTTACATCTACGTTTCTCGACACGAACGAACCGCATTTATGAGCGTTAGGGAATTTTTGTCTGATTTCTGTATTGCATTGCATTTTTGCTTTTCTTTTCTTTTCTTTTCTTTTTTTCGTTCTCCCCAGACCGGACCACAGCTTTTGCACTGTACACATTCTTGTTACGAGTGATTTGATTGGACTTGACTGACTTGACTTGCATTTGATTTGGATTTTGGAATTCGTACATAGCGACGTCGCATCTCCTTTGGAATGACTCGCGTCTCATCTCCAATCGAGCACACTTGCAATGCATTACTTCTCCACCGCACTACACTGTATATCATCACATCCACAAGGACCATGATTATAGATGCTAGAGTATATCTCAAACCCTCTCAAACCCAACCATCTGAATCTCCACCTCCCCATCCTCCCTCCATTCCCCACTAACCTCCTCCCCAACCCATTCCGAGACCTCGTCCTTCGAAACACTCCGCCACCCATTCTGCGCGCTCAGCTCATCAACAGGGAAGAACGTATCGCAGTCGAACGCCGACGGCGGCTCCGTCTCCTTCCCTTCTTCATCTGCAGTGCGTTTACGGGCCACATTCGTCATAACCACCCTGATCGGTCTGCGTGATAGTTCCGTTGATGCTGCGGTTGATGACGATGGTCTTGCCAACGCGGCCGCATAGATCTCGGCGCCGCCGATTACATAGATCTTGCCTAGGCGGCCGCTGGCTCCGTAGTGTTTGTGTAATTCGGTGAGGGCATCGTCGAGACTGCGCGTGACGATTGCGTCGGTGACTGGTTCTTCTGGTTTCTTCGCAGGTTTCGCCTCCGTATCTTCTGGGCCCGTAGACGCCTCTACTCCAGCAGCACCAGAGGCAGCAGCAGCCTTGGCAGCAATCTTCCCCCTCCTAACCTCCAACTCCCGCATGACCCCCTCCGCCACAGCCCCAGACTTATCCCGGGTGATAACGACATTAATCCGTTTCGCAAGCGGGCGCAGATGCACCGGGACAGAATCGTACGTCTTGCGGCCCATGATGATGGCGTTGGTGGTTCCCGGCGCGGGCGGACGCGATGTCACACGCGCGAAGAAGGTCATGTCTGCTTTTATGCGCGGCCAGGGGAGGGTGCCTTTGTGGCCGATGCCGAGGCGGGCTGTTTGGGATGCTGTGCCATTGCCATTTGTGGATGCGGATGGTGTTGGTGGCAGGCGGACGGGGGTCGTGGCCACTATTAGGGTTAGGGGGAGGGAGTGCTGGGCTGGGGGTGGCATTTTGGTTGTTTGAGGTGGTGTGTTGAGGGAGAAGTTGAAAGTGGGAGGAAGATGGGTTTGTTTATCGGAGCTGCGCACCTTATCGGCGTTGATAAGATCTATATCCTGCATCAACGTCAAGAATTTGGACCACACACTTGTTTTCTAGTAAAACATAATAGCGGTCATAGATCTAACTGTTTATTGAAGTGGTACTTCTGAGTACATATCTTCAGCGATCATTTTGCTACAATAATCGCATGCCTACGTGTGGTAGGCTATAGAAAGCCGTCCAACCGCACAGGAAGAAAAGCCGCTGAACCAGTCAGTTCATGCCCCGAAGGGCCCAGAAACTAAAATACAAAACCTGCACGGCCCCGAAAAAATTTCCCACGTGGCTAGAGGTCGCACTAGTCGGCTGGCTGCCCCATAAGGGGTCTTAGGCCCTCGCCTGGCATTCCCTCCACTACCACGCAGGTCCAGTCAACGGGACCCTGCGATACATCGACGCAGCTCAAGGCAGGAAACCTTTTAGGCAACAGGGAAGCGATTAACGCCGGCTCAAATCCTTGCACCACTGGTTGGCTGGTGTTGTGTTGTTTGACTGGCCTGCTTGGCTTCCTGCCACCCCAAGAAAGAAGAAACACTGTTGAGCAGTAAGACCAGTTGTGGCCTCAGTGGCCGGATCTTTGACAGCTTCTGAATAAAAAAAGTGTCCAGTTGCCGTTGACAAGCTCTTGCTTGAAGAACACGTGGCAGTCGTAGATCGAGAAGAACCCATATTTTACATGGAGTTCTTTCATGTATCGCGCCAGCTGCCCAATAGCTCTCTTTAAGTATACCATCATTATGAGTGTCATCAGTTTGTTCACTTGATGATCGGGAACCCATGGGGCCTTCAACTCCCCAACTGCCTTGATGGATCCCTGGGAGTCCATGATGATGCTGTCCGGGGTGCGCGAGTAGGAACTTGCTGAGCATTTGAAGTCTGCAAACCTCAAATCATAGCTCTGTGAGCTGAATACCGCGCTCATGGCCTGTCCCACGTTCTGTTGGAAGCGTCCTTGCACTCCGGTTTCATCCCCAACGCAGACTTGCTCATGGGCGACGTTGTGGTGACCTGGCTGCCCGGATGGGCCGTATCCAACGATGCCAGGGTGTTGGTGCCACTCTTGCTGGTTCACGGCTTCTGTAACTTCCTTTTGGAAAGTAATCCACTGTTCAAGCCGCCCAGCATACTTTATCTGATGTAAAGCACTGGACGTGGTGCTTTTAGGACCTCTCTTCAGAGGAGGTAGCCTCTCGTCGACCACGTTTTTCGCGCGCTTTGATTTGCCGACCATCGCGTTTCTCGTTGGAGATTGAAGTCCGATAGCTCACAACGATTGTGGTTCTTGAAGGTGGATGAGTAGAGTCTTCAAAGGTGACAACAACAGTAGGCAAGCACGAGAGAACATGAGTGTGCTGGTAAACAATTGATTTCTGGAGCCCAATGCCAGTAACGCAAACATCTGCGCTCTATTACTGATACCTAAGTAATTGTCTCCCATGCGCTATTTGGTAAAGTATAGCTATCTTTACATTTAAGAATTTAAATGTCTTAGTCGAGAAGACACTTCATGCTGTATAAGACAGTGTTGGATGCGAGATGTGGAAATATCAGGCATCGCTTAATATATGGAACTTCACCGCAAACAAGGAAAGAAAATACTGCCCCAGGAACAGTTACGTTTTCCTTTGCGCTCTGGGTGTCCCTTCTACTTAGATGGGCTCGTATGAACTCCACTGATGTAGCTACCGAAGACGTGGGATCCGATATGGGTTTCAGTTAGAACGTGAAGTTATTAGATATGACATTTGTTGATGGCAGGCCCCATCCAAAATAGACCTAGCTGAGAGTTTTCTTATTGCATGACTACATACTACATGTGTAGGTAGACACCTCCCCAAGTATTTCATGTTTGAGGTTTTTTGAAATTCACGGGCATAGAGTTCCAATGACGTAAATAGACTGCAATAGGGCTTGAGATTCTTAACGGGTACTAAATCAGAGTTGCAGTCCTCAGGCACCAGAGTCACTATTGTGATAAGCTTTTGTACTTATGGGTCAACCTCTCTTCTCTTCTCTCCCGCAACTCCCGCATCAGCCATCATGACTGAAGTCGGTTTCTTTCCTCCTCCCCATTATGCGCTAGGCAAGATTATCACCTTCGAGCAGCCTGAGCACACCGCGTGGATCATCACCACCAAGCTCTCCCAGCAAAACTCTCAGCTGGAGGAGTTCGACGTTGAACCAGGGTTACCTTCGTGGGCCTTTGCGACCTTCCTTGTCCGCAACCCTGCAACTGGCCAAGAGGCCTACATGCGTGTCTACCAGCAAGTTCCGCACCTGGGAACAGAGTTCTTCCCGGTTGACGAGCGAGCCAAGCAGGCCACTCCTAGCTACCACCGTGAGGTCCACGCCCTCAAGGCCCTCCACGAGCAAAAATCGACCATCACGCCTGCCCTCCTTGCCATCAAAGAAGACGTCCAGGATGGTCAAGGGTTTGTTCCTGGTGGTTACATTATCCACACTGTATTCCAGCGCGTCCCTGGAGTTCGACTGGCTGATGACAGGATCTTGCCTCGGTATCGAGCTTCACCTCATACGTTCTTTGCAAAGTTCAGCGATCTTGAGCGAGAGCAGATTCGAATGTGCTTTGACAAGGAGTATCGCATGCTAGCGAAAATGGGGTGGGTGCCCACATTTCCTTGGGCAAGTAACTTGTTCTGGGACGCTTCTTTCCAGAAATTGTGAGTATTTTATCGTGGTTCTACGCTTGTGGCTAATCATTGAAGTAGGTACTTTGTTGACTTCAGGGACCCTACCAAGATTGGGTCCCCCGACGAGGACGTCGTCGGGGGTGGTGATGAGGAGGAGAATGAGAATATGGAAGAGGAGCCTATGCTCGATATTTGGGAACGGTGGGGCCTCGCCATTTCCCCTGATGGTGATAAGGACCGAGCAGATCTGTCCAGATGGGAGCTCTAGTTTCCTTCCCAATCCCAGTCTGTGTGCCTACCTGTCTCTGGGTAGCTGCAATTTTCTTTTATATGGTCTGGGGATATTCTAATGATAGTAGCTTGTCAATGGAAGGAGTTTCCTTTCAAAACAAGAATAGTGCGTCTTCTTTCAGACGTAATAATGGTGATGGTAAGGCTACCCTCTCGGGAAGCGATCAGCTCTGGGATCACGGGGTGAGCCGCTCCCTGAGCGCTCTAAGCTAGCCCTGAGCAAGCTCTGAACGATCTCTGAGCGACCTCTGAGCGGGACCTGAGCAACCTGAGCGCTCACCCCGTTGCTCACCCCCTTTCGCTCTCATCGTGCTAACCGCTCTACTGCCTATTGATGTTCCTAGGGGTCCAAGCCAAAATGACGTTTTCTATCGCTAGTAACTTTCACCCTCCCCTTCGAACTTCCTAGTGACAAACTTGATTTTCTTGAATCCACCTCAGGAATTAAACAACCCGTCATTTTTACGTTCTATCCTTAGCACTGCCGAAATAGGCATCGATATCCAACTCTTTATAATGAGACTTAAGCACGCTGGATCCGCGCTTCGTATTTGTGTCAATCAATTATCTATAGATCTATAATTCTTCTATCAGAATGCTATTCCAATGACAGTTTCATATATTTCTTTCATTTACATCCATTTCTCCCCAACAGAGTATCCCATACACGCTTCTTGTGGCTCCGGCTTTGGGGGCGAGGATGAGGCTCAACCTCAAATCCTCTATGCAAATCTCCGTCTGGGAGGCCCAAGCGCAGCCTAGTCGGTTATAAAGTCCCATTCACTAGTTTGACACGGTTCAAATGTGAGTGAGAGTCGGCCCTAATCGCGCAACCGGTGCATTGGCCTTCTCAGCTGACCTACAGGGTGAAATCATTGGATGGTCTCGTTTGACTAGAAACACGCGGCCCCTTGACATCTGCACACAGCTCCGCCTGACGCCTTTCGTGTCATGAGAGCTCCTTCCAAGCTTCCTAGCAATTAATTGCAGCCGGCTCATATACATCATAAAGTGACTTCTCGAACTCGCGAATAAATCCCGCTGTCACACGTTGATCGTGGACAATCATGCTCTGAGAGCCATAAAAACCACACAACCCAGCCTTCCGGTCAATCCACTATCAAGTGTTAGTAGAGATCAGTTGAGAAGGCAACGCAAAAGGAAGTACCCAATAACAGCACGTAGCGCCTTGCCAGGTAATGCTACCAGCCTTTCTACCTCCTAACAAATCTGCTTGGTTCACCATCCCGGCGAGACAATGGTCTACTTCCATACCGACGGGAGCTAAGTCACCGAAGTTATCTTCGAGATGTTCGGGATTAGTTCGGAAATGTCCAAACGTCTTTCTGTTAGGCAGGCGGTAACCGAACATGAGGTCGGTTGTCTCAGGATGAAGTAACTTCTCATCGTTACGGAGCAAAGATGAGAGGAGCTTCAGGAAATCTGTACCAGAAGTATATAGGTTGGAACCGCCCATGTCGACTTTGGGATTGATTGGATATACACTCTCAGACGGTTGGACAGTGCCATCGGGACGTCGAGATGTCAGATGCATAAGGTTGGCAGCGACATGTGGATTGTCCAAGAGACGGTACGTCGTATGTGTCATTCCCAGCAGCTTAAATATGTTTTCGAGGCAGTATTGCTCGAGAGTCATATTTGTGACTCGCTCAACCTATAGTGGCTTAGTGATGATCTAGCAAAGAGTCGGCGATACAGAGATAATTCTCACGATTTGGCCAGCCCAATCGGTACCCTGTCCGTACACCCAATCTGTCCCTGGTTCAAATAAAAGTGGCACAACCGACTACCGTTTCATTGATTGTTATTAGGAAAGGGAAGGTAGCAAAAAGTGGAATCAATGACATACCAAACTACCCATCATCTCCCGAACTTCCTCTAATGCCTTTGCTTTGACTTTAGGGTCGTCATTCTTGAAATATCGCATAAGTACGGTTCCTCTGCTATCGCCAAGAACAGCGTAGTATTTCATTAGCTTTTCCTCGTCCAAGCTAGCGATCCCGGAAGTATGGGATAACAGCTGCCTAAGAGCCGGTTAGAAAATCATGACTCCCTCAATAGTACAAGGTACGGAACGAAATTGAGGTGTTACCTCAACGTGATCCGATCCTGCGCTCGAATCAAAAGAGGCTTCTCTCCGTCTTCTTCCCCTTCAAACCCAACTAGAATTTGCGGATGTTTCCATTCGGGTAGAAATTTAGCAATGTCATCATCTAGCCCTACTAAGCCACGCTCAACCACCTGCATTGCCGCCACAGACGTGACCAACTTCGTGACAGAGGCGAGACAGAACGTTGTGTCAGACGAGACTGGTGGGGAGTCTTCTTCTAAACGACTTTTGCCAAAGGGTTTGAAGTACTCCAAGGAACCTGAGGTTCGACTAGTCAGCTAGATGACTGTTACTAGTAGTGACATCGCGGTGGTTGTGGCGGTCGTGGTGGTGAGAGAGAGAGAAAGAGAGAGAGAGAGAATATATGCTCACCATCGCGACTGGCCGCAGCAAGGACAGTGGCTGGCAGCTTCCTAGTCATGGTGGCTCGTTCGATCTTTTCCTCAAGAGCCTGCATTTTGTGGACGGATAGGGATAGGACTACACGAGGATTATGAGAAAGAGATTACTTTTTATATTAGGTGGGTGATAGGTGCTATTTATATTGGGTGGGTGGTGGGTGGCAGGATTTGAGATAAGCGCGGGGTCATCACTACACTAGTACCCGCCCCGTAGTGGTCCAGTGCCTGGCGAACAGGATATTTTCATAGATGTTGGCCGGGGAGCCGCTGTCCCAAAATGGAGCGAGCCCGCACAGCATCTCAAAAACCAGGATGCCCAATGACCACATAAAGACCAAGTTAGACTGACACAGATATTAGACAGCTGCCGAATAGAAGAACAGCTATCGACTGTTATGCACCTCTAACCTGAGAAAGGCGTGGTAGTTGTAGCTCGAGAACAACCCGTATTTGACATGGCGTTCTTTAGTTTGGTGATTCATAATATTTCACCGCTGTGGTATTCCTCGCCATCACGCACGCTGCCAGAACTTGGTGCCCCAGCCGAACGTGGCCTCGATGGAGGTGATGGTGGATGCGGCGGCGGCAGTAGCGGGAAGATTGGAAGTCATGGTGGCTGGTCGTACGAAGGAATGGTTTCGATGAAAAGAGCCATTTTGAAGGATGGCGATGGCAATAATAGCAAAACACTGAATGACACGAGTTGCGTCAATGTAATGCTCTGGGCCAGAAGCGAATGGGTTTGAAACCACGTACCTTGCATATCGATATTGTATTGTGAAGCTCGTAGCAGAATCGCCAGTGTATATAAATTCAAGCCTCTGGGATATCGAAACCAATAGTGGTTGCGGTAGTGTTGGGTCACCACAGTAGGTGAATGTAAGAAGAAAAGAAGGGAGGAGGACTGCTATTACATACCAGGTTACAGGTCTAGGCAGCATGTCTACCACCACCCACTCATTGATAAACAAACAAACAATGGGACCGATAAATGTATCTTGACAAACATGTCCAAAAAAAATATGCCGTTCTAGTTCTTTTATGCCATGAAATAGCTGATATTGGTAAGTTCAAGGATAGATAACGCCTGCTATACGTACATGAAAAAGAGGCAATGATTCATATCCCCCTCTATATCCATCCATATCCATGTTATTGTATCGCTAAATCCCAACACCAAACACCCTGCCCACCAATTAAGAAAAAAAATAGACCGCCAGCGCACCGTGTACGCAAAACGCTACTCAGAATACGGCTTCAACAACCCACCCTCCTCAACAGCCTTCCGCACGGCAAGTACATCCTTCTCCAGCTTTTCTCTCCGCTGCACGTCACGCTCGTCTTCGCCGAGAGTATTCAGCTTGCCAAAGAGCCAGGTTTCTTTCATGGTGCGGGTGAGGGCGAGAATGTCTTCTGCGGCGCGGATCTGGATGGGCATGGCATGTTAGTATTTTCAGTTACTTAGGAAAGAAGAGTGAGAGATAAGTGTCTGGAGCTCAGGGCGGCTGGAGAGGGCGGATTACCAATGCAGTAGACTCCACATCTAGTTGGTACGTTTCCACGGCCGTGGAGGTGTAGCTTGGGTTGTCGACCTGGAAATTGGGTTAGTAGCCTCCAGGTGCAGATCGGAATAGACTTACTGTAGCTGTTGCCATGATATTCTCGAACCGTTGGAGCAGTTGCGAGATATCGGCATTGATGCGATCTGGATCGGGGCTGTGTTAGCAGACAAGATGTTCAAGTAGTACACACAGAGCAAGACTCACTTTGCAGGGCTTTTGCTGTTGGTTGGGACTCCATGGTGAGGTTGAGGAGGTGAAGTTGGAAGATCGTCTTGATTAGGCGGAGGGCGGTGGCCGTGGGCAATATGGAGAAGTGGGGGATGCAGAGCAGCCCGAACAACATAGAAGGACTGAGCTCAAGTATGACCAAAGATGACTTTTGGTACGAGTATTTCTGCCATTAGCTACAGGCTTAGTATCGTTGGTAATTATTAACAGAAAGGTGATACAGGCTGGAACTACATCCACAACTAGAAATATATATCCGAGACCGGGATAGTTCCTTACGTATTAATATATAGTTTGTGGTCATTGTTGGATGGGTATTCATTGAAAGTCTTTAACTACTACCAACCAAATCCTCCTGCCGCGAAGAAATATCTATCGAACGTATTTCCCCTAAATGCTCAGTTAGTACAATCACAGAGCAGACCGTCCGCAGTACATACCATAAAGCGCTTGTGGAAGTCGGAACGAAGCAGATCATTGACAAATTCCTTGCCATCCTTGCCCTCCGTGCCTCGAGCCTGGTTCTTGAACACCACGTCGTCGTCCCACCGCCGCTTCATATTGAAGTCCTGCGTGTTGAGCAGCGGATTGCCGCGAGCAATCTCGACTTCTCGTTGCTCTTCCTCTTCGACAGCTCGCTCGCGTTCCTGGATATTTGTTAACATGACGTCTCAAACCTCTTGAAAAAAGAACCATACCTCTTTCTCCTTCTGCTCCAGCCGCTCTTTCTTGATCTTCTCCAGCTCGCGCATCAGCTCTGCCGCCTCGTCTTCGTCGTCATCACTGCTGGGGTCAATAACGCTCTTTTACTATGTATTGCGTGGATCATACCTCTCCTCCTCGCTGCTATCGTCTTCCGACCCGTCAGAATCCGCATCAATGTCCCTTGTCTCCTCTAAAATGCGTCTCCGCTTTGCCTCTGGATCTTCCTCTGCGTCACCGTCCGCACCACTTCCGTCCGAGCGGGCGGCGTCCAGCTGCCGCTTTGTGGCAGTAGATTCTGCAACAATCGGCTCGTTAACGGGCACACCGTTCTTCTTAGCGAAGTGCGCCGCCTCGGCTTGGAGTAGTTCTGCGCGAAGATCACGGGCTTGTGTATCGGCGTCGCCACCTTGTCCGGGTTGACTGGGCCACAGTTAGCGCTTGTCTTGTCCCATGTCTGTCCGGCACATACCGGACTTTCAGGTGTGTGTGTGCTGGGAGGAGTCGCTGGTGGTAGGCTGGGCCTCGGAGAGCCTCTTTCCCTTGCGCCTGTGGCTGTTAGTTTTCCATCGCGAATTGGGAGAGTGGGCTTGCGGGTCATACGGGATCGAAGGTCGGTCTGTGAGCTGGACGGGGTTAGCAAGAACCATAAATCAATTCAAGGGAAGCATACCTGTAGTCATTGCGGCTGTAGGAGTGAGTGAGTGTATCAGGTCAAAAAGGTCACGATGATCGCCCGACCGCATTTGCCCGTATCTGCCTCAGGCCTCCACACTTTTCGCTCACCGCCTTGTTCCAGCCAGGCAAAAAGCGCATCGCAAATCCTCTTGGTCCCCGCGCTTCTACAATCATGTCCAAGGAGGCCCCTCTGTCGGTGGCAGAGCGTGACTTCATTCTTGATGCCCTGCACCAGAATGTCCGTCTGGATGGCCGGGGGCTGGACCAGTTCCGCCCGCTGAGCGTTTCCTTTGGCAATGAGTATGGCCATGTCAAGCTGCGGTTGGGCAAGACCAGGTGAGTGCCTCTCCCTTTTTTCGGCCTGAGACCGTGGTTATTGTTTGGGATACTGATTCGGCGTAGCATTGTCGTGCGCATCTCCGCTGAAGTCACCAAACCGCGCGACGACCGGCCCTTCGATGGCCTCTTCAATATTTCTCTAGAGCTGTCTGCAATGGGCTCACCAGCGTGGGAGAATGGACGGTATGCCAATTGACCCAAGCCTTGCCAGCTATTATCTAATGGATTGCCACTCGTACAGTTCCAATGACCTCGAAGCATACGTCTCTCACATCCTCGACCGAGTAATCCGCCATTCCAATGCACTCGACACCGAATCTCTCTGCATCATCCAAGGCGTGAGCTGCTGGAGCATTCGGGCAGACGTACATGTCCTCGATTTTGACGGCAATCTGACCGATGCAGCTTGCATCGGCGTCATGGCGGGTCTCCAACATTTCCGACGTCCCGATGCCGTGGTGAAGGATGGACAGGTGGTGGTCTATGGTGTGGAAGAGCGAGTCCCCGTGGCATTGAATATCACACAGAAGCCGCTTTCGACAACGTTTCACAGCTTCGACGAGGGCAAAACGGTGATTTTGGATGCCACGCGGAAAGAGGAACAGGCGTCGGAGGGCGAGCTGGTGATTGGAATCAACAATGCGGGTGATGTCTGCTTTCTCTCCAAGTTTGCGGGCGACCCGATTGACGCGCTATTTGTGGTGAATAAGTCGAATGTGGCGCTGGAAAAAGTCAAGGAGGTCAACGCCATTGTCGACAAGGTGCTGCAAGCGGACCTGGCCAGGCGGGCGAAGAAGGGTATGGCCGAGGAGGCCAAGGCAGAGAATGACCGCGAGGTATCACCAGACGACCCTTTTGTATGAATAGAATCTTGATGATCGGGACTGGAGTTTCGCATTGTTTTCTTAATGATAAATATTGGCTACCACCAATTATTTCCATAGTATTCCTTTTCTTCCTAGTTGGGTTCTTTTCGCATTTTTGACTTGCGCAGTAATAATATCCCTGCTCAGAGCACTCGATCCATGCTGAAGGGGTTTGGCTGGATCGACGCTATCCTTTAGCGGGAGTTAGTGGCAGTTGGTGTCTCAGGATGGACACTCCTGTAAGCACAACAAAGTGATCTCATGAATGGAACTATCTTTAGATCCCAGTGCTTGGACACTAGTTAAAAAACAATAAGATGAATAAAGATACCAAATCGAAAGCCTGCTAGACATTCTTTTCGCCATACAATAATGCTTCAGCACTCACCGCCCGCCTGGCCCAGAGCTCCATATTGCTGCCTTCGGTCAGCCACGCCATCGCAACCTCTCCCGCTTTTTTTCCACGTCTCCCGCTTATTTCTTGTTTCTGTCTCTCCCTGCCTCCTTTTTCCCTGTTCTCCGCATTTATCCCTTGTGGACTGATCCCTTCTCGCGCTTCGTTGATTCACCTTTCCATCACTTCGATCAATGCCTCAGGGGCATTGCTCCGCCACGCTACCCCAGTGAGCGTGTTCGCTCCGCCTCCCCATCATGGCCAGCGGCAGGCCTCCCGGGTCGCATCCATCCGCTGGCCGCGATGATGACCTGCTGCAACTGGAGGACTCCGGTCCCATGTACAGCTCCGGCCAGGGCCCGCCAGTGAACGATGAACACCTCTTGCAACAGTACAACATTGACGACTCCGATCAACCGTACGCCCAACGCCCCTCCGTATCTTACGATAACTTTGTTGGAAACCGTCCACAGCATGCCGGAGCTTATCCGCCTCGAGGCGACAGCGCGGCACACCCTCCCGCCCAACCTGCCATGCACATCAACGACCCTTACTCTGGGGCATCAATGGACCGGACGTACTCCCAGACATCAGGCCTAGGAAACTACCAGCGGTACTCGGATGAGTTTAGCACGCGCTCGGGCTACTATGATCTCGACGCAGATGAGGACCGGATCGCGGGCTCGCACCGCGTGCGCCAGGCAAATGAGCGCAACAGTATCTTGGGTCTTGGCGGTGGGCTCATGGGCAAAGCAAAACACATGTTGGGCATGGGGCCGCAGCAGTACTCGGAGATGGACCTCCCATTGACAGAAGCGGGAGCTGCTAGACAGCCAACGGTCGACAGCGCTGCTGAGACAACAAGTGAACGAAGGAAATTCCGCGCGTCCGACTTTAAATTCGGCTTTGGACGACGGAAGGTCGATCCATCGACTCTGGGGCCTCGAATCATTACCTTGAATAACCCTCCCGCTAACGCCGTACACAAATTCGTGAGCAACTACGTGTCAACTTCCAAGTACAACGTCGTCACTTTTATCCCGAAGTTCCTCTTCGAACAATTCTCAAAATACGCCAACCTGTTCTTCCTTTTCACGGCTATCCTGCAGCAGATTCCCAATGTCTCGCCAACGAACAAATTCACGACCATTGTCCCGCTGGGTATTGTCTTGTTGGTCTCGGCCATCAAAGAGTTGGTGGAGGATTATAAGCGGCGGGTGTCCGATCGAGGACTCAATTATTCCAAGACTCAAGTCCTGAAGGGTTCCGCGTTTCATGACACCAAATGGGTGGATGTCGCGGTAGGAGATGTGGTCCGAGTCGAGTCCGAACAGCCTTTTCCGGCCGATTTGGTGTTGCTCGCATCATCTGAGCCCGAAGGCTTGTGCTATATCGAAACGGCGAATTTGGACGGCGAGACAAACCTGAAAATCAAACAGGCGATCCCGGAAACCGCACATCTGGTTAATCCCACTGACCTGAGTCGCTTGAGCGGGCGTGTTCGGTCGGAGCAGCCCAACAGCAGCCTATACACCTACGAAGCGACTTTGACCATGCATGCCGGTGGTGGTGAGAAGGAATTGCCCTTGGCACCCGACCAGCTTCTGCTTCGTGGGGCGACTCTGCGCAATACTCCGTGGATCCATGGCATCGTCGTCTTTACCGGGCATGAGACGAAACTCATGCGCAATGCGACGGCAACACCGATCAAGCGAACCGCCGTGGAGCGGATGGTCAACGTCCAGATTTTGATGCTTGTTGCCATTCTCATCGCCCTTAGTGTCATCAGTTCCGTGGGTGATCTCATCGTCCGTCGAACGAAAGCGAACAAACTTTGGTATCTAGACTACGGATCAAGCAACGTGGTAAAGCAGTTCTTCATGGACATCTTCACCTACTGGGTTCTTTACTCCAATTTGGTTCCGATCTCTCTTTTCGTGACGATCGAAATCGTCAAGTACTTCCACGCGTTCTTGATTAACTCTGATTTGGACATCTACTATGACAAGACGGACACACCCGCCACTTGTCGCACCTCATCTTTGGTTGAGGAGCTTGGTCAGATTGAATACATCTTCTCCGACAAGACAGGCACCCTGACGTGCAATATGATGGAGTTCAAGCAATGTACAATCGCTGGTGTCCAATACGGAGATGACGTATCGGAAGATCGCCGAGCTACTGCGGACGATGGCGCAGAGGTTGGTGTCTTCGACTTCAAGACACTTCGATCAAATCTGCACTCGCACCCGTCCCAGAATGCCATCCAACAATTCCTCACTCTTTTGGCTACTTGCCACACTGTCATTCCCGAGCGCTCCACAAGCGACCCAAATGAGATCAAGTACCAGGCGGCTTCCCCAGATGAAGGTGCATTGGTAGATGGTGCCGCTTTGTTGGGCTATCGCTTCACGAACCGGAAGCCTAGATCGGTTATCTTCGCAGCCAACGGCCAGGAGCAAGAGTACGAATTGCTTGCTGTGTGCGAGTTTAACTCCACCCGGAAGCGAATGTCTACCATCTTTCGTTGCCCAGACGGAAAGGTTCGCATTTACTGCAAGGGGGCCGACACGGTCATCATGGAGCGACTGCATCCTGATAATCCCACCGTGGAAGCGACGCTTCAGCATCTGGAAGAGTATGCATCGGAAGGTCTCCGGACGCTATGTTTGGCCATGCGCGAGATCTCCGAGGCTGAGTTCCAGCAGTGGTGGCAGATCTTTGACAAGGCTGCCACTACCGTGAGTGGCAACCGTGCCGACGAACTCGACAAGGCAGCAGAACTCATTGAGAAGGATTTCTATCTTCTTGGCGCCACCGCTATCGAAGATCGCCTTCAGGATGGAGTCCCTGACACAATTCATACCCTCCAGACGGCCGGTATCAAGGTTTGGGTCCTGACTGGTGACCGCCAGGAAACGGCCATCAACATTGGCATGTCGTGCAAACTCATCTCAGAAGACATGACTCTCCTTATTATCAATGAGGACAGTGCGGAGGATACGCGGTCCAATTTGGTGAAAAAGCTCGAGGCCGTTAAGAGCCAGGCGTTATCCGGTGATCTGGAAACGTTGGCCTTGGTTATTGATGGAAAGTCTTTGACATTTGCGCTGGAGAAGGACATGGAGAAGTTGTTCTTGGATTTGGCGGTGCAGTGCAAGGCCGTGGTGTGCTGGTAAGCTCTGTCCGCCCGTTCCTAAGCGTTGCATGCTAACTGTGTTTTAGTCGTGTTTCCCCCCTCCAAAAAGCGTTGGTTGTCAAACTTGTGAAGCGGCATCTAAAGTCTCTGCTCTTGGCCATTGGTGACGGTGCCAACGATGTGTCTATGATCCAGGCAGCGCATGTTGGTGTTGGCATTAGCGGTGTTGAGGGTCTTCAAGCTGCACGATCAGCAGATGTGGCCATTGCACAATTCCGATTCTTGCGCAAACTCCTCCTGGTGCACGGAGCATGGAGCTATTCTCGCATCAGTCGAGTGATTCTGTACTCGTTCTACAAGAACATCGCACTATACATGACACAGTTCTGGGTAAGATGAGGAACGTCCCAAGTGTTTTGTGTATCATGTCTAACTTGATCGCAGTACTCCTTCCAAAACACATTCTCCGGAGAAGTCATCTACGAGTCATGGACGCTGTCCTTCTATAACGTGCTCTTCACCGTTTTGCCTCCCTTCGCCATGGGTATCTTCGACCAGTACATTTCGGCTCGGTTGTTAGACCGGTACCCCCAGCTGTATCAGCTCGGTCAGAAGGGAACATTCTTCCGCAAACACAGTTTCTGGGCTTGGATCTTGAATGGATTTTTCCATTCTCTTGTCCTCTACATTGTCTCTGAGCTGATCTTCTACTGGGATCTCCCCTTGGCCGATGGGACGACTGCTGGCCACTGGGTTTGGGGTGAAGCTCTGTACACCGCCGCCCTTGCCACTGTCCTCGGCAAAGCTGCGCTCATCACCAACATCTGGACCAAGTACACCTTTATCGCTATCCCAGGTTCCATGGTCATTTGGCTTATTTTCCTTCCGGCGTATGGTTTTGCTGCTCCTGCGGTTGGTTTCTCCACCGAGTACTACGGCACTATCCCTGTCCTTTTCAAGAGCCCCGTCTTCTACCTCATGGCCATCTCTCTACCTTGCTTGTGTCTTCTGCGTGACTATGCCTGGAAGTACGCCAAGCGCATGCACTATCCGCAGGCGTACCACCATGTCCAGGAGATCCAGAAGTACAACGTCCAGGACTACCGTCCTCGCATGGAACAGTTCCAAAAGGCCATCCGCAAGGTTCGCCAAGTACAACGCATGCGCAAGCAGCGCGGCTACGCTTTCTCCCAAGCCGACGACGGCGGCCAGATGCGTCTTGTCAACGCCTACGACACCACGCAGGGCCGTGGCCGGTACGGCGAGATGGTCAGTTCCCGCGCTTTCTGATTGAATCGGCAGCGAGCTCCTTGCTCCGGTATATTTGCATTGTTGCTGGGGTTTGAATCACCATGAGATTTTGCTTGAGCGCCATGTCTTACCTTTTTGTACTATGTTTCTTTCCTCTTCCTCTACATTGTTTTTATACTTGTGCCTTGCGTTGAAGGGGGCTGTGACATACCACTTCTTTGATCTCTGTGTTGTATCTTGTATGTTGCAGCGGAATTATGAACATGATCTTTTCTCTTTGCCATCTTCAATCCTGTAAGGTAGTCGGCGTCGTCTCGTTTCCCCGAACTCGGCACTCGGCTAAACGCAGATCCATCTCAATGGGGCCAATTCCCCAGTCTTCTCTCGGCCAAGTTCCTATCTTCCCGACCTCAACCACCATGCTTGATTAAAGATTTGTTCTTGCTTTAAATTGGGTCCTGCAAGCCAAAAGGTGTGCCGCTGGGTGTAAAATGCATGCAGATACCCGGAAATCCCCTGAGGAAGCACCACCCAGCACACGCAGCATCCAAATTCACGACTGGGACGGAGAAGCGGACCAGAACAACCCGCGCAACTGGTCGTTCCTGCGCAAGACCGCATCCACAGTGATAATCTGCTGTATCGGCTTCAACACAACGCTAGGAGCATCAATCTACGCTCCAGGCCACGAACAAGTCCAACATGAATTCAACGTCTCAACAACAGTATCATTGCTGCCACTCTCGGCATACTCTTTGGGGCTAGCTTTCGGCCCTATGATATCGTCCCCATGCTCAGAGACATTCGGCCGCAAGTTCGTGTACCTGCTCACAGTGCCAATATTCGATATTTTCATGCTGGGCGCGGGTTTGTCGCAGAATATCGCCTCGCTGATCGTCTGTCGCTTCCTGGCTGGCCTCTTTGCTGCACCAGGTGTATCTGTTGCAGCGGCGACTATTGCAGATTTCACGGCCCCCTCGCGAAGAGTATATGCCCTGGCGGCGTATTACACTATTCCGTTCATCGGAAGTGCCATCGGTCCACTGATCGGTGGGTTTGCTGTCGAACACAAGGGGTGGCGTTGGACCTCGTGGGCGGTTCTTATCATCGCCGCGGTTGTGCATCCACCTGCTCTCTTCTTGCGCGAGTCCTACAAGACCATCATTCTTGAGCGGAAGGCGAAGAAGCTCGGTCTCGAGGGTCCGCGTGAGTCTGGTAGTGCCGTGCAGCTGTTCCGGAAGTTCATCACATCTACCGTCATCCGGCCGTTTCATATGCTAGCCACGGAGCCATTGGTCGGATTCATTTGCCTCTACACGGGATTCCAGTTTGCACTGCTATACACATTTGTCGTCGCTAGCCCTTGGGTGTTCCAGACAGTGTACGGCTTCTCGCTTAGTGCCCAGGGCCTGTCATTCCTCGGTCTAGTGGCGGGTTGTATAGCCGCACCGTTTATCCTCATCTCAGTAGATATGATTTTACAAAGCAAAAAGCACCCTAGACAAGGACATTCCGCAAATTACAACCCAGAAGAAAGACTCTACACAGCACTATACGGAAGCCTCGTCCTCCCTTTAGCCCTGTTTTGGTTTGGCTGGACAGCAAGACCATCAATCCACTGGATCAGCCCGGTTGTCGCCGAGGGCGTCGCTCTTCTGGGGAGTATTCTCATCTACGTCCCTTGCAACTTCTACATGCTTGACGTATACGGATCGAAGTACGGTGCGTCGGCTAGTGGCGCCTCGTCTTTGTCGCGGTATACGCTGTCGGCCGCATTTCCACTGTTTGTCACGCAGATGTATGAGGCCCTTGGTGTTGGATGGGCAACTAGTGTTCTTGGATTTGCGGCGCTGGTTATGGCACCCATTCCTTGGCTGTTCTATTGGTTTGGGCCGAAATTGAGGGCGAGGAGTGCCTATGAGCATGGGACTTGATCGGGACGCTGTAGACTCTATGTAATTGGTTCGGATGCTTTATGGTCATATATTGGAAGTTCAATAAAGACTTGAGCAGATTATTCGCGTGTGGCAATTATCGTGAGACAGTACTATGTTTAAAATCTCTTTTTTGGAGGGTTTGAATTTTCCCATTTGGCTATTTTATGCTAAAATCAGAAAAGTTCCAATATTGGTCCATTTGATCAATAGTTAAAAGACAGTATATCCCAGAGGCGTTTCTATTCAGTATCTCTTTATGTCGTAACAACATTATTCGCTCCAATATTCAAACCCCACCTGAGCGAACACTCAAAGAAGTGGCATTGTGACACGGTTCGAGTAATCGACGTTCTCTTTCACACTTTCGATGCGGTCATGGCAGGTACCGAAAACTCGGTCCCAAAGACGGGTTTGCTTGCCATAATTGTGGCTCTTTCTCCACCCATAGCGGTGATGGAGATCGTGGTCTTCAATCACTAACTCTGCGTCGAATATCTCTAGAATCCAGTTCACAGTGGAGGGCGCACCGCCGTGGATTCGAAGACCACTGTGTCCAATGATCTCCGAGAAGGCAATATACTGATAGCAGACCCACCACTCATAAAATCCCATAGGCACCCCAAGGACCTTCAATGTGGCAAACGCCATCAATGGAATGCCCGTGATATCCATGAACTCTTGCTCATGGTCGGCGTAAGCAGAGAGTAGCGGGTTGGGATGCTTCGTCAAGTGATGTCGGCGGTGGAACTTCCACAGAGAGCCGGTCGAGTGCATCATGCGGTGATACCAGTAGAACCAGAAATCGACAGTGATACTGTACAGACCGATCTCTAAAGGAAGCCATCGCCATCTGAGGGTTTCTGGCGCCTCGTTCGGTTGGTAGGTAAGGTAGATAGCCATGATCATGCGAAACGTTGATGTCGAGATCAGTTCTCGCATAACCTTGCCAACTCCAGTATCAGGGATCTCGTCCCGTGCATGCTTGTCACCATCCAAAAAGCCGTAGACTTGACCTAGACGGCGCATGATATTCACTTCGTGTATTCCATTAACCTTAAATGCCGTGGAGTATAACGCAAACGCGCCAATAAGGCCCAGGTTCTGGCCGGTATAGGTCGTGTAGGCGTGATGGAGGATAAGCGGGACGGCGGCGTGCAGGAGAATCCACACATGGAGAGACCATTCTCGCACGGCTGGTATTTTCTGTTTCTTGGAAAAGACTGGAACTTCCTTATCGAGAGGGACGATGTTCAGGCCAAACAGTTCTACCATCCAATGCCAGATGGTCCACTGAGATCGGTCGTGGCGCCAGGTCGACACCATCGAGTCCGCAGGATTGCGTATGGTCGTGGTCTGGGTTGCCATTTTGTCTTCAATATTCCCAGGTGATGTAGTGATGGAATGCATCTATACAAACATAGAGGCCCTTATATTATTCCTGGGTCTGGGTCGGCCCCCAACTGCTCGGCATCGATCATAGCATGTGAACTCCTGATCGCCACCCCAACATTTTCCCTAGGGCCACTGGGGGTCTGTGGGGACACAGCCGCGATCGCTAGGAAATGGGAATTGGACGAATCAACGTAGACTGTTCGGCCCAGTGAGGTGCCCAGGCCTTTCTAGGCAGATGAAAATCAAAGCTCATGATGGAAATCGCTTGCCTCGGTCTCCGGGTGCACAGGCGGGGAAGTATCGCATATTCTTCTCGAAGCCGATTTATGCAGACATGAGATACGTCATATTTCATTGGGACTAAAGTAAATAAAAATATTTAGAAACAAACACGAGGCAGTTGATGACTGGGCTCTACTTGAGGCGATCGACCTTCAGGACGTGCCCGGTAGGTTTCTTGTACATTTGTTTCACTCGCTTTCCCATTCGCTTTACCAGATACTTCTTTTGACGAAGATGATAGCATGAGACTATTATGATCGGTTAGTGGTCATAGCAGATCATTTACTGGACTATAACTGTGACAGTGACTGAGCTGTCCAGCCCTCTTCGATGGTGTTGATCGGCGTCGGGACTGAGCGTCTCCTTGTGATTTGCTTCTGACATAGCCCCCTATATGAGGAAAACGAGACACAGGAAGAGAGAGAATAGTGTAGAGAAAGGAAATAAATGACGAACTGGACAGGTACATTGACGCAGTAGCAAACCAGCAAGGAAATTCTAGGCAGCCAGCAAGCATCCTAATCCTCAAAAACAGCTAGCCATATAGTACTACCCAGAACCGTTGGGTTGAAATCTGTTGAAGACAATTAATTAGCGATTTGAATCATATGATTGTCGATGCCTCAGTTCATTCCGCTACAATTCGACTTTCAGTGCAGGAAATGGCGTTTACTCCTTTCAACTCTCCGAAAACATTTTTCCGGTGGAAAGAGTTAATTCATGTTTATTCTCACCCCACAAACAGTTCCAGGCTCCATTTCGGCAATACCTTCTTCGCCTCTGAAAGTAATATTTTTCCGCTTCTCAGAGAAAGCATGCCGTCGAGGCGCCATGCCATTTTTGGCTCAACTCCGGCGGGATGAGATTCTACCAGCTCCGTCAAGTGCACTAGACTACTGTCCATATAATGAACGCATGTACCACCGTAGTAAAAATGAAGCGATAACAATATTCGATCAAATGCAGCCCCTAAGTTTTTTTGCTCTGGTGCCATTAGCACTCGGGTCGTTCATTCAGCGATCCCAGCCGAAGCCCTTGACCAACATTACGATCTTCGATCCCCCCTCAGACTATAACGTCCCTCGTACTCTGTACGCTCGGAATGTGGAGTTACCCAATGGTGATCTACTAGCTACTTGGGAGAACTACTCCCCAGAGCCTCCACTGGTCTACTTTCCCATCTACAAATCCTCGGACAGCGGCAAGACCTGGCGTGAGTTCTCGCGAGTCCACGATCAAGTCAATGACTGGGGTCTGCGGTATCAGCCCTTCCTGTACTATCTTCCAGAGAGGATTGGAAACTTCCCAGCCGGTACCTTGCTGCTTGCTGGGAATAGCATTCCAACAAATCTTTCTTATACCCGAATCGATCTATACGCATCACATGACCAAGGCCTGAACTGGGAATTCGTTAGCCGCGTGGCTTCTGGCGGCGAGGCAGAACCTGATAACGGCCTGACGCCGATTTGGGAGCCGTTTTTGCTTGCTCAGTTCGTGTGAACCGTTGTCTATTCAGGAAAGCGCTTTTGCTGATTGCATAATAGTGAGGGCAGGTTGATTTGCTACTATTCCGACCAGAGAGCCAACGCAACGCATGGTCAGAAATTGGTCCATCAAGTTTCGGCCGACCTGAAGCATTGGGGCGCTGTGGTGAATGACGCGTATGTAATGTGATGCTGGATATGAGCTATGCCAACCTTCTTGACTGACCGGCGTGCAATCATTCAGTGAATACCCCACATATACAGACCGCCCCGGTATGACAACTGTAGCTCAGGTATGTCTTCTGGTGCTCTTTGCTGAACTTAACTGAAAATTCCAGCTCCCCAATGGCCTGTGGATCATGACCTATGAGTACGGCTCCTTCTTCAACACCTCCGACTACAGTTTCCCTGTGTATTTTCGCTTGTCCAAGAACCCAGAGAACTTTGGCGAAGTAGAGGGTCAGCGCATAGTAGTGAACGATGGCACACAGCCCGCAAGCTCACCTTATGTAACATGGACGCCTTACGGGGGACCCAATGGAACGATTATCGTCAGCTGTGGCACTCTCAGCTCGGTCTTTATCAATCAGGCATTGGGAGAAGGCGAGTGGACCGAGGTCTCCACGCCAGAGGGTACGAGTTATACTCGATCTCTTAGGATCTTCGAGCAAGATCCGCGATTTTTGTTGATCAATGGAGCTGGCGTCCTTGGTGGAGAGGACAATAGTGTCACTGCGAGCGTGGTGGACTTGGAAAAAGCGCTTCCACGGGACAGGAAGCAGTAGGATGACCTGGGGCAGTTACCCTGGGGCAGTTACTAGGCGGTTAGCACCCATGAAAGACTTCGTCAAAGGCCCGAGCAGAGCTTCTCGTTGGTACTGATTGAGCTCAAGACAGAAGGGCGCAATTGAATGAAATGTACAGATTTGATCGCAGTAAAAGGATAAACTCAGGATTATAATGACAGGATTTGTACACCAGATAGCGATTTCAAGAAAGCAGGATTTATGCCAGCTGCATGACCATGCCCTGCTTGATTGCATCCATCTCTTTCTTACCCAGAGGGTCCTTATTATCGAAACTGTGCTTCTTGCGCTTCGCACTAGACCAGGTCGTGATGTCGCAGCCATCACCGCCCATCTTGTTTGGCTTGATCGCATACACCGGTATGTCTCCACTGTAACCCTCATAGCTGTTCAAGAGCTTTTTCCAGTCCCAAGGATCGTTATTTTTAGCCTCAGACGCAGGAAGCGTGATCTTATCGACTTCTGCCTGCAAGTCATCCACACGGCTCTGTAGTTTCTTGAGACCACCAAGTTTAATGTTGTTCTTGGTCGCATAGGCAAACACGCGAGCGCTGAGATTGTCGAAATCCAGGGTATCGTCAAATCCAATTCGGATGTAAAGTCCCATGATCATGCCAAGATTCTTGACCTCGGACTCTTCCTTTAAGAGGCCGTTACGGCCCAAAGTGGCCAGCATGGATAGAAACATGGCTCCAATCAGGTCAGCGAGCTGGTTGACGTGGTCGCCATCATCGACCCTGTATGATTGCATTGCATTAGGAAAATTCCCCAATTGGTAGATGTGACGCAAACGGTAAAAGGAACGACTCACATATACAATGGCGTCGGATCACCACGTAGCCAAAACAGCGCAATGGCCTCGCACATAGCCCACTGCTCTTTCCAATTGCCTTCGGCTTCTTCGAAATCTACAAGAAGGTTCTCCACGACCTCCATGATACCCCAGCCGTAGGAATCATTGTAGACGTACATGCCAAAACAGTCCGGGTTACGGAGGCTCAGCTGGATCATTGACGTGAGAAATTTCTGCTGTCCTGCAAAAGTGAAGATCCAGGGGTGGTCGGGATATTCCGCGGCGGATTTCTCGCAGAGACAGGTCTTGCCATCGTCGCAAGTGTCCTGGATGGGGTCAGCACGGGATCCAAATAAGTCATTAATTACAGCCACTGGCTTTCATTTTATCCTCATCTTCCTCCTTGGATTCAGGTTCGTCGTCCTCGTCATCGTTTTCGAATGGCGCTTTACACTCGCATTTCCACGCGTACGTATCGGGGGCATCGCTCGTGATTCGCTTGTAACTCTCGTAGATATTTGCAGAGCCCGAGACATTGGACCAACGGGACCCCTTCTTCTCCGGGGTCTCACCCCCGGTCTTGGATCTTTTGGGCTGGGCGTCCGCATTGTCCGATGACTTGCGCTTGGGAGGCATAGTGGCAGTAAACGACAGGAAAATATGTATGTATTATAGAGTACGTAGTACAAAGATTGCGGTAGAATAGGATAATGGGATTTCTGTTCGGTGGTGAAAGTGGGAGAACTAAAGGATTATGGATTGTGATGATCGTCGGCGACGTGGGCGCGTTCGCGTTCAAAGTAACGCGTCCAGATCCTGGTCACTGGTGTTCCGTAAATCTAAAACCCGTCACCCACTAAGGCGGCAGGAAGATGGGTTCAGACTTATGGGACACCACTGTACATACTAGGCCTTTTATCTCATCCACGCGGAAAGATAACATCTCGTAATTTGGCTGCTGTTACGCGTATAGATCTGTGAAGTCAGCCAGGAGACGAAGAATATGAGATACACCATGAACCTCAGATTTGCGTCACGCTAGATTGATCTTTTCCACGTAAATTATTATCTACCGTGTGCATCGCTCCTCCGGCGGCCTCCATCCAACTCCCAACCGCTCCATAACCAACCTCTCCCTTTCCTGCCAAGTTTCTCCTCCATGCTCAAGGTCAACAACCTGGCCGCCAGTTGTTCGCTCTCGAACACCACTCGAGTCAAACTTCCATGCATGGGCCTTCTTTGCATAGCGGCGTAGATCCCGCTGGAAAGTCGTGTCACCAGACCAGCCAAGCACAGCGCAACCGACAGTGCGCCAGGGCGAGATGATAATATCCACCCGACGATGAGGGTTTGGATTCTTTTTGCGTAGAGTGTTCTCGTCGACATCGACGTCTCCGATGTCGAAGTGCGGGTCTTGCCAGACCACTAAGGCCTTGTCGAGGCTGTCAAAATGTTTCCCGGGGGCATCGCCGCGAAAGGGGACGGTTTGCTGCTCTCGGTGCGAGGAAGTGAGGTTCAAGGCAAGAGTATGGGTGATGTAGTGCTCCTTCTCGAGACTGGCAACGAGATCAAGGACGAGATTTCGCGTTACCGCATCATCGCGGTGGGATATCATGATATCCACGTCACCGCTAATTTCTTTCCCTCGGCGGTATCCACCGACAATAATACAGTCAATGGCATTGCCAGCGTCAGGGCGAACAAGATTTGCATGCCTGCGGATAATAGCAACAATGCTTTCTGATTCGGGGCGAGGAACGCCAGCCAGAAATTCGTCGTAGAATTTGACTCCTATTTGCTGCACACGAGAAAGAGAGTTCCAGCCGTGTTCGACGATATCATCGAGATCGCGCCAGCCCCGGTGATAATAAAAGTCTCGTGCAGTTTTGGCACCAACGCCCCAAATATTATAGAAAGTGTGTAAAACGCGCAACACCGGATCCGTCTCGAGGGCAGCTGCGGCAGAAACGGTCCCGTCATCTTCGCTATGATCGTTACTGTCATGCTGCTGAAACTCGGCAAAGAGGTTCGCAATTTTCACATCGCAACCGGGCAAGGCGATGATTTCGTTTGGTCGATGAATAGTGTACGGGTATGCTGCGAGAGCGGCAATTGACGTACTATATGCCCGTACCCCAATATCGTCAAGAGTGAGCTCTCGAATGCGGCGAATTTTTTCAAGTTGTGAAATAAATTTCTCGTTTGCGGGATGCAGGGGCGCTGAGCGCATGCATGCGTATAGAACCTGGTCGCGCACCCAATCTGGAGTAGGCGGTAGTGACGTAGGTTCGTCGTGTTCAGAGGTTGTCTGACGGTATAAAGTTGGGGGTTGTCTTTGGCTGGAAGATCCTCTGTCAAAACTTTCCTTTGAGCGCCGAACACCGAATCTACTAGAGGAAACTGGCGGTGATTGCAGCGCTGCATCTTCTTTGGCGCGCTGAATTATTTGGTTTGATTTTTGTCCTGTGGCGCCTATCTGTTTTCCCGTTTCCGCAGGAACAGTAGGCACTATCTTCTTTTGACCGTGGTAAACCATATATGGCTCTTTCGGCAACGGTTTCCCAGCCTTGATAGATTCGTCGAGCCATTCAAGCTTGATCACAAGAACTGAGCCTTTTTGATCGTCAGCCGTCTGAAGTAGATGCTTTGGATGACGACTTCGGTTTTGCACTGTATCTTTTTCAGACCCGGAATCGGACTCGGTGCTGAGGTCGATGTCGTTTTCCGCACCCCCGGACTGACTATGTTGCTCACTTCGCCTTCGTTTAAGAGGGGGTTCGGAATCTTTCAAACTGGCTTCATCTGCAGGCAAATGTTCTGAAACGTCCTGGGTCCAAATACCGCGCGAGCGCAGCTCCAATGCAGCCCTTTTTTTTTGCCCAATACTTCCCAGAATCAACCCCGCTTCTGCGATGTCATAGGTGATATTCCCCCCGTAGTTGACGAGCCGGCTTTCAGCATCGTGCAACCCGTCCAATGACAAATGAGTAGGCAGAATAAAGACCGGCGGGATTGACGAGAATATGTCCACTTGGTCGACTTCTGCATCTGCCTCCGGCGGAGATGAACTTGCAAACAAGGGATCCGGCATATTGTGTCAGAGCCCAAATCCAGCTAAAGCCCCCTGGTCATCCCCATATAAAAAAGCAATATATAGAAGGTATTTGCAAACGTATTGAATCAAAATGTATGTTCTTCGAGTTATGTGTGCATTCAGGAACTAGGGTTACCGATTCTTATGCATTGCCCTCTTACATCGAGTGGTGCTCATAGGCATGGCGATGAAAGGGTGTCAAAAAGTAGCAAATGGAATGGGTAAAACAAGATCATGGTCAGAATGCTTGGAGTAGGAGTGTAGTTGTGTAGCTGGAGAGATGTTGAGGAGGCAGACTCGCGCCTCCCTGTTTGACGTCACGTTGTTTCTGCCTGAGGCATGTATTTGTACGTCGATGAAGACCAAATGGAAAATCCTAAACTCTTGTTCAAATTGTTTCAAATTGAACCTCTTCAAAGTTTCTGCTTTGTTGAAGTCATTCAATGCTTGATATAAGGCCGATCACCACATCCAGCTAGACGATCTCTTCCTCGAGTCGCGGCTCACCAGTCGACTTCACTGCAACCTGAGACAAACGCCCTTTACCAACAGATTCAGTTGGGCATTGCCGTTCTCCTTCCATTGGACCATCAAAAATCTCACAGTCCTGCTCCCCACCACCAGGAGCACTGTCCCGATACCCTTCTTCATCAGTAACCGCACTCCGACCGTGTCGCCGAGTCATCCATCGTCGCCATGGTTTATAGATCAGAACACTGAAACCGCCGAATATAATAAAACAGCCACAAATAGACCCACCAATGACATCGTAATAGTCCCCTGCTGTTTGGACACCATCCCAGAACTTGCCTTTGGCATGTGTCACGTTCAAAATCATTGTGAGAAGTTGAATGACTCCAATTACGATGGCCACGATGACAGTCAATGAAGTTAGGACAATTGAATAATAGAGGAATGCGATGGGGTCGCGGTGGTTGTCGTGCGATTGCGGTAGTTCCTCGCCGTCACTAGTGGTAGAGGTTGCATCTGACGTGCTATTATGGGGCTTTGGTGGCAGGAAGTTGGCGGAGGGTTGGATGTAGAGCGAGAACATGAGGGCTCCGTCTGTTGTGTCCAGCAAACACATTCCCGCTGTCATGCATCAGAATAGGCGACCAATATTCATTGAATGAGGACAATATGACTTACCGGTGAATAGAGCCGGGAGAATAAGAATCACCCAGAAGGAAGTTCCCTTTGCTGCTTCAATCGACGAGATACCGAGTAACGCAATTTCAGACGAGGTATCAAAACCAAGTCCGAAAAGGATTCCCAGTGGATACATCTTCCAGGGCCTGCAGAGGACAGTTAGTCAAACATGTCTGATGAGTTAGTTAAGTGCCTCGGCGTACCGGTCAATCAATTTGAACATTTTCTTCAAAATTGAGAAGAGGATTCCACCTCCCTCAATCTTCCATGCTTCATCTTCATGGCCCGCTGGCAAGCTGAAGACCTTTTGCATCTGTTTGATGAGTTTGTACAATATGTACCCATTCATCAAGCCAAGCAGAATCAAGAACGCGGCACTGACAGAGCTGCCAATGATTCCGCCGATAGTGCTGAAGCTATCAAATTTCGATGACACTGCAGCTGCCGTGGCTGCCACAACAATAGACGTAATTATAACGATTCTACTTGATAGTTAGACAGAATCATGTTCCGGTCTGAAAACCAATGCTTACGTCGAATGACCCAGCGAGAAAAAAGTCCCCACTGTAACAGGTCTCTGCCCAGTGGCGAGTAGGCGTCGGGTCATTAGATCAATTGCCTGTTTGGTTTTTCGTTAGAGTTATTGGACTGCGTACAGCGAGGATATACATACAGATATGTGATCTGCATCGAAAGCATGTCTCAGGCCAAGTGTGAAGGCTAGAACAGCGGTAGACACCAATGACCTGGTGAGTATTAGCAGTGTAATTTCAGGAAGTATCACAACCAATAGAAATTATCTGGGCGTGCGTAGAATAAACGTACGGATGGTAGTGCTGGATGAAAGAATTAGCTCTCGACTCCAACAAGTGGGCCTATATTTCAAACATACCAGCACGATTGCAGCAGCAATCCACACAACCACATTCAGGAACGCGATGAACAGGATTATGCCAATTGCCCGAAGTGGGATCCTTCTAATTCCCGGCATCCGGCTGTGAGAACGCTCCGCATGGCGTATAAGCGGTTGCAGACCCCATTTTCGCGACTCGCCATCTAGACTCTGAGTCTCTACCGGTTCATTGGCGACCGAATCCATTGTCCATGTGTCACTGTCGAGTTAAATGGCGAACCTCCTCCGGTTCTTCTTTCCCTTCGTCCCGAGACGGAGCGAGAAGGAGGGCCAATACACAGCTGATATACCAGATGCAGGCCAACAAAATGACGGCGGGAGAAGTGGTTTACGGTTATAAACCGAAAAAAGGTCGCAGATCCGATAATCGATGAGAAATACTCATTAGTCTTATCGGCCGTCGTCCTAGCGCCGCCAAGACCAGATCCCTTTGAGCGAACGTTCGGTATCTTGGCAATCTGCAATAAATTATCCTGGAAGGAGGGGATAATGCAGGCCGGGGTGCTGATTGCAGAGGCGTAAGAAACCCACGACGCACTCAGATAACATCTACAAAAACAAAAAACTGCTACAGTGGTCATGGTGATATCGTCTCACGTGACACCGCGGGGCAGCGGAGGGCGCCGATAGTGATAAAGATAGTATTCTTCCCTCATTAGTTATTGCTATGTAATATTACACATGAGGTTATCCACATGCTGTAAGTCTATGTCCATGATTGGACTGGGTGGGAATGTTTTTTGAGCCCATAGTCCAAGAGTGCAGCGGCTAATCCGCGCTCGGTAAACTTCATTCGGGCACCGCCAAATGTGGTGCTTGAGTTGGCGCTCACTGTGACCGGCTTCCCATTATTGGCTCGGCGAACCCAGCGGGTCCAGCATCAGTAATGGTGTCGGCCAACGGCGAAGTCATGACATGATCTTGAAGATCGACGACTCTGTCCCCCTTGCAATTCAGACTGCAATCGGGCAGCTAACAAGGGTATTCCTTGGGCAGTACACTAGAGGCACTGCTCACTGGGAAGTGTATTTGGACTTTGATCGAGGCCAATTTGCCAGATCGAATTGAGAATCCTTGACAATTATATAGTTCACGCCACAGCAAATACTGTTGGTGACGGCGTCCACTTGGTGACAGTGGGCTGCAGCTGCCGAATGTCCGTGCTCACCAGGATGTTCCATTCATTCCGAGTGATGGGAGTAACATCCGACGCGGACAGTGGAGTCTTGGGGCCACGTCGAGTCGACGTACTGGACTTAGCCAGCGGTGGCTGTCTTCGCACACGAGCAGGGCGAATCGGCGACTTCCGAGGATGTTCTTTCCGAGCCTGAGAGTGCTCGGCCTTGGCCCGAGGAGGAAGAATTATAGCATCCTGCTTGTGGATGTTCTTGTAGGCGCTGGCGACCTGGGTGAGCAGGTCGTCGCGGACATCCAATTGCTCATAGACACGGTGGAAGAATGCCTTGCTGAACGGACGACCTTGGAAGTCGGTGATGATACGGTGCAGCAACTTCACGCAGGAGTTGATGGACTGGTCATCTGTACGGGAAAAAGGGCGGTTGGAGAAGATGCAGAGCCGGCGTTTGAAGGTGTAGATGCGGTCCATGTTGAGCAGGGTCAAGCCCTCTTGGCTGAACACGACCTCATTCTGGAGGATAGACTGCTCCATGAGATATTCATTGGCCTGGCGTTCATACTGGCTGCGGTTCAGCGCGTCGGTCCAGCTCTGGCCCAGTGAAAACTTCCTTGCTGCCCTGGCGATGGCCCGTTCCAGTATTCTCCACGACGGTAAGTCAAGTGATGTGACTGGAATTACCATGAGATCGGACGGCTCCCCGGTGGGATAGGGTTTGCCCCGGCCAACTAGGAGAGTGACATGCATCATCCTTTGCTGCAGCTTAGAGGAGATGTATTCAAAGGCTGGTAGGAGCGAGGGGATGACAGCGTCAGAGTCAAAGCTGAATTCAGGAGAGAGAGGCGGCGAGATCATGTCGTTGGTGAGAGTTCGTGGAGAGCTTGGGACATAGATGCCCGTTGGGCGAGGCAGTCGGATGACACCCATGGTGAGATCAGGACTAACTTTTGGGCAGATACTGAAGGATGAAGAAAAAGTAGAATTCAAGAAGATGATTCAAGTTCCCTTTACAAGACTTGGGATACCCTGAGTGGAAATCCGGCGAGGCAACACTGGATTGTTGGCCCTGATATACCATGCGAGCCTCACAATCCCAAAGCCCCTTTCCCCCGCATCTACTCCGGTATCTTAACTTAGAAAACTCGCTAGCGGACCTAAATTAGCTACTTTTTTTTTGTTGCTAATGTTAGCAAACTTCGCGAAGCAGTGGCCAATCACCTCGTCACGATCAAGTAAGCGCCGCAGAGATCAGCCCGACCAAAATACCCGTAACCGCCGGGGCGCACCTCCTGTCACATCCACCAATCATTTTCTTGTGCTGCGCGAGGTCCTGCAAGCTAGGTCACATTGGCACATAACTAGTCCTACCACGGTGAAGGCCTCGATGAGCTCCGAGCTCCTGAGCAGACGCGCCACCAACTCATCTCATTAGCAACGCTAACACCTGTTATGCGGGATTCTGGCGATGTTGGCCAACTCGATAGGCCCACAGTGTCTCCCAAAAAGGGGGGACTTGATAGCCCAACTCTTTGAGTCGTGAGGCGAGGACCACATGGCACCTTAGCTCGAAGACGACAGCCGACGCTTTGGTTATCTTGCATTTCCACAATGCATGTCAGCCGGCGCGGCTGACATTAACATTCAATACTCACCCGCCCATTCTTTCCGGCCTGCCAATGACTACCAAAAAAGTGCTAAGAAAGTGCTGTTGGCTCTAGGTGGTCGCGGCGTCATTCACAGAAAATTTCCACATCGCGATCTCGCTACCTTGTCTTCCTTTTCCTGTCTGAACAGCACGAAAAATCGAAGAAAATTAGGCAGAGCCGCAGTGCAGAGCTCGGAGGAATTATTCAGCTTACCCACATAAGCAAACATTCCACCTCCACATGGCTCATTCACTTTCCTCCGGAGCGTGTCGGTACCATTGTTTTTCGAGTATCCCCTCAGGTTTTGGAGGACGCAAGGCCCCTAGGAGATACCAGTGATTTGAAGATACCCGGCTTTCGAAAAGCCGCACCACCGTAGCAATCCAAATTTTCGGGGATTTTGAGATTCTCCATAGTGATAGAGAAAAAAGCAGCGAACAGAGCTCGGGATTTAAAGAAGGGCAATCAATCGAATTTGCCCCGGTAGGTTTACTTCTTGCGAGCTGCTGCTGATCACCGCAGGCCAGCCTCAACGACGCATAAAGACAGAATATACTGAGTCGGTGGCTCAAGTGTAGAAAAAAGCATAAAAGAGAAAGAAGACCGACAGTTATAATGACAAAAAGCTCTTTCCTCTGCCTTGGCTTTATCATTATTTTTGTTCAACATAATTTCACTGATCTCCCTCGCAGACATCGATGAAGCATCTACTATTTACATGGAGTGGTTTTAGGGTGTCTCCGCGCCCCGGTTGCGAGTCGGACCGGCATTGATGACAGACCTTCCCCGTCACCACACTATCCTATTAACACGTAACAGTATTTCACTCAAGAGCAGAGTCTGTATATAATTTCGAAAACACTCATTAGGACAGATATTCTTCTGGGGAAGTGCTTATCAATTATCTGCCTGATATCCTAAAATCTCCGAATTTCTTGGGCAATGCTTAGGGGATCTTCCAGTGGTATGAGATGTTTCACACCTTTGGCAGTCTTTATCGTGACTTTCAGCCCAATCTCAATGAGGAACTGACCGACTTCAGCTTTGACTCGCTCCTCTGGTTCAACAACGTCGAATTCGCCAACAATGATGCCGACTAAAAGTCCAACGTCTTTCAATGACTCGAGGGTCTTTCTCAATCCAATTGAAATATCTTCTCCCATGCCATACGTAGGCCAGGAACTTTTGGCAAACTGGTTGCCGCAAAGACTGTTCTCCACCACCAATTTCATGTCCTGCTCGCTTAGCGTGTCAGGATTTGCCAGGACATTCCGAAGTGTCCATAGTACAGATTCCTGCGTTTGATACGCCGATAGCTGCTGGTCCTTCATTTCAGAAGGTAAATTCAACGCTGTAGGTGGTGCTGGGGCGGCTAACACCAAACCCTTGACCTTGTTCAGAAGCTCGGCAGGCAGGATGCTGAGAGTTGCAAAAGCCACCTTTGCCCCCATTGAATGGCCAACAAATACTAAGCCATTTTCAAACAAATCCTCAGTCCTTGCTTGGAGTTGTTTCAGGACCGAACAAATATCAGATGCCATTGCAGAGATCGAATAGGCGGATCCGTTATCCGCTACTGGACCAGTTGACTTGCCCCAGCCTCGGAGGTCGACAGCAACCGTTGGATAAGTGGCGCTTATAGACGCGGACGAGTATGGTGACGTAAGTTTGTGCCAGGTAGAGGAAGAGCCACCCCAGTAGTGAGTGAACAACACCAGAGGTTTATTTTTGTGCTCAGCTGGACGAGTAATAGATGTATATATTGTTGTATCCGAAGATGTGTTGACGATGAGGGATTCCATAGCGGGCTATATATATGCTGATCTGAAGACAAAGTGTTCGGTGAGGAGAAAAGTGAAGTTGTTGTTTCTCCTGCAACATCTGAGCCCTGCTGTATTTATAACAACAATTTTTCTCTGCACTGCGCAAGATTATTGTGGGTCACATCTACTTGATATTGATGTGGAATCAACTTGCATTGTGTGCACAGGCCAACGGCCCGGCCCCATTCCGCCTTGCTGACATATTGTCAGCTCGACTTAGGACAACACAGGCTGCCTCAAAGCTGTCGTCGATATTTGTACATGTGGGCTTGTTTCACATTTGTCGGATAGATTCCAGCTACACTATGAATTATGCGGCTCGCAGAATGCTTCATGGGGGTGCTCAAAAAAGCCATGGAGGATGGATGAACGATGGAACCTGGGCTGGCCAATCATCGGGTCCCAAACAGCGACTCAAGTGGTCTTCGCATACCTCTGTACTGAACCTGTGTGGCCACACGCAAGATTTAGATGATAATGATAAACCAGTGTATAGTGCATTATGAAGCTCATGCTTAATGTGTCTTCTTGGAATTCGACCAAGAGAGACTTGTAATAACTATATATATCCGATCCATCGAAGCAGTCGGAAACTACGCGACGCTCAACCTCTCTTCGGGGCTATGCGTTCTCTGCCAAGCGTCATCCCGTCTTGGTCAAGACTTTGGTGGGGGGCGGCCGAAACAAGAAGCCAGAGCACGACCTATCCGACCACGGTTGGTGTCGATCTCTAGGAGTCAAAAGTTCAGCTTACGCCCCTTGTCTGACAACCAAGAGTGCGTTGCCCAGTTTCTATTATGTCACCGGAATGCTTTCCACAATTATCGGGGCCTCCATCAAGAGCTCTGATCTGCATTGTTTCTGGAAAGTACACTTTGTACTTGATATCCCGATGTGCAGCAAGTCTGATTCAATCCCCCGCACGGCCGATGTGGATACATTTTGCGCTATCAATGTCTTGGCACTTGCGTGATCGCGCGATATTATTCGTTATCAAATTACTGGAAGAAGGAACTGATACGGCCTCACCTCTGTTTTACTGTGGCTATAAAGTAAAGGCTTTATCTTGCAGTTCTACCCCTGTTCAATACGAGCGCGGCTGTGAAGGAGGCTCACGTGGCGCTGCATAGCCTTACTCGACGGGAACGCCCTGTAGATGTGTGAATTCAAGCCCCTCTCCGGGCTGCATCCTTGGCCAAGATCAATGGCCACTAACTACTTTCTGCTCTGCACGCCCCCTTGATTCAACCGAGATGGCTTGGCAATCTCCAGTCTCCTTATCTTGGGGTTGTTCTTAATTTCGACCATGCCCCGTTTGTTTCTTGACTCAATTTACTCTTGCATCGGCTGCCCGTTACCATTCAGGCTTCTGTGGCCTATCGCCACTTTCAAGCAATCGCGTCGCTATCCAAAACCATCTATATACGAAACTCTAGTCTGCCTTGTGTCATTTTGAATCCCAAATCTCCCGGTTTCCAAAATTGGCCTTTGGCCTGTTCCGCATCGATAGTGCTGCAGACAGCGCAGGGCTGCAGCCACCATGTCCGTTTGGAACCTGCGCGACGAGGGGTTCACATCAGAGAATTTTGTATCAAACGAGCGCCGAGATGGGGAATTTACGCAGACCGAAGAAGGTGGACTACTGGATCATAACCATGTTGAGCTCCATCGGGCCCTCAAGGCCCGGCATATCACCATGATTGGTATGCTGGATTCTGACCATATGTGGGTAGAAAGGGTCAACTAATGTCGGCTAGCTATCGGCGGTGCCATTGGCACTGGGTTGATTATTGGAACGGGAGATGCACTTGCAAAGTAAGCTTCGTATACATCATCTGCGCCGAAAACAGTGAAGTTAACTAATGTTCTCTATAGATCAGGGGTGAGTTTCGCGGCCAACCAGGCTATGACTAATTTCGCTAACCTTTCAGCCCGCTTCAATCTTGATTTCTTATGCGTGGGTTGGGTTCATCGTCTACTTGGTGATGTGTGCCCTTGGAGAAATGGCTACATGGCTACCCTTGCCATCTGGCTTTACCGGGTACGCCGTCAGATTTTGCGATCCTGCTCTTGGGTTTGCTCTTGGATACACGTAGGTGACATCTATTTCCTGTCAAATGCATTCTCTGTGCTTACATTGCTCTGGTCAGATATTGGTTCAAGTATATCATTACCACGCCGAACCAGCTCACTGCTGGCGCATTGGTTATTCAATATTGGCTCCCAGCAGAAAAAGTGAACCCCGGTGTGTGGATTACAATTTTTTTGGTCCTCATCGTCAGCATCAATTACTTCGGTGTGCGGTTTTTCGGTGAATTTGAATTCTGGCTGTCCTCGTTCAAAATCATCGTGATCCTCGGGATTATTCTGCTATCCTTAGTCCTCATGCTCGGCGGCGGACCGGATCATGATCGCAAGGGGTTTCGGTATTGGAACGACCCCGGCGCATTCAATACCTACATCACTGATGGGGCCGCTGGACGTTTCTACGCTTTTTGGTCCTCGATGGTGAATGCCGTCTTTGCCTATCTCGGCACGGAACTGGTTGGAGTTACGGTTGGCGAAGCACAAAACCCTCGACGGACGATTCCGCGTGCTATCAAACTGACCTTCTATCGTATCCTGGTGTTCTACGTCTTGACCGTGTTCCTTGTGGGCACTTTGGTTCCGTTCAACTCGAAGCTGCTTGCCTTTGCGGTTAATGCGGACAGTTCTGCAGCCGCGTCGCCTTTCGTGGCTGCCATCAAGCTCGCAAGTATTCCAGTTCTTCCGCATATTTTGAATGCTTCAATTCTGGTCTTCGTTTTCTCTGCTGCCAATTCGGACCTATACATTGCAACGCGCACGATCTACGGCCTGGCACGAGAAGGCAAAGCGCCGTCATTTTTCGCACGAACCGATCGCCGCGGCGTTCCTGTGTTCGCGCTGGCAATATCCTCACTTGTCTCGCTCCTGGCATATATGAACGTGTCGAGCAACTCGAAAGACGTTTTTGGATACTTCGTCGACCTAGTCACAATCTTCGGCCTCCTAACATGGATTTCGATCCTGGTCACGCATATATACTTTGTGCGGGCGCGCAAGGCTCAGAATATCCCACGCGAGAGCCTTGCGTATGCGGCACCCCTTGGAGTGGCCGGTTCATATGGCGCTCTTGCATTTTGCATCCTGATTTCCTTGACCAAAAACTACGATGTGTTCACCTACAACAAGAAGTGGGGAAACTTTGACTACAAAACTTTTATCACTGCATATCTCGGGATTCCGCTTTACTTAATCCTCATCTTTGGGTATAAGCTGGCGACTGGGTGCAAGGGTGTCAAGCCGGAAAAGGCTGATTTGTGGACTGGAAGGGCGGTTATTGACCGCGAAGAGGCTGAGTACCTTGCCAGGAGAGAGGCCGAAGGAGAGAAGCATGCCCAGTCGCATTGGTTATATCGTACTTTCGTTTCGTGGCTCTTCTAGTGTGGTGGGGCGGTTGGTTTGTTTTGGCCTGAATGAGCGTCCGTGATGACTCGTGTACTTTCAAATTGTACTTATTTATGATGGTTGGGATTTCGAGATTTGTCAATGAATGTATGGTTTATGAGTGCGGTGACCTGCACGGAGTAGTGTGACTGGTTCTTCTGCTTGCCCGACCACACATAAGATCGGGCTTATAGATATGAAGATTTCCTCAGGCCTTCGATAACGTTTGCTCGATGTATTCAAAATCGCGGTCAACAGACCATGGCCCAGTAATCTGGTGATTACGGTTCTCACATTTTCGTTTCTATATTGACCAGTCGGGCAATTTCAGATTCCTTTACCTCGGGTAGGGGTTGAACGTCAGTAGCTGCATCACTATGATTACTAGAAAATTAATAATAGCTCCGCCTCCAGACGATCGTCAACCAACACACCTGGATATGGATTCCTTGGCAGTCTCCCCACACTCGATTTTGGCACGGTAGATGCTACCTATTATTATCTGCCGAATATCTCTTTGGCTAGCCGAGTTAGTCCTATACGGACCGACTGACTACTGCAATGCTCCATTCGTAATTGTGCACGTTTCATCACCACGCGTCGGATACCTGCATGCCCCTGGATGTTTTGCAATCGTGCCAACACAAAAGTCGGAAATGAGGAGATTGCTGTTTCCAATGAGGCCATAGCTTCGTTCATTCAGGCCACGTGGAACTCAGCTCGAGGCATTTCTTATCGTGCACGAAGCGTAACCCCTAGCCCAATTGCGAATGCAAGGTCAATGGTAGCATGGCCCCCAACTTCAGCTTGGTATGCCCGCATCGAACTATAGTTTATGTCGTTTGGACCAAGACCATTATTCCATGCACTTGTCTGAGGCTCTATGGAGCGCGTGCGTCTGATCCTTGGATAATAGACGCCCCCCTGACGCGGGCAATTGAACTGATCGCCACCCATCGCCCGACGCATGAAGTCGGTACGGTGAGTAAGTACATGCTTGATCCACGACCCCGAGGGGCTTTGGCTGTACAAAACTTGCCACTGTCAATATTTCCGTTGATTTACCCGGCAGATACTAGTGAAACTATACTTGCTGAACGTAGTTATGCGGAGAAACCCCGGACGAATTATTGCACGCCCGGAATAGGGTAAAGATCGGACTGCAGATCACCATGGCGGGGGGTCATTGCACCCCAGTCCCCCAATCGCAACCGGAGTGGACCACGCTCAGTCTCCACCGGCCATTGCACTGTTGTCTCCGTAAAAAGGGACAATCCTCTCCATACGAGACTTTCTGGCCGGAACTACCATACCCTAGACGGCGCACAACGGGCGATAAGAGCCTCGTTCTCACTCCTGGCGACCATTCTTGCATTGCTACGTAGCCGTATTCCTGCAAAAGTCGATGATCATCAACCCCTAAACTCTACTGCAAGGCGTAACTGCTTTTATTCTTCTCCCCGGTCGACTAGTCACTTTAGCTTGTTTCTCGGCTGGAAGCCCTAACCAAC